TTTTCCTCTGATGCCTCCTTAGCTAAGCGGTCAGCAGTTTCGTTCCCCCTCACACCTGTGTGCCCACGAACCCACACCAATGTGACGTGGTTGTCGTTGGCCAGTCTTGTGAGCCTCTGTATGCCCTCCATGGTCAATTTTGAATTGACCTTGAAGTTTGATACCGCTTTTAGAGTTGCTTGGCTGTCCGAGAAAAAGGTGATCCTTTTGTCTCTCCAGCCTTTGTCTATAGCGTTATTCGCTGCCATCATTATGGCGTATAGCTCCGCCTGGTTCACCGTGGTGCTCCTGCCGAGACTCGCCTTCAGTTTGCAGTTTTTGTTTCCGTACACCGCTGCTCCTGTCTTATCTCCTGACTTAGATCCGTCAGTGAAGTAGCTAACTTCCGAGGCAGCCAGGGCATCGTCTACCATTTTCTGGTTCCCCTCGCCTTCGCTGATGCGGAGCCTGTATGGAATGTCGAAGTTGTACGTTGTTTTCATTTGATCAGAGACCATGTGTAAAGCCGGAGGGAAGCTCGGACTCTCACAGAGTGACTGGTGTCTTGGCCGCAGTTTGCCATCTAAGCTGTTGGTTTTCAGCCTAAAGGCTCCTGCTACTGCCTCCCCCTTCACTGCTAGGTGCAGGGGTGGCAGGCCTAGCATCACCTCCATTGCCGCTGTTGGAGTTGTTCTCATTGCTCCTGTCGTGTACAAGCATGCCAGTCTTTGCAGCGAGTCCAGCTTATTCCGAGCTCCCTTTTGCTCCGTTTTTTCCCACCATATGCATGCTGCATATGTTAGAACAAGTATTTAGATGCATAATAAAGATTTCTCAACACATGTGTTACTGCTGAATACTTTCAATCTCTGATACCTTCTGATCTTTAATGTCACATTGCAGAGGAAAATAGATGATCTCCATTTCATCCTTTTCAATTGTTCTTCATTCCATCAAATAAGGCAAACAGTGTACTAAATAATATTGATACATATAATTCAATAACAAACAAATTCCATACAAATAATTCAAAATAGAAGTCCTCAGCAGATTAACATCCAACCGAAGTTGTATTAGTTTTATCCGTATCTCCTCCATAAATATGAATCATAATATAGTAGGTAAATGAAATAGGTTATAGTAGGTGAGGTCTTAGTTTATTTGGAATTGAATATATCTCTGTTTGCAATAAAGATTTACTGTTGCAGGTTTACAAAATGAGACAAACAATATTTATGCTAAGGATAGAGCTTACGCTAATGATAATCTCAATTCCTTTTTCACAGGTGCTGCAGTTATCCGTGCATTTGGTGTTCAAAACAGATTCATTGCTGAGTCAGAACAAAAAGTTGATTTTAATCAAGTGTGTTACTTTCCAAGTATCATTGCCAATAGGTAATCATTTTATATTCCATTCCGTTTGCCCCTTGAAGATCGCCAGAAGCATTTTTATTTGAATTAACGTACTTAACCCTTTTTTTTTTTTTTTTTTTTTTTATTTAACTGTTTGTCTAAAGTAAAAGAAAAGATAACATGGATGTGATCTGCTTTTACTCATAAAGTGAGTGCTTAAAAACTCAAAAACTTGAAGTATTATCTGTAATTCAGGTGAAGGGCTATTGCACCACTATCAATGTCACTCATTTGCTTTGAATTACAAGTACCAAACATGATAGAATTGGCTGTGTGTCCTCAATCCTCTCTACCTATTGTCTAATTAATGTCCACTTTTTCAATTTTTTTTCACCAAAAAGCACTGATGAAAACTGTAAAAGTCTTCAAATTGCAGAATGAATTAGTAGCTATTAATGAAGGCTAATTTTTTCACTGATAGATCACAGAAAACTGTATCTACTCATTTTGAGTCTTCTTTACTCTTGAGCTGCAGTAATTTGAAGAAAAAGCTATTGAATTTGGATATCTTTGCATGCATGCTACAAGGAAAAGGGGTATGGACATAGCAATGACTCGGCTCTGATTGGTTGGTCTGACTTTTATGTCTCAGATCTGAAAACGTTTGAAAAATTGGTGAAAAAATCCCAAAGTTATCATTGTCATGCAGAATGGGTCGGTTGCGCTGATCACAGAATCAAGTTTTAATGCTTGATTCTTGTAAATTAGCAAAAAATAATAAGATTTGTCCAAACGGCAACTTTTTACATTCTATATTATCACATATAACATGATGTGTGCCAACACACAGTTCTAGATGCTCTCTGTCTTATTGTGTCACACTCTAATAGTGAAGAAAACAGACCAGAATAAGTGGGTTTTAGCTCGGTTGGAGATTTTGAACGTGCAGAAATCTCTCCTGCAAAATACTCAAAGTTAAAATTAGGGTCATAAGGTTTACACTATCTGATTCAACTCTGTTTGATCCTTTCAAGATGGTTGGCTGTTCGACTGGAAAGTATTGGCAATCTAATCATCTTGTCTGCTGCAATTTTTGCGGTTTTGGGAAGAGATACTTTGAGTGCTGGTCTAGTAGGTCTATCTATCAGTTATGCTCTTCAGGTAAATGAATCCACTCTCTCTATCCTGGTGAATAATTCACTCAATTTTTTCCGTGTCCTCTAAAGACTTTAAGTCACTTGACATTGCTTTGAGACATCTCTTTGAGATACGCTATCGCGGAGCTTCAGCAATGCTTTATCACTTTTAATTAGTTAAAATGAATAAAAAATTACACACACGCACCTCAATAAGGAAGGAAATCATTGTGTTTTCAAGTAGAAAAATATTTTAAAAAGCTAGGTAACGTGTGCAATAAGGTTGATTTTTATCAATCTTTTTTTTCTTTTCTCTCTCAGTTCTGTGCACAATAGCCATAATTTATTTCATTTTGTTCTAAAGATGCCGGAAAAATGTTTTTTCTTGATTTTGAATGATTTTAACCAGTGAGGCATCAATCGTTCAGCCATCAAGTTTTTAGTTTTTTGGAAGGTATGATTTTCCTCTTGAAGTTGGAATTCCTGGTAAAAAAAAGCCTTCTTTTCTGGTTTTGGCTGATCAATCTAGTTTCGATTGTTCATCATCTGCAGGATGAAATTTAACTGATTTTTGCTATCACAAGGATGAAGAAAAATTTGTTTTTCATTTCATTCCAGTATTCATGCCCGTATTGAAAGGTATAAAAAATAGAAAAGCTCCCATGAGAGACATAGAAAATTTCCTTGTTGAATATTTTTTCCCCCCTCGATTAGAGGACTAGCCCTACAACCCAACACCACAATAGGCCACTAACTTTGATGCGTGTTTGTTACAGATGACTCAAACCTTGACCTGGCTAGTCAGAATGACATCTGATGTAGAGACTAACATCGTTGCAGTTGAGAGAATTAAAGAATATGGAGAAACTAAACAGGTATGTCTTAACTGTGTCTGGGCGTGCCCTCTAAAGGGTGTCAACGGTAACAGTAGTCGGTGAATTTACCGGTAAGGCACCCTCTTTGACCTAGGCAGCGGGCATACTTCTCATTATGCCATCTAAATAGAACTGAAAAGAATTGAAGTGGTATGGGTACCTGTGACAGATTTTTTACTGTCCTCAAGAATTGTTTCATCACCACACCATAGAGATTGGGTCATTTTCTAATGATAATCTGAAGATATTAAAATATTGCTGAAAGGAAATCGGTGAATTTTTTTGTACAAATCTTATTTCACGTTTTAAGAATTTGTCTACTTTTTTTTCATAAAACTATCAGCTGCTGTCTATTTCATTGTATATTTTTCATGAGTATGGTTACTTTTTGCTGCTCCTCGATCATCCTTTAGTCATCGTATTTTTCACATCTATTCAATGCTTAACTTTTTTTTTTTAAATATAATTGGCAATAATTAATATTTTATGATTTTTTCCCCCTCATCAGGAAGCAGCTTGGAATATACCAGAAAAAGCTCCACCATCTACCTGGCCAGAGAAGGGACAAGTTGTTTTTAAAGACTTCAAAGTTCGTTACAGAGAAGGTCTGGAGCTTGTTCTGAAAGGGATTAATTTTACTGTGGAAGGAGGCGAGAAGGTGAGTTTTTTAAGCTGTTTGCTAAGATGTAAATAGGTCTTTCAAAAGAAAATTAATATCTTAGTGATCCTTGTGCTTATTACTTCACCACTAAGAAGCAAAAATGCCAAGTATTCAAAAATGTAAGAATGTTGTTGAAATAAGAAACATATTACGCCATTTAGAATCATTTAGTGGTAACTTTCACTAAAATCACTCAATGCTAATCCCTTCATGCTACTGGCACGCGGTAGGGAACTCAAGACCAAAGTGACACTCATAACAACAGCACTGCAAGGAAAGGGGCAAGAAATCATTGATTAGGCTCTAGTCTAAACAAGCATTTATTTCTACCTTCTCAATAGAAGACTTTTCAGACTCTTTGGAGTTTTCTTATTGCAAGCTTTAAAACTGAATGTTTATTTTTGTCATTGTAGTTCATAGTAATGGGCAAATTCTAGACACATGCTGGAATAAACACCTTAGTGATCACACCATAAACACTATGATGATCTTTTGATCGTAATTAAGCAGAGTTTTTCTCAAAAGTAATTTCTAATTTTGTTTTTAGGTAGGAATTGTCGGTAGAACTGGAGCTGGCAAGTCATCATTAACTCTCAGCTTGTTCCGTATTATAGAATCGGCTGGAGGAGCTATTTACATTGATGATGTAGATATTTCTACAATAGGTCTGCATGACCTAAGATCCAGACTTACAATTATTCCACAGGTAAAAAGACAAATGGTCATATTTACTCTTCATACTGTGTGTTTTGTGGTAGCATAATTTAGAATGCTCAAGAAAAATCCGTACTATATGTGAATCTTACAGTAATTGCTACGCTTTTTCAATTCATCATGTTGCTATATATTTAGCATTCTGTGATTCTTTAAGACCTTGGGTAGAATTGTGGAAGCTCAATAAAAATCCAACTGTTGCCTGATTCTTGAATTTTATGATTGTCGGCCAGACAAGAAAAGACTGAGGAGGAATGGAGTTATGTGTTTGGTTGGCTTTGTCAGTCATCCTCTTTGTGGTGGCTATGGTGGGTGTATTAGAAACGAAAGTCTCCTTTTGAGTTGCTAATAATACTTGGTTGTCAAATCCACCTGATGTAGGGACAACAAAGAGGACGACTGATTAAGCCAACCAATCATATAACTTTATTACCTCTCAGTCTTGTCCTGTGTCTGTTGACAAACTCAAAATCGCGACAGTCAGGCAGCTGCTTGGAGTAGCATCTGAACTATCATTATTGCAGCAATGTTTTTGCATCCTCTTGGGTGTGTTCTCACAGAGGACTAGATAGATTAGTCTGGTGGTAAAAGCAAAGAAAGGGCTACTAATTCCGAGAAAAATTAAGAATACTCACCCTTAGTTAGTGCTGATTACATGTTATTGCTGTGCTGACAGAAATGTGTGATTCCATTTTTATAAGAGCCTCAAAAACCATGGATCAGCATGACTCATCTTGAAGTGAAAATTCAGGTCTCCTTATTGTTTGTAGAAATTATACAAGTTGAAAGTTTTCAATTTTCATAATATTTTTATCCTCTGAACATTTGTCTTTTCAGGATCCCATCCTATTTTCGGGGACCCTGAGGATTAACCTAGATCCTGTAGGTTTATATTCTGATGAAGATGTCTGGCGAGCATTAGAACTGTCCCATTTAAAGAATTTTGTCAAATCTTTACCCGCTGGTTTACAGCAAGAGGTTTCGGAAGGAGGTGAAAATTTAAGGTAAGCCGATTTACCAAGCCAGTCAATTTCATGTGAAATGGTGATTTTCTCAAAGAATTGTTCACTGAGTGTATTTAGCCCTGGTTCATAATAATTTTGTAATATACCAAGGCACTTAAAACGTTTCATAATCTTGTAAAAATCACCATGTTAATTGAACGGTGTCAAGAGAAAACTGCTTATGTCCATTTTTCCAGAGCTACTTTGGGTTGATAATACTTTTCATAGTAGAATAGAACCATGGAAGTTATGTGAAGACTCATTATGGAGTTATCTTAATCCCAGAACGAGTCCTAACACCAGTTTCATGAGTGTATCGATTTTTTAAAAGTATTATTTACACAAACAGACTCAAAGATAAGAATAATGGACTTTAGCCGTTTTCACACGACATAATTCATATGAAAGCCTCTTTTATCTTTTCCAAAAGCTTTACAGAGCCTCATTATGCAGACCTTTGTAAGAACAATTTATGTGCAACAAATGAAATGAAAATGTTTTGCCGGACAAAGAGAATTGCCATTTTTTTTACTTGTTCATGAAAGTTTTGGTTAATAAATGGCATTTTAGTGGAACTTATTTAATGATGATACAAAGCATCAGCATCCTGAAGCTGTTGAAGTTGGGAACTGTCGACTCAGATAATAGAGAAATTTCTCCCAGAATCAATGTAACCTCAAAAATTATATTGTAGTCTGAGGAAGGTCGAACTTATGTTCAAAATGTGATGTATGAGTCAGCTTGACCCTGCATCAAAAAAAAAAAAATAAAATCAGACTTCTACTGATCTAGCATTTTATGAACGGTTTTTGAAAAATATGATGGTCAGCTTGACAATTGATAGCATAAATAAAAAGGAATTCAAACTCAAGAAAACTAGTAATTTTTCTCCTTATTTGATTTTTAGTGTGGGCCAGAGGCAACTCATTTGTCTTGCTCGAGCCTTGCTCCGCAAAACTAAGATTCTGATCCTGGACGAGGCAACTGCTGCTGTAGACTTAGAAACTGATGATTTGATTCAAGCAACTATTCGGTCCGAGTTCAAAGAATGCACTGTTCTCACAATAGCCCATAGACTCAATACTATCCTGGACTCAGATCGGTAAGTACTATTGAGGCCTGCTGTCCTATCTCATGTCCACAATTCTCAAACGTATTGTGACCCTAGTTTTCTACATTTTTCCAGAAACAGTAAGAAAATCTAAAAAAAATTTTAAAATAAAATTTGCACTTCCCTTAAAATTTCCTCACATGTATATTGTAATCCGTCAGTATCTCTAAAAAGTCAGCCACTTGCCCAGGTCGTGAAGATAACTTTGTCTTTGTGTGATAAATTGCTACTAAAACCTTCTCTCTCAAGGGTGTAACTTATCCCCAGACCATGAGGTAGGTTCTTGACTCTTACCGTATTATCTGTAAGCAGATGGTTGACAGGTCACTGCTGAATTCCTGAATTTTTTTTTTTTTTTTTTACACTTCAAAAACCACATGAGGGGTAATCCTCAGCTCTTCTTCTCGATCATATGAACATGATCATGTGGCCGCTTGTATGAAAAGTAGGAAGGCTATGAAAATTAGGAGGGCCAGCACTCATTAGCGTCAAATTTCCATGTTTATTGAAATCCTGGTGAAATTTATGTTTTGTCAGACTTGCGGAGTAAAATATTTGCATCTTTTTTTAGTATCGCAAGGAAATCCTTGTGTTTTTTGCTAAATCGTGACTATCTGTGAACAAAGGCAAAAAATGGCTACAGTTGAAAATTTTGGGGAAAGAAGGGTTTTTAAAATGGGATGGCTGGTTCAAAAAATGAGAAGGCTAAAAACTCTCTGCACCCCCCAGCTACGAGTAATCTAAGTCTAGTGACCTTGAGCACATAAGCAGCCACAATTCAGGCTTCTCTAGTAATTCAGACCTGGCTAGTACCCTCAACTAGCCACTCATCCTTATTTTGTAATGTTGTGGAGCACTCATAAAATATTTGTTTTCTTCCGTCTTTCTAACAATTAACCATACAATGATTGTTTTTCTGCTTCTAGGGTGCTTGTTCTGGACAAAGGCACGATAGTAGAGTATGATGCACCAACTAAACTACTAAAGAATCGTAGCTCTGTGTTCTATTCAATGGCAAAAGATGCTGGCCTGATATCAGAGGTTCCGTCCATACATCCCGTTGAACAATAATTTGTGCGCTAAGCATTTACTTGTCCTAATCTTGTTCTGGTTTCTCTATTTCTAGATTAATTTGTACTTACTGGCAACTCCTCAAGATATCCTGTCTCTAGAGATCTCTGAGATCCTGTCTCTAATGTGTGGATGTTTGCTTTATTTGTTTAGTGTTCAAGAAAGTATACATTTTTATTTCATCATGTCATGAAGAGTGTTACATCCGCGTGAAGGCACTGCTAATGCTGAATACTCTTCTTACAATTGACTTGAGGGCTTTACAGACCTCAATCTTTAATATGAATCGGTGTTATTTACAATTATCTTTGATTATTACCTTGACTTTAGAAAAAAAAAATCAGTGTAATATGTTCCTTACTGAGAATTTTATGAATTGCTTAGGCAAGATTTTCCCATGTTCGTCACTTACGCATGATAACATTTCAATTTATTTATATATTTGTGAGGATGTTCAACCAATCTTGTCTAGAATTATTATATTTGGCAAAGTTTTTCTGAGTTGCCTCAAAACAGCATCAAATGAAATGTAAAATTCACCGTGATCATTGTTTAATGATCAATGATTAGATTTTTTGATGATTGCTTTTTATTGCATACCAAGTGAATGAATTTTGAACCACTATTTTTAATTTAAATGGAAGAAGAGTTTTCCCAGAATTCTGCAAATCCACAATTTGGATTCCAGCATTCAATTTAAGGAATTCTTGGTACATTTTATGCTCTCCATCTCTTTTTTTTTTTATTACCTCATCATCTATCCGAATAATATATTAAGCCCTTTTTTTATTTTTATGTCATCACAGTTTGAAGTTTGAAATAATTTTTGCACATAATCCTTGCATCATTAAATGGGAAAAAGAAAACGTACCAAGCAAATTCAGAAGAATATGCGAAAATTTCACCCTATTAATGTGTAATTAGCCTTAAGGAGTCATTGGGTGGATTGAAGAGAAACTTCTTTTTTGCCTTCATCCTAATAGCAAAATGCAAGCATCAAATGTAATGAAACTGACAAGTATGAAGTTTTAGCCCTCTACGTCACCCCTAACATAGAGTCCTAGACACTTCAATGGATGGAAATCTAAATAAATTTTCACTTTTTTAAAAATTTAAGCACATCAGTCCGAAGGAAGCCAACGTTCCTTTGGGAAAAAAATTTCAACCGTTTGGACAAGCAGAGAAATGAGTGAGTTCCAATTGACAATTTTCGGGGCTTAAAATAGCTCTTTTGTCAGTATGTGGAGGAAATTCTGATTGCATTCAAATTTTGGCCGTATGGCAGGCAATCCTGTATGACATCACTAAGTTAAGTAACAAAGGGCAAAAATTTCATCAGCTGTGACATATCTTAAAGCATTTAACCACAGATCACGATCTAAAACGGTGCAAAACTATTATATTGTTGCTGTCACAATTGCATCAAGGTGCTACTTGAGGTGCAGCGACAATAGGACCATGACAACACCACTGCAGTAATTTTGTGCAATTTTAATTCTTGATTTGTGGCTTAACAGTTTTTGATATGTCAAATGCACACAATGTTCAACCTTGCTGTAACAACTCGTTGATTTCATGACGGATAGAGTTTAATATCGCCGAAATTTGTACATCCTCACAAGTCCCTTAATGGAGTGACTAAAAAGGTTGTTTGTAGCTCCAAAAATCTTCATTTTGGGCTTGCTCCTTTCTTTGCATCGAAGACCTTTGAAATTTTTGTTCTAAGAGTCATTGCCCATTAAATTCCTTGCAGATTGATTTTTCATTTTTTCAAAAAATGCATATTTTTATTTTCATTCCTTATAGTGCCTGGGAGTGTATGTCAGGGGTGGTATGAAGGGCTGAAACTTTTTTACATGTGTGATTTTATCACCATCGACACTTGTTATTTTGTTGTTTTTTTTTGCGTTCATGGTGGGAACAAAAAAAAAGTCTTTAACCTGTCCCAAGGAGTCATTGTACTTGCCGATTCCAAAATCTTTTAACCGATCAATTATTACCTTAGTTATTTTATTGGATTGTTTTACTTAGTTATTTTACCTTGGTCCCTACTTTTACTTATACATTCTTATAAAATTTCACCGAAGTGCCACAATTTTTTTCAATTTGATCTTCTTAAGTTAGTGTTGCATCACAATCAAGTCAAGTAGTCCTCAAAAAGTTTGAGCCTAAAAGCTGCAGCTAAATGAGGAAGCTAAAATGCTCAGATCTACCTGATGAAATCCTTCGTAGATTTTTAATTGAGGATTATTATTTGTTTACATTTTTGTAATTTTTGTAATTGATTATTTGTTAACAATTTTTCTAATTTTTAGATCAAATATTATCACATCACCTTGTTTTCAATTTTATGGTACTCTTGCTCAAACGCGGTGCCTGTGTTTTGTATTGTTACATTCTTAAACTAGCTTAAAAGCATCCCTTTAGGAGGAATTGGGTGATGAAAAAACGTCTACCGGAAACTTGAATTGTACCGAGTTAAAAAGCTTCTTGTAAAACATAGGAAGAAGGAAAATGCCAAGGCTCTCAGTGAAAGTGCTGAATTATTCATTATCAATCATTCATCATTTTAGATGGTAAATTTTTATTTAAAGCCGCCACAATTTTTGAGTGAGAGTGCCTATGTTGCGTACCGAAATTGTGTGTATCCATATTTACAGAAGGTTCAAAGTGTTCCCTCTCTCTCTATTCTGTAAATCTTGATGCTCATGTTAAAGGATTGAATTGTGATATGTCTCTGTGAACACACGAGTCACCTAAAATGCCTGTAACAACTCTTTTTAACTCTATCTTTACCCCTAATTTTCATCAGGTATTACCTAGTTTATCTTCGGTTGCACTTTCCTAAACTTACCTGCCAGCATGAATTTTTTTAGTTATGCTAGTGGAGTTTTTGTCAATTTTAATTTTACATTAGTTCCTCATTTTAACACCATGTCCATGTGACCAACATTAGAGGATGTTTTGTTAAACTAAGTACATATTCAGTCCTGTGAAGTGATTAGTTTTCAGAATATACTCTCTCACATTACCGCAGCCCAGTCAGGTGCTTTTGCAAGTTATTCCTGAATCATTGTGAAGTATGCCATTAGTATTGTAAGAAAGAAAATTTTATCAGTAAGTTTTTTAAATTAAAATTTACCTGTTACCTCTCCTGAATGAGGATTCTTCGTTGTTCCCTAGTTTTAGATTTATTGTAAAAATTGTGAGATTGCTCTTTTTACTGCAAGTAAAATAATTTCTTTATCATTCTCACAGTTTTTCGTTTTTTTTATCCATGTTACAATTAGTAGCAAAATTATTTCAGTAGCCAGTCATAATTTTATCAATATGGGAAAGAGAAGGAGCCTATGTATTTCGCCACTCCGCACCATAACCCTTCTTATTCATTCGTTTTGTGCAGTTCCCAACCAAAGCATTCCAGAAATATTTACAATATCATAAATTATCTTTCAATCCCTCTCTCCCCTTCTCTTTCGTCGTTATTCTTTCTACCAATCCAGTTTTTCCCTCCCTCTCTCCCATAGTAGTATTATTTTTTTACATTCAAAGACAGTAATGCAAAAACAAACAAAAAAAAAAAAAATGTATGGAGAATGGAAGTATTCTCTGTAAAACGGGCGATCTAACAGAATACATAAAATAAGTTGTCGAATGTCAAAAAAATCTCCCTTGTACAAAATTAAAACAATCTTAAAAAACAATTCATCCTCATTTAAGACTAACAACATTTAAATAAATTTATTTACCTGAAGTTGAATTAAACAAGAAAATTTCTAGGTTAGCCCATTTATTTCTTCCTCTTTTTTCTAATGACTTAAGTACCTTTCAAGGGTTGGAGATAAATCATTTATTCTATAGTATTTATTTCCTTGTTCTCTCTCCTTCATTTGATTGACGAGATTGTCTAAGAAATTTGGTGCTCCTAAAAGCATGATGGGCCCTATCTTAATTAACTTTTTTTTGTAAGGAAACTCCACCTAAAGATGTAACATTGTGGATAAAGAATGACAGTTTTTGGCAGTCTGGAAAGTCAGGAAATTCCGTGAGTAGTGCCTTGGCTCACAATCAGCAACTTCACCCAGCACCATCTGGCGATAGAGTGTGAACAAACATCCTTTAGTGCCTTGTTTTAACATTTGAATCTCCAGAAGTAGGAAGTTTGGCAGCTGTAGGAACGGACTCAGGAGATGTAAAGAGCAACGGAGATGGATTTCTGGAGGGGGTAGGCTGGAATTTCTAGGAGAGATCGGGTCCGCAATGAAAGAGTGCGTCAGATCATGGGAGTCGAAAATGACATCGTATTTGACGTCATATCCAGACAGCTTGTCTGATATGGTCATGTCAACAAAATGACGGACGAAAGACTGCCGAAGAAGATGCTTGATTGGATTCCTCCTGGGAGGAGACGAAGGGGACGACCAGTGAAAGGGTGGCGACAGGGGGTCTTAGAAGAAATGAGGACGTGCCAACTTCCTGAAGGGCTTTGGAAGGATAGAGGACTTCGGCGGCCAGGTGTCGAAGAGCGCTATAAAAGCGGCTTTATTCGACGGTGTAAGTCGGCAATCACATAACTCGTTTGCAGTGTCTGAAAATCTCCGCCTCTATTAAATTATTTTAAAGGAGAACAAATTGACGTCATTCCTTGAAGTTTATGTAGAATTTTCTTCGCAAAATAAAGTATGACAGGAAGTCTGCGACGTCGCAAACCGAGTTATGTGATTGCCGACCTATACCGTCAATATACATATCTCTAGGAGTAGAGGTTTTGTCAACAGTTCTGCGGAAGTCAGCTTAGTAAAAAACCAAAAAAATTGAAGTGGAAAATGATTGAAACAGGTCCGAGAATTCGGAAATAGAGTCGAGGAAAAGTAAAATAGTCAATGAATTGGAAAATAAAGAAATCGTGGAAACCCTGGAATGGCTAAAGAGACGTTTTAATGGAAATGAGGGGTCCCAGCAATCAGTCGCTGTTATGAGCCCCTTCAACCGTTCGTATCGCGGAAAGAGCGACGATTTGAATCTCCCGCGCCTAGCGCGGTTTTCAGTTGCATCATAGTTCAAAGTACAGCCGCTATCGCGCTGCGGTAGGGGAACATAACAACACGAACGTCGCTGCATGGTCACTACATCTTTTGTTTGAATGCTGACGCAGGATTTTTCACAATTTTCTTCTGCTGCCACCTTGGCAATCTTCAGTGAAATTTCAGTTCTCAAAGATACATTTAATCGTCCTTTAAAAAATCATCCATTCCGCGTGTTATCAAAACATGTCGACTAGCGAGGAGAAAGAATGCAAAGCTGGGCACCCACCTGCACGTAAGCATATACTTTAGCCATAAGTAAACACTTCTTATCACCTAGATTCTCGCAGTTTTCGTTAAGTCAAAAAGATTGACTTTTTGACCCATCTGATCCGATGCTTATTATAAGTCTCGTCAATTTTTGAAAGCTTCCCCCTTCTCTGAAAAATTGTCACCAACTTTTGTGAAGGATGTCATCCTTCTTAGAAGATCCTCATTTTGAAGTATATCTGCCTTAGCAGTCAGATTCATGAATCCACTTTGACTACGATTGACTTTTATAGACAGTGTGGAAAATCAACCTAGATATTAAAGGCTCCTCTTTCTTGTAATGATTCATGTACGTAAATGCTCACATTTTCCAGCCTGACAAAATTGACAAGTCAGTACAAGTGCGAATCCACAGAAATGAAGGCCAACGAGTTTATGGTAGGTATGTCGAAATGGTGAGCTCAGCTCCAAATATGATTTCAATGCACACACTTGGATGCCAAAAACTTAGGCCTTTTTCACATATTCCTGTTCCAATGATTTTTCCTCCTTTTAACTTAATGCCAACAGTAGGGAAGACAGAATTGCAAATCAAAACTACATAATGGTGGCATTATTTCCATCAGAACTTATCAAATTTTAAAGTAAGTTTTTAGCATTTGTTAATGGAGTATCTACACCCCCTTTAGTACAAGCATCCTCTGAAAAAATTTAAACTGCATTAATGTATTCAAAAATAAATTTTGATCATCAATCGTGATCGATTTGTTTCTGAGAATTTAATGTACATAACTGCACAGATTGCCAACTAAGGTTTAGGTTTTTGGGTCTTACATTTCATGAAAGCAGTAACTTTAGAATCTTGTAGATGAGCGGGAAATTAATTTTCCAAGTTGATGTTAAAATTGACCATTCCATACTATTTCTCTTGTGTTGCCGAAAGCTCACAAGTGGTTGTTAATCAAACTTCATTCATTACATGAGAGTCCTAAGTTTGAATCGTTTTTCTATTTTTTAACTTCTTCTGTTAATTTTATTTTTTGACATTATTTTGCAGAAAAAGCAGGAGCCATGAGGATTACTCAGCACAAGGGGTCCAGCCACCACAAAGAAGGAGAAGTCCCGGATATTGAAAAGAATAGCGTGTTTAAAGTTTCGATCAGGTGAATGATTGTCTCAAGTACTGAGTTTCTCCAAAATGTTTCTTACAATGAGTGACATTATTTGGGGAGTCCATAGATTTTTATCCACTTTTTTTTTGAACCTCATATTCTAGGAAGCAAAAGTGCTTTTCGATTGATTTTTTTAACAAGCTGAAAGGGAATTTAACTTTCTTTGAGAAATATTTCTCTTGAAATATTCTTCAAAAATCAACAGCTCAAAAAAAAATGAGGAAAATTCCACTGGTCTATAGATATTTTGCCACGACTTTTTTTAAATCATGCACTCTCAGCGGCAAAAATTTTTTCAATGTATTTTCTATTACAAGCTGACCGAAAATTGTACAGCCTTTGATGAAAGCCGATCTCGAAACATTTTCTTTGGAGTTAACCACCTTAGTGAAAAAGACAAAGGATGACTGATTTCAAGACTTTTGCAACTGCCTTTTTTCGAATCCTTATTTTGAGTCCAAAAAATTTTGTTTTAAATTGGTTGTGTGTAGAAAACTAAAGTATAAATTTCACATAATCTGATGAAGGTCTCAAACATCTCTTCAAGAGTTAAGGGTTTGAAAGATATATCAGAAAAAAGACCTCTGGTTTATGAATTTTTTGCTGCTGCCTTTTTCAAATCCTCTATTTTCAGCCATGGAAAGTCGTTTGGATGCACACTTTGTAACATCTAATATGAAATTTTGCATTTCTTATGTGAAGTCTCAGAATGTTCCCTCTTAAATCAACCACCTACAAAGTATTTGAGAAAAATGAACTTGCTCCAACCCAAAGCCAGCCTGGATAATCACCCCAATCACTCTCCCTCCTGCTGCATGTCGTATCATGGTGCGTCTGAGAAAAGGGTCACTATGCGCAAGCGTGGTGAGAAATGGGAATGCACAGTTTGTAAGATTTAATGTCCTTAGTTGTATTTCATCAGTTGTTTTTTTCATTCTCTCAAGTGAAGGTGTCGAATCCCATATCAAAATCTTGACCACCTCTAGGACTTGTAACTGCAGTCTGAAGTGCAACATAGTCTTTTTCTTATCTCACCAAACTTGAGCCTTTATTGTAGCATTCCGTAGCAATACTAACTTTTTTGTTTGTTTTTTCTTCGTAGTCCACCCAAATCATCAACTGTTGTTTCTGGAGTGCCAATCCAGAAAGTTTCTGACCAGCCTGTCGAGGCAATCCAGTCATACCATGAAAAACAGTTACCTACACGTGATGCTCACTCCGCCCATGCACCGAAACCGGTCATTCACCAACCCAGGAAGTAGGCTAAGCTATCTTTTACCCTTCCATTGTCATTACTTACAATGCATTTAATATTTTTATCCATGTTAAAATCTATATTATATTTTTTTATTTGAACCGTGCAAATTTGTTTTTTTGAGCAACTAGTGAAGAGTCACCTAGTGTGAATATGCTCTGAATCCATTCTGGAAACTGTTCTAAATTACAAAGTATTTTCAGTCTTTGGTGTAAACAAAAGATTTATTGATATGATTGAAAATAGGTATCTAAAAAATCAAAAGAAATTTTGATGTGGTTGCTATTTTTTATTTGGACACTACTAATGCCTCAGGTAAATGCAGTCAACCAAAAAATCTGCCCTAGAAAGTCCAGGAAAGGAAATAATGATATCAAGACTTTTCAAGAGCTTTTGAATTCCTTACCTACTATTCAGTTAATTTTCTCAAAACCCTAGTAAAACTGGAGGCTACCATTCCTGGTACCACCATTATTATTTATGTATGGTGATTTAGTTGCCAGTAAATGAATATCAGTTGTGCCAATATAAATTTTTATTTACTCACTGATGGTTTATGAGCCTTGGAAGTTGATCAAAAATTGCTAGTTATTGCTCAGCGTGAATATTGATATGGTTAAGCAAACAACATTACAATTTGAATCTTGGGTCTGTTTTCCATAATACCTATAAATGTAAAAACTTAAGTTATCCTTTCACATAGTGGGGTCCCTTGAAGATTATTTTTCCTTCGCGTAAATGTAAGTTAGAGCTCACGTTCCTGATGACAACCGCTTATTCTTCTAGTTGAATAACATATGCCCACATCATTTGCAAGAAGAATCTTATTCCACAAAATGGGAATTAATGCGTTATGTAACACCTATGAAATAAAAATATGGATCGCAAAAGTTAGTGCTCACAACATCAGTGTACGTCTATAAACAGAAAGCACATGCATAATGCACTCAGTCTGTACCTACATTTTTTGGCTACATTTGTACTGATTATTCATCTTGTTTAGTTTGATATCACTTTGTTCTAATTGGCTCCCACTATCAACATCATGAATGGATGTTATGATCTCAATTTTGATAATTCCAGACTTTGTTTTGCATTTTTTTTAAAGGTTTCAAATAAAAAACACAAAATTAACCAGAAAAAAAACACAAAAACCTCTTTTTTTTAAATTTAAACCCTAGCCAAGAATATTTCAAAAGAAGAAGGTGCATAATATTTTTACTGCGAAATGTTGCCATCAATCAAATTAAATCAAATCAGAAGAAATCCTGAATAATGGCTGAAATCTATCCTACAAGAAGGGAAAGTCATTATTGCTTGTATAAATGCTAGCTACATATAATGATGCTCCGTTAGTAAGCGGTATCAGACCTCAGTATGCGACCTAGGACACTCTCAGAAAAGCTCTCAGAAATGTAGACTTTCATGGTTGAAGTAAGTTTTTTGTACCCTGCTCCTTTCTAAACTGAAAGCTTTGAAGAAAAAAAAAAATACACTGCCAAGAAAGGAATGTCTCGTAATATTTGAAGAGAAGTCTGTATAATAGGCAGAGAATTTGTAGATAATCTTAAGATTCTATGACTTTTTAGCCTTAAAAATAATACACGCAACTCGCATGAAAATTGCACAATCCTCAATGTGCCTTCATGAAGACTTCAATGCAACAGCTTTGTTCCTTGATTATTATAATGACCTTTACTAATAGGAAAGAGGTTCCTATAGCTTTAAAGAGATTTTGTGACCATCAGGAATCCTTTCAGATTGGATCTGTAAGCCCCTCTAAATTATTCCTTGTGAAACATGCCATTTATAGGTGATTAGATCTTAAGTAAAAAAATGAATTGAACCTCTCTTGAACTCTATACTCTAATATGGATGTCACAGTAAAGACCTAGAAGCAAATCTTCAAATTAAAGTACCACATAGAGAAAAAAAAAGGAGGTGTTTGCATTTCGGGCATCTTGGAATTTTTTTTGATGATGTCGGTACAGCGACGTTTATCATCGATTTTCTTGGAAATGGTGTAATTTATGGTAATAAGTCATTCTATAAAAAGTGCTCGAAATTATATCATGAGTTGATTTAAGTAAAAAAATCTGACATTATGGTCCGTTTTTCATATTTCGAAGTCCGGATTTCAAAGAACGCAAGAAATGTTGAGGGCAACTGAAATGGATTTTTGGCGGCGATCTGCTGGCATTTCGAGACGGGACCGTGTCCGTAATGAGAGAATTCGCCAGGTGATGAAGGTTGAGAAAGATATCGTGCACGACGTCATGTCCAGGCAGTTATGCTGGTATGGACATGTGCAAAGAATGTCGGAGGAGAGGTTGCCCGAACAAGTTTCGGATTGGGTACCACCTGAGAAGAGGCGACGGGGACGTCCCGTAAAGGGTTGGCGGCAGGGCGTTGACGAAGAGATGTCGCGGTGTCAGTTGCCCGAGAACCTCTGGGAAGACGGGCATATGTGGCGTTTGGGTGTCGTAGAACGCCAGAGTGCGTTGTAAAGCGACTTCATATATATATATTCCGGATTTCGCTGGCCAAGTTGTACCGACCTACGTCACAGGGTAAACAAATCTCAAGATGCAAACACCTCCTTTTTTCTCTCTATGAAAGTACCAAGATTTCTTATCTGCTGTCTTCAATAATACATGGTTGCTATTCTAGAGTTAGTTCTGTTCTAAATATTTATTATCTAAAGACTGCTGTCGGATCTCGTTAAAGAGAGAGGAGTCAGCTTTTGTTAGTCTACAATATCGTTGGGTTCTCTCTCTGAATTGATTTTACCAACAGGGAATATGAGAGAGACCCAACTGTGCCCTTGGTTCTTCTCTCTGCATTAATCGAGCTCTTATTGCGTTAAGGAGAGGGGAACCAAGTTATTGAAAACTAGAAAAAAAACAATGATTTTTTACAGAAGACTCTCTTTGTCAGAAATAAAAAAACAAAGCTCCTACATTTTCTTTATAAAAATAAAAATTGTGAAAGGAAAAATTTCACTCACCCCTGTAAGTAGCCCTGCATTAAGACTTTTCTCATTTTTTAAACCTAACTTAAATTTTTTTCTCCTTTACTTGTAATCACAAAAAATATAAAAAAAACCAGTTGAACTTGCTATGATACGTTTTGTTGAACCGTAGAGTAATTCCTTGTTTTCTTGCCAATTTTCTGGCTGAGCACATAGTTTTCTCCCTAGGAAGCATAATCTGAAAATCTTCATCGAAGTGATTCTTCATAAACTCTCTACTGAAGCCAAGCTAATTTTTTTGCTGAAATTTCATCCGGCAACAACCCCAGGTGCAAAAGTAGGTTGATTTTTAGCTTTTCAAATGTATCATGACAGGGTTATTCTTTCCTCCTCTTTTTTTTTCATATTATTACTTTAAGATAAAAAATTGATAGAAGTAATAAAATAGCATTTGGCACCAAAAACTTCAAAAATTTAGAGTGATTTTCTCATGGTGAGATGGAACTCGAATACTTAGGCACTTAAAACTAATTGAAAAATAAAAACATGAGTGGTTCAAAAACCTTACCTTCAGAATGATCGCTGTGCTATGATTCGAAAATTGTAACACTTCAGAATTCCTATGAAATTGCTGAAAGCTTAAATCTTCAACCTGAGATAGAGCACCTTTCCATTATTTTTTTCGGGAGTAAAAACCTGAATTTTTGAGTTCAGTTTATTATAAAGTTGAGCTAAGTTCAAAAACGCAATAGTGTACTTAATTTCTTCGGAAAATACACTAAAAATATCTTCAGCACAAAATAAATTCTTGTGCCTCCGCTTTGGCCGAGAATGAAGCAGAGAGAAGGCGCTGAGACCCTACCCTCAGTCAGGAGTAGGTTTACGACATCGAAGTTATATATACAGATTTTGTTTTCTCTTTGGGGTCCCACTCAGTGGTTCTTGTAGTTGTTGAGTGAAATCCTCTTAGAGAAGGGAGGAAAAGTCTGTTAAAACATCCCCCTCCTGAACCACTACGTAAGGCCTTTATAGGCGTAGTCACGGTGAAGTGGTGATATTGCATCTGGCCAAGGGTGGCAGAAACTCAGGTATGAGGAGGAAGTGGGGAGACCTGCCAGAATTTTTTAAAAAGTTTGATATTCTATTCGAAAAGCCCAATTTTTCAAGCAAAAGGTTTGTTTTATTTTCATTATTATTATTTTACTTTTCATTTTTTTTGGTCGGAGGAACTGATCATGAATTTGGGTGAAAAAGAGAAAAGGTTTGGACCTTTTCTCTTTTTCACCCAAATTCATGATCGGTTCCTCCGACCAAAAAAAATGAAAAGTAAAATAACTTTCTGTACCCCTGCGCTGACCTATCTACTGTAATTCCCCTGGAGGAACAAATAGTTTCTGATCAGAAGAAGTCAGGTTTGAGGTTTAGGAAATATGTGTCATCCTTTTTCGAGGGCAAAGTCTGCTCCTCAATGATTCATTAAGTCTAAAGAGGGTCACGCTGTCCTTCGAATTTTCAAATATCCGCGCCTTACGGAACATGGCAGAAGTGCAGCTACCTAGCGGGCAAAGTTCTACATCTCCGATTCGAAACAAACACACAAATCAGCTGTTTGATGTAAACAAAAGAAAGTTCTACTCCCCTCCGCTTCTTTCTATCCCCTCTTATCTTTTTTTCTGACGTCATTTGACAGCTGACCATTAAAATGGCGTATAAACAAACGTAAATAAAGAGAAGAACAAAGGGATTGTTTATTTATTTATCAGTGACATCGTTTGCAGTGCTACAATTATTTTTTTTTCATTTATTGTCGACTTCAGTAACAATGTTAGAGTTAGAAGTTGTGCCAGAAACTTCCCTGGGATGTGATCAATGGGAATTCGTGCTAGGTTTGTCTATTATCTCTCAATTCTTCTTGAAGCTCTCATCTTTTCACAGAAACTTTTGAAAGTTTTCAATATTCTCTTCAAAATGTCCTGTATGCAGTTTGCGCAATTGCACCTAGAATCACCTCTCACTAAGTATATCACTTGCCACAAACTGACAAAATATCAATCATCACCAATGCATGATGCGTTGGACGCCTCCTTTTTCTCTTAACTAGAAGCATTTCTTTATTTCTTCTCATACCCTTCGCACTCAATTCCCACCGCTCTCTGAATCTTACTAGGCAGTGGAACTCACTCACAGAGCAGTTTATTGTACCCACTACAGTCTTTGAATGTTTTAAGAGGCATCATCAACAAACTTCTTAGATGTCCTTGTACTTTGTCCGCTTACATCATTTCCATTTCTCAAAGCTTCTCACACATACGGATTAATTATCCTCAATTTTTTTGTCATTATCTATACTCAAATGATGTAAGAAGCTGCTTCTGCATCATCCTAAAATATTTCATGCTTTAGGATCGTAAGAATTCCATTGTAAAGGCTGTGTCCCGCAATCTAACGCTCTTTAAAGTCGGAAATCTCAGCATCCAGAGTTTAACAACTCTTTGCTTTTACATCAGCATCAAAGAAATATCCATATCTATCAGTGTCATTAGTAACTTGAGTAATACCCAAGTGACTTGGTGAGGATTTCAGAAATATAATCAGCATATCTGCCATTTATGAAGACATCTCTATCACTCGTTTAAATGTTTGGGGGTGAAATTTTGGGGATGCGTGATGGAGACGAAAATTCTCCTCTAATGAGAGCAAATTTCTGCAGAGCATTGTCATCAGTAAAAGTTATAAAATGAGAACTGAAGAGATCTCCTTATCTGATCCTTTCTATGTTTACATGACTTGGTTGATGAATATAGTTCCTACCTTTGTTACACTGCAACGAGCCTTTGAATAAACATGGTCTCTTTTTAACAGAATCCCAAATTTACTAAACCTTCTTTATTTTCTAGGAATGCACTTTTCACAGGCTGTTGCCATCATTCAATCTCAAGTAGGAATTATCAAAGGGGTCCAAGTTTTGTACAGCGACTCAGTAAGTTAGAAACTTTTGATTCTATTCAATACTGAATACTTACCATGTTCTTTGTATGATTTGTTCTTACTTTGGCAGCTCTGAAATAGCTCTAATATTTAGACTGTACAGAATACCTCAATTTTTGGAATATTTTCTTGAAGGTATAGTATGAACTATCCGGACTCCACGAATATCATTGAACATCACTATAGAGCATACAGGGATGTGGAAATGCTTGAGGACGCGAGCTGATGCTTGCATCGTGAGTTAGGAAATCTGTGAGCTTTAAGAATTGTTTTTTAAAATTTTTTTGCTCAATATGTATTTAAGATATTTTTGCTGAGAAAGTAAATTTCAATGTAGAGATTGCGATTGACATTTGCTCTGAAGAACTTCTTGCACCGCTATCAAAACAAAGTCGAGGGTGTTTTATTATTACAGCCTCTTAAAGTTTAAATCCTGGAAGTTGTAACAGGGGAAATTATATTTACTGTTCCTTGTTATTAGGTACAGACTATTTATCGGGAAAAGGAAAATAGTGTAATAATTGCGAGGGCTTTCACTCAAATGATTAAGGCATTCCTGTAATCATGATGAGGCGATATCTCTCATCAGTGTCGTCGTTTTGGCATTTTTCATCATTCCCTTTTTTTTCAGGCTCCTCTAGAAGCAGATCTCGTGTTGAGTTTACCCCAGGATGGCATCAGACTTGTATTTGACCCGATCTCACAACGTTTAAAGGTTAGTTTTCCCTCCTCTTGCATGGTTTAAAATTGAAAGGCTTTGATTTATTTCATCAAGCCAATCGCTTTCTTTTTCCTCTTTTTTTACTAAAGATAAAAAAATTGAAGAATGGAATTCTGTACGTATCTTTTTAAATCCCATCGATTGGACCATTTTGATACCGTACCATGAACGGATAGAATGTGCCTATGATGCAATGAAAAAGCTAGTTAAACTGATTCAAAGAAGGAGTAAAAATGTTTCACATTTTTAATCAGCACTTGAAGAATGAGGGCGAAACACTTGCCAGCCTTCATTTTAACTAATTATAATTTGTAAATTAGTTTTCTTAAATGTATACATCTAAGTATTTACTTATCTAACTCTTTTTACTCTCTCAGCAGCCTGATTGTTGAAACTCTACCTGGCTTTGTCGGCAAGATAAAACACAATATAAACCTGCGCCTATGATATAGATCTGTACTGTACAATGTATCGATGCCTTGACAGTAATTTTAACAACCAGGCCACTGTTCTTCCAAATCATTTATCTTGTCTCTCATTTTTCAACCTGTCTGACGGAGGTTTTAATCTAATGTTGTATAATTTTTTTTTTTTTTCAGATAATTGATATAGTTAATATGAGATTAGTGAAATTAAAATATTGGTAAGCACACTATGATATTATCAAAAGCTCCACTAGCATATGTATATTTTATTTTTTTCATTTTGAGAACCATTCATCATTAGTATTTCCCTTTAATGGAATGGTAATTACTGGTTCACTTTCTGCCCAAGCAGAGTTGAGCTCTTACTGTTTTAGAACCTTAATTTCTAGTCCTGAAATTTTTCCATGGATACTTTAATTTTTTCAAGATTGAAATTTTACTTGTATTAGGTAGTTTGAAGTCAGAATTCATGACTGAAATAAAGAGAAGAAAGCTGTAAGAAAATCGTTTCACAAACTTCCATGAGAAGGAGAAAAGAATTAGAAAATAGAGTGACTCAAATTATCAGTACTCCAAGAATCCAAAATCAATGGTGAAACTGCAAGAATGCGTAACTTGGAAAAAATAATTTTTCAGGAGAGCTGAAGTACTCCAAAATTCCCTAATTTGACGTTCGAAAGGTAAAAATTCATTGAGATAGCAAAAATTATATGCTTTTCAGTTCTGCAAGCATTCATAAAAATAACTTCAAATATTGGGAATTATGAGAGAATAAGCGAGATATGCATCTTGCAAATCAGGTTCCAATACTTCATACCAAGATACGCAAATATTGCATTAAGGCTCTGAGCCAGTATTTAACTTAATTTAGTTTTATGAATACCAGACAAAGACTTCTGAAGAATAGCTAAAATCAATGGTGAAACTGCAAGAATGCGTAACTTGGAAAAAATAATTTTTCAGGAGAGCTGAAGTACTCCTAAATTCCCTAATTTGACGTTCGAAAGGTAAAATATTCACTTATGGGGACCCTACTTATATTCACTTATGGGGACCCTAAGTATACTAAACCCAAAAAATCACTAATTGGGATATTTAGCTCTAATGCCAGTGAATTGCTAAAGGAGCGTTTGCATATGAGTTCATAGTGGTACCTATAACAGCAGCTAAGGCAATTACAGACAGGGAAGGCAGCGCTTGATTTGATTACTCTATGAACACTGGTTTTTTATGCATTCAGGAGAACCACACAAAGCTAGCATGAGATTCATGTTATGGGAATCAGCCCCAAGATAGGCACTAATTGAATAACATTCTTGAGTATTTACCTGATGAGTTCAGCTCTCATTTTTTGCAAGATTAAATTTTTCCTTTTTAATTAGGTCTTGTTCTATTCTCTCCTTTCCAGTGGAATGTTATTCAATACACCTGAAATACTGCCGAGCATCGAGCAAATCGAACACTCATTTGGAGCAACGCATCCTGCAATATATGATGCTGAGCGACAAACGTTTGTTCTAAATTTCCGCGGTCTTTCCTTTACTTTCCATGTCGATTCCAAGCTCCAGGTAAATTATTTTCTCTTCTTATCAAATAATTACAGGAAATTGACTAGCTTACCAGGTTTGTTGATTTTGACATTTCATAACATTTTTTGACAGTTTAATCAAAGCATTTTTAATAATTTTGAACTTTCAAACTGAAATTTATAAATCAATCAGTGAGATTACAAACCTGCCCGTAACCTTATACTACTCAATTTTAGGAAGAACCCTTGCTTGAAACCTCTTGAAAAGTACTTTTCAGTGATGGTAGTACCTCTTTTCTTTGCTATCTGTAGGAACAGAGAAAAATACAACTGGCAATCAAGAAGCTTAAACATTTGAAATTTTACTGTTTCAATTACTCCCCTGTTTTATCTTTCCTATTTATTATTAATTTTTTTTCAAATTTTGCTTTTCTTAATAATTCTTTATCTGAATTTCAGTCCAACATATCCCATGCAGGGTTGACATCTCTCAAATTCCCGAATGGACTATCCCCAGTCGTTTCACAGCTGAGTGTGTATGTTGGCAACAAACTTTCTAGCGCTTCTCCTCCACCATTGCCTTTCTCATGCTACCAGCATCTCATTTTTCTGGAGCAGGCTCATATTTTACGAGATAAGAACTCGACTAAAGGTCTCAGACTGCATCTGTTTTATGAAGGTTTGTACAACTAGTTTTCATTGTGTGCGGTATGAAAACAGTGCAATCAGTTTGATTATTCGGGGAAAGGACCTTTCGTATCACAGGAGGTAATTAAATTAAAGATGAAAGCAGAAGAAAATCAGATTCAGGGAAGAAAATAGAATAAAAATAAAAAAAAACACCCCCTCAACCAAATTGCTCTATGTACACTTTTTCCTTAATGCATTAAGACAGACAAATTCTTATTTTACCTGGCTTTTAATCTGAGTAAAATACTTCACATTGTCAATCTTCTTCCCCCCCCCCCTCTCTATTATTTGTCTGAGTTCTCGGGTATTATTCTGCAAGTAAAACTTTACTCAACCTGACTGACATGTAATAAATATAAATTTACGCTGGTCTATGAGGGTTAAAAATTTATTTTAAATAGATCATCTTTATTGTTGCCTATTTCATGTTATTAGTATCTTTACTCTGTTTCAAAAGTCAACTCTAAACTCTCTTTTTTGCAGGGGTCAGTCGAGGAACAGAGAGCAAGAAAAATTCCCTAGTCACTGAAATCTATTTTAATGCCACCTGTCAAGATGTTACCACAATTCTTGGTGCTCCATCACGCGTTTTTTACAAGGCAGAGGACAAAATGAAGATTCACAGTCCCAACGCACATAAGCGAGTGACACGCAGGCGTTCTGATTTCTTTTTCAACTACTTTTCTTTGGGCCTTGTATGTTTGTTCTTTCACTTCCATGTCTTGTGTAGTGTTCGATATTTTGAAGCAAATTGTCAATTATAATATAGGAATAATTATGACCAAGGTGATTTGTGAGGCGCTACGTGGCAACTGACAGACTTGTCATGCTACCAAAGAATTATTGATGGTAACTGTAAGGTATTTAACAAAGAAGAGCCTTTTCAGAAATACTTTTTCAATGTACAGTCCGTGCTTCCCTCAAGGTGGTTTCCCTGAGTAATTTCTCTTTTACCAATGGGTATTTTCCGAAAATTTCAAGTCTATATCTTAATTAATTCCAAAGTTACAGGGCTGGTGTGGAATTTTTGGATCACCCTGTATGGCCAAGACTGTGCTGTACTTTAGTACGAATCTTCTAATCATATTAGTCTAATAAGATAATAATTTTTGCTCATGTTTCCGCAATTCTAAGTTTGTTTTGGAGGCAAACCACATAAAATCATTTTGATTTTTGTCAGATTTTGAATAATTTTTAAGTAAATATTAATTTTTTGTCAATTTAATTAATTTGCTTATTTTTTGTTTAATCTTCAGGATATTCTCTTTGATGCCAAATCCCAAAAAGCGAAGAAGTTTGTCCTGCATACCAACTACCCAGGACATTATAATTTTAATATGTGAGTACTTATTTTTCATATCACATTATTCATGATACAATGATTATTTTGTAGTAATTGGGCCTATTGATGCTCCTCTGACCTCAGGGCGTATTTCAATTTTCATTAGAACCCTAGAAAGCACGGAGTTATGTGGACAATCAGGCTTATCTATCCCGAAATGGAATTACACCACATTAGAGGGACAACGATATGGTTTGATGAATTAGTTCCATAACTCCCTCCTTTACCTTGTGCATCACAGGAACAAATAGATTCTCTTTTCATGAAGATTGTAACAGTTCCACCAACTTCTGCGATGTTTATGAGAGCTATGTTGATGTATTTCTGTGAAAATGCAAAAGTTTGAAGAGTCAGCACAGTGTTGTCCGGTGCATATGAATCCAGGCGTTGTTGCAGGTGCTCAGTATAGACGCACCTTTGCCTGTGAGAGGGTAAAACTGAAGTTTGTTTTTACATCAATCATATTTAAACAAATAATCTTGCAACCTCCCTCTCGTTCATGATTTTCGTCATTTTTGAGCATTTTGTTCCTTCTCATTTGTTCGCGTTGCAGAAAGAGAATCTTTAGTTTTGAATCATAGTAAGTGAAGTTTGCAACAGTTAGCGAGATTATTTATTTATTAAGGTTAGACTTTCTCAAATCACTACAGGCAAACTTGATTGCTAGGTACAAAGAAGAACTGTCCGCTGACGGGAAATTTCAAAGAGCTTGTTACAAACTCTGCAGATGGCGCGTAGGGCTGTTCTATCGGTTGTCGGTAAGCTACCGAAACAGTTCCGTCAAGAAAAAGTTACGATAAGAGTGCTCTTGCCGATAGTGATCAGAGTTTTCGGAGCTGACAAAAATAAGCTGTTGCCATTTGTACATCTATTTCACGCGCCGCTGTGCCAGGCAATCTGATAAACCGACGCACGGGGCAACAATGCATTGAGTGCGAGCTCTCAAAAATCCGATAAGGCCGGCTGTTAACAATATCATCGCCACTGTCGGTACTGCCGCCAGTTTCAATAAGAGACGATATCGATAGTGTTCCGGCAAGAATTCGTTTGAACACCCCTAATGGCGCGTTAAGGATTGACTTTTGGACTGTTTTTATGTGCTCATCATGATTTTCCTGCAATTTTACTGTGTAAAGGAAACATATTAATGTTTTTATAAACTAGTTAGGTTTGAATAATTATTATATCTGGGTTAACAGAATTTAAATTTATTGGAGTAATGTGTAATATGGAAGTATTTTTATTTTTCGAGTTGAAACTTCTGATTTTTATATTTGATTTTTTAAAAATTCTGTGAGTTGTGATCATAGTATTTGATCAGTTCATTATTGATTTAAATGAAAAAAATTTACCTACAATTTGATCGGAGGAGGCATGGGAGAATTTCCCATTCACGTAAAAAATCATATGGTTACTGCCATAGGAATTATTGAAAATATCCCTGTGTTACGAATAATTCTGCGAGACTTAGAGTCTACGTCTCTCAGCTTTATCTCTTGAATCATATCCATTGAAAGAAATACGAATAATTAATTTTTAAATGTTTTCCTCTCTTCAGGTATCATCGTTGTGAGTTCAATCTCAGTCTACCAGCTTCCCAAATTCAAACTTCCAACACAGACATCACTGAAACTAGGTGTACAACTCTGCAGGTAATAAAGACAGTAAAAGAATGTGAAGAATTTTCTAAAGCAACGTAACACGAGTATGAAGTACAGTAAAATTTGCAACTCTTAAAATGCAGCCTTGTCTTGTGATACATAATTTGCACTGAAATCATATTCCTCCATCCAATACTTTTTTGTGACTCAAAAGCATCGAAATGAGATGCAGCATATTCCTGTTTAATCTAAATGGCATGATTTTGAATGGTTATTTGCTCCCGTCTTTTATGGTTCCTTTTCCAAGAAAACAAGGAATACTTGTTGCAAGCATGTAAAACCCAGGATTTGAAAAAAAATAATGCTGTCAATAAAGAGTTAAAATTATGAGGCCCTGCTCATGTGAACTCAAATCAGAGCTATTGCTCTTTTCTCCTTACTGGAAGAAATTGGGAGGAAATCTTAAAATTTTCGAAGACACGAATACAAACAAAAGAAAGTTTGCCTCAGGAGGAATATTGTTGAAGCCATCGAAAGAGCAGTGATTTTGAAAAATCTTTACTATTTCTAAAATTTAGTAACTTTTTTAGATAGTTGTTAGCACAACAACATTTAATGCTGAATGAGCTAAATGACGGTTACCCTACCTTCTTAGTGGAACCCCTTTTTCTTAATATTACTTTATTTTCGCCCAATTGAATATGAAGCCGTTATTATGCCGTTTTAGTCTTTGGCACAAACACCATTTGACATAGTATTCTGTGCTGAAGGCCAACCTGATCAAAACCTGATATTGGTGAGGCTCTTTACTGATGGATCTGATGCAAACGTTTGCTGGATCTTATCCACGTGGTAGATACATTGACGTATAATACAATCTTGACTGCGCATTAGAAAATTTTGGCGAGACTAGAGTCCCTTCAGGCGAGACGATAGGCAACCCAGCAAGTGAACCAGCAATATGTACCAAGACAATGGAAATGCCAGTCTTGCCAGTGCCGTTAGCCGTTGCCTGGTACGCTTCGTTCGTATATCTGGCTGTATCAACTAAGCTGAAGACGCGTCTTTACCCTGATTTACCCCGCTGGCTGTCTTACCTCCCCCGCCTAAAGTCGGGCCTAGTGCGCAGTCTGGATTGTGTTATAAGTCAATGGGTAGATAGCTCCAAATTCACAAGGGACTCATCAGAAAAGTTTGAAATTCACTCTTAACTGCACAATCTGTGGAAGAAATTTGCGCATTTCTAAGCTTCCTGCGTTAGTGACTATTGATTCTGAAAAGTAACCTCAATTTTACAACTCCTCAAGAAACAGCTGCCATCATATTTTGCTATCAAGATCAAACAACATAACAAACTCCACACATCCCACATCCTCACTTTCCTGCTTTAAGTTAAGTTCAACAAGCAAAAGTACTTACGTTCTTTGTTCTCATTCAAAGAATGGTGTCACATGAAGGGTGACCATCTTACGTTTTACATGGAGTTGTAAACCTGAGGTGAATTTTCTTTAACAAAGTATGTTATTGTTGTACTGTAAGTTTTGAAGCAAGAAGTTCAAAAATGCCTCAATTGTATAATTAGGAGTAAACTTTAGACTCTATCAAAGTGCTCATCATGATTTCTGAGTAATGGCAACTAGTAGCAACTCCTCTTTTTGGTTAAGTGAAAGTTTGCAGCAGACTCATTGCCCTTGCTATGAAGTGCATTATGTATCTTTGGCGAAGAGAAAACCCACCAGCTAGCCAGCGAGCTAGAATGTTGGCAATCAATGTACACAAAATATGACACATATTTATAGACATTGTTAAATTATTTACATTTTAAGACGAAATAATTTTATCTATTCACCTCACACCAAAAATTGAAAAGTTGTACAGCTTTAGTAATAACAGTCATAACGAAGCTAATGCTAATTTGGGCTCACTCTGCTTGATTAGGTATCAGCGTATACCAAATGGGACACAATTTCAGAGTACCTGAAACCAAGTGAACGACCAGTCGTCCTGAACCGGGCATCTTCTACCAATACGACTAATCCATTTGGTTCAACATTTTGCTATGGTTACCAGGATATTATATTTGAGGTAAGCTGTAGGTTTGTAAAACTATCCAACTTTTCCATGCAATCATGGAGGCAAATTAGTGCCAAGAGACAAAGAAATAAAATTTCATTTTTGGGTACCTCCCAAATAATTTTTGATAAAAGTATTTAATGGTAGATAGAAGACATCTCCCATAACTCATTTATGCAGCTGACTCCCAACTGACTATATTGAAGGTTCGTCGTTTTGTAAACCCACCATCAATGAGTAAGATAGTCATGTAGATGAACAAGGAATTTTGGGGAAAAGACTCATCATGCATCATTATGTTACAATTGGCAACATGTATTAGACACGTAGCAAAATTTGAATAGACACTGTTCCTGCCTTGACTTTCTTTCTTAGATCTGTTCTACATAATTCTTTGCCGTTATTTTTGAGGTACTTTCGCAAGCAGAGGAGATGTACATTTTTCTTGAAATCGCAATGGAACGAAAAATCACAGATTTTTGTTTCCAAATTTTTCCCTTCATGAAAGCATTTAAACTCCATTCTGAATAATTTTGTTTTTTTAAAATTCTCTGTGCCTTGCACTTGTCATGATATTGGACGCCCCAGCTTTTCTGGTGCCTATCCAGTTCTGATTTAAGATGAATTTTTGTTAAATATTTCTCTAAGAGTATCACCTACACAATCTTGTAATCTTTTTTTTGTTAATAAATGAAATTTCACTTGTTTCTCTTAATGCTCTCGATTTTCCAGCATGGACTTGAGCCTTGTGATGTCAGTAAATACAGAACTTACCTTAAATTCCATCACTCAAACCTTGCTCTCTTTCACCGTACACAGCTAATGTGATCTTCTGTTTTAGGTCATGCCAAACAATCATATTGCATCCATGACTTTGTATACTCAAGAATTAACCATTGGCCCCGATCAAGTGAATGATGAGGTATGACGATGGCTTACCGCCACTGTCGCCACAGTGTGCACGTTGGCGGGCAAGTGTTGATAGTTGACAGCTGTCAAGTGAGTATTTCTAACTTCTGATATTAGTTTCGAACATACCTAATTAAACATAAGGCCCTAACACTTGAAGCTTGTAAGTTCTGAAAGTATAGATTACCTTCATTGCTTTGGTCAAATCCCTACTTCTGTAAAGTGTAAGAGATGATAATTTCAGTAATCTGAATATCCTTACCTACACCAACACAGTTTTTCTCTGCTAAGAAATTTCAATCATATAGGACCCACTTATTTTCACACAAAAATCTCACTTCCAGTTGAATACTTGAATGGGAATTATTACCAATTAAAATTATGTACAAAAAATTAGAGATTTGATTAGTTTGACATTCCGTCTTCTCTTTTGTTTCAGCCAGCACTGAACGTTGGATGCCAAAAATTTTGTCTGACACCATGGAGCACAACTGCACTTTGGATTTTTCGCAACTTCTAATTAACCTTGATACATGAAATCTCCTCAATGCAATTTGCACAAGTCTAGATTATCTACGAGTACTAACCTTGCATCGAACTTGGTGGAAATATGCATCTCCAAAATCTTCTCAACGTAGTGAGTCTCTAATATGAAGATCATCGTTGTCTCTTTATATCAAAGAAGTGTCTGTAAGTAGGTTATTAAGTTCTCTCTTTCTACAGATAAGAAATGCCATAAATGTATATATTTATTTTAGCTGTACTGTATCCGAATGCTTTACACATTCAAAGAACTCTGAAAATATCAATCCGCCAGGTGAAGCTTCTGTGCTCTGTTTAATGATTCGCTATCATTGAAAAATTGGTGTGTATTTGTATCCCTTAGAGGATATGTATAAGCCAGAGTTTGTTATTTACACTTTGTCTCATCCTTTGAGGCGCTTTGTTAAAAAGTTTCTGATCTTAAAAATGGAAATAAAACCCGTGAGTTATCAATTAAAAGGAACTTGTCCTCATATTCCTTGATTTTCGTTTATTTATTTTGAACCTTGTATTCATATAGAACCTTGCGCTGAGCTTATGGACCCATAACACCTTGTAACTTAGGAATGAGTGTTGTTCAGATGGATTTCATTGATTGTCCTAAGTAAAAAAAGCTCCAAGGATGGTTGCGTTTTGTGGCTTGGAAAAACCATACTCAACTATCAAACTTCATTACTTTCCTCAGGCTTTGAGAGGAACACAATTTATTTAAATTGTTCAAAGTCTTAGTTGTTGTATTATAGAACTATTATTTAGTTTCCCCCCTTCAAAGGCAATTTATAATCTTGTCAGAAAAAAGTAAGGACAGAGGAAAATTCTTCCATCATAAAATATACCAAAATTAGTTTAGTGCTGGATTTGACTTGAGGAGACTTTGGTTTTGGTGTAGCGGGAAGTGTGAATTAACAAACACGCAGACCGTCATTTTCTCACTTATGAGTTGCACATTTTGAATGCAACCATCGTCTTCTACATAAAATTTCGCTGGAGAAACATACATAGGGATGCTTAGTTTTGTACCCTTTCTTGTGGTCCATTGTGACCTAAGAGTAAATAAACAAACAAGGGTGAAAGGATACACGGTAGTCAATTCTATTAGTAACAACACGAAATCTGTAGGTGGAATATTTTTCAATTCGAAACAGGGTTGGATTTTCAGCGACTGAGAAAGTTTTTACCTTGGCTAAAATTTGATTAAATGAAAAACCGAAAAAAGTACGCATTCTCAATTTTACATACGTCCCAAAATTGAATTAAATAAAGTGTGCAAAACTCCCATTATTATATAGAAAATATAAATCAGTCGCTACTTTTACCTTAAAACTATCTTGATTTCATGGAATTACAAAGATTGATAAACTCAGTTTTTGTTTCCTTACACTTTCATCACTCTAAAAAGCGGCTAACAAGGCTAAAATTTCACACACAAAACTAAAACGTTTTGGCTGAATTTTCAGCCGAAACGTTTTGGTTTTGTTTGTGAAATTACAGCCTTGTTACCCGCTTTTTAAAATGTTTTTTATTGTACATCTTGTCACAGGCTGCGGAGCATCTATCATATCTCACTCTATAGACTGATTTAGTGACTGTATCATTCATTAGATCGATGTATCAGCTGGTCCAATTGTAATTAAAAACATATCCTCAATCTCAAAAAATTTAACCCTCTAATTAGCTGTTTGAATTTTACTGCGCTTTCAAAGCGCAGCATCAAAATTCAAAAGGGCATATTAAATTTAAATTATATTATCGCTATGTATTGAATGTTGTAGCTACTAAATCAATCAATGGCGGAAGAACAAAAAAAAGACTGAGATAAACGAGACAATGCCAAAGTATCACAAGCACCATTTATGCTCAGACGCTACATTGCTCGACATCTTAATATTGTTTTAATTTTCTTTTTAAACTCCTACACTAAATTTCATGAAATAAATTCTGCTTTTAATCTTGATGAGGAAAGAAATATCAGGTAAAATTTTCCAGTGACTCTGTTCATTGGTTTCTCCCTAAAAAAATTGGACAAGTTAGAGAAGTTTGACAGCCCAGTGCCTAGGCACAAATGGCACTTGTGATACTTTGGCCGGAAGGTGACGATATGAATTTAAATCCTTGATGGTAGGAAGAAATAATTGTTTAACTTCTTTCTGATTTACTCTTGTTGAAAATTCACTTCAGCTTTATTTCTTTAGGAACTGACTCATGAAATTTATAATGGTAAAAAAAATATCAATTTAATAAAAAAACCAGATTAGTCGGACTCACAGTGCGAAGCATTGGAGCAGCCACTTTCATCTAACGGTTGAGATGGCACAGGGAAGTGCCCCAATTTTGCTCTGATGACCATCACAGACAATATCGCTAAACTTAACCACAAACTCACCGCAACAAATGACATGTCAAAGATACACATGAATAAATAAAAAAATGGCAGCAATGCCAAATATCCATAAGATGCTAAAGATCGGAGGCTTAGTCGTGGTGGGAGGAGCCTGGAAACTCGCGGACAATATCCACTTTCAGAGTGTTTGTTGTAATAATAGATGACTTGCGGCCCACAGAGTATTTGCCTTGCAATCCCACCAACAAGGTCCTCTCTCCAGTATAGTTCCTTGAGTGTGTCTTTGAACTACACAATAACAGAACAAGAAGCTTAGGTGTTTTCGAAATGAAGTAAGGGTCTAATGAAATTTATTGAATGCATGTTGCCCGCATTATACTTGAACTTTTGGGGTCTCCTTATAAGCATATTTGCAAAGAATACTTGTATTTTGGTTCACTTACACCATCTATTTAGATTCATTTCACATGAGGTAAAAACTGAATTTCAAGAATAATCAGCGTTTCAAAATTTTTTGCACCCCTGCCACAGAGTCACTTTAACAATTTTTTTTTCTCTTGAATATCATTGTGAATAATGTTCGTACGAAAAAAATTCCCGGGAAATACAATGAAATAGAATTCAGTCTCTTGTTTCTCTTATAAATGAATGGCTATGTATCTCCACAAACAATGTCTGTAGGAGACGCTATCAAAACTATTTATTACTATTTGTTATCCTGAAAACTGCGGTTGTAAAAAAACCTATCTTTAACAAATAAGATTGGTTATTCTATTCTAAGTTCAAAGAATAATGATCAGAAATCAGTAATGGTTGTGATCATCGAAGGATATAGTTACTGGTTTCCCAGCATTGCGTGGGCATGATGAAAACTAGACCAAAAAGTTACCTAAAGGTTTTTTTTTTTAATATATATCTAAAATTATTAGATTAATACTCATTTCTTGTTGCTTTAGACATTTGTGCTTTGCCAGTAGCAGAAGTTTCCTCCAAAACAATTTTTAGCCGCAAGAAAAAAGGATTAGCAAAAACAGCATATGAAAGCTTTTTTTTTAACCCCTGTAACTTTAACTGTAATGAAAATTTGTAAAAAGTATTCTTTAGAGGAGTGTTTGCCCTATATCAGAAACATGAGTAGAATCTCCACTGTACAGATGGCTTCTAAATGCATAGCTCCACAAACTTTAAATGCAATTTTCTCAAAATGGCAAAACTCTACATCTGATATTAATTCGTATGATGCCTTATATGCGGAGGGCACTGATGGAAGCCCAATAAATGCATGTGTAAAATCTTATCTTAATAAGAAAGCTGACCCTCTAAGTGCTCCCACATTCTTTTTGAATCCACATGACTTGAAGACAAACTGAAATCCAATAAGAACAACACTTACCAGAGTATTGATGCAAAATGATAAATGAAACAGTATCCGAACGAAGACAGCACATTCCCAACTTCGGATGGGCTGCAGGTCAGGATCTCCTTGATACTTCAACTTCAGTCTTTTTTGTTTTCTGGATGAATTCTGGGGAAGCAATGAAAAAAATAAATGAACAAGACCACATTAAGCAGAGGAATTGGACAACAAGTTGGATTTTGCGATCGCTAGCGATAGCAATATTCGTCATGGGAACGTTAGCTTCTGGGATATGAAAATGTTAAGGTACAGTTCGTTTGTAGTATCTTCTGAATTGAAGGGGCTATGCATCCATTGAAGGGACTATGTAATTTTGTGTTGACATCTCTTTTTTAACATTTTTAATTCTTTTCTTTGCATACAAGAAAGCTGTTATGTACCAATTATTTATTTTCGTTGGATTATATATGGTTTTCGGAAGTTAACGCATTTAAGTTTCAGGTTCGCTTTTTCGGCGTAAAGTATACCTACATAAGGTGTCCCAAAAGCACCGGGACTTGTTCTGTAACTTCGAAAGTAAGATAGATACAGACATGATCTTGATCTCATTTTAAAGATCAACTCAATACCCATCGATTAAAACCAAGATCAACTCAATCGGATAAAAATTGACCGAGTTATGGCAATTTGAAATCAGCGAGGAAAGTTTACGCCTACGATTTTTAAGGAAGATTCTTCATCGCTGTAAATCGAAAAGTCGGACGATAAAGTGATGCTTATTGTGTTTTTTTATTTTCGAGGTGTCATTTATCAACATTTTGTACCATCAAACACAACAGTTGACAGTGCGTATTATTGCAAAGTACTAAAGGAGTTGAGAATGCACATTTCCCGGAAACGGTCGGACTTGAAAGCTTCGTGGATACTCCATCAAGACAATGCGCGGCCTCACACATCGAGCTTAACACGTGAATTTATGAGTAAAAATGGAGTTGAAACAATCCCTCATCCCCCTTATAGCCCTGACTTGGCTCCATGTGATTTTTGGATGTTTCCTACGCTTAAAAAGGAGCTTCGCGGACGAAGATTCGTATCGAAGACAAAAATCCAGAATGCAATTCAAAACTTCTTCAACTCCATCCCAGAGGAAGAATTCAGGAAAACAATGTTGGATAAGTGGCAAGAGCGCATGAAAAAGTGCATCCGGTTTGATGGACGGTACTTTGAAAAGCAAAAGGAAGTTATGGAAGATTCGGAGGAAAGTGGATACGAATATTAACTTTTTGAATCCTGGTAAGCGAAAAATCTTCCTAAAAACCGTAGGGGTGAACTTTCCTCACTAATTTCAAATTATCATAACTCGGTCAATTTTTATCCGATTGAGTTGATCTTGGTTTTAATCGATGGGTATTGAGTTGATCCTCAAAATGAGACCAAAATCATGTCTGTATCTATCTTACTTTGGAAGTTACAGAACCAGTCCCGGTACTTTTGGGACACCCTACGTATGATATTTTTACTCTACACATATGCCCAAATACGCATCATAAGGGACCTATGTGCTTCCTAAGTTGCCAAGTATTAATTATTGTTAGATGATTGGTCTAAAACATTCAATACAACCAGTAAAAATTAACTGTCGTCTACGAGATTCGAACCCCCGCTCGCAACAAAAAGGATGAGAGTGAAGCGCCGAATTGGCGTCTCAAACTACCGAGCTATCTCGATGCTCATTCTTGATGAGAGAAAAGATAACAGTTAAGTGATCTCGGACGCTGAGCGGGGCTTCACAAAAGACGACCTTGACATCCGGCCACTGCTGTTAAGAGACAGCGGATTAAGCGCATTTCTCTGTGAGACATTGTTTGCCTATGCTTTCATGTGTCACAAGGTTCATCTCAGCTTGCATTTGCTATCGCGGCAGTAAACTGAGGCAATATTTCTGTATTCATGGATTAAATCCATCAATCGAGTTCTGATTTTGGCTCATATATCCGTAACGGGTCCTCCAGAACAATTTTCCGCCTTGTACGATGGTTATTATTTCTTTATATCTATGTTTAAAATTTGAGGTGGGATAATGGCGGCTTCTCAAGAGCAACGAGGTAGGCGATCTTTTGCACCAACGAACAGAAAACTGATGGCGAAAAATAACCAATCAGAACCTCCCAAAAAAAAGAATTTGCCCAAAATCGGAACTTCGTGGTTCTGCGCAGATTTACCAGTCAGACACGACATCTCAAGGTGGAAAAAAACTCGCTGAAAGCGAATTTTAGAAATCAACACAACTTGACGTAGAGACATGATTGGCTAAAAAATACAACGGTTTTTGATACATCGGAAAATCAACCAAAAATCGAAGACTGGGCGAAACGCTCAAGGTCGCAGAGGCATAGGGAATCCCATAGCGATAGCAACGGAATGATTGTAATATCATGGGGAACTCCGTTCCCATGACAATAGCTAATTTTTTTTATTATGTAATATGATGTTCTTCATGACCTCATGGGCACAAAAAGCTTTAAAAATCAGACTTCCAGCGGGAAAAGCGAATTTTTTGGGCACATTTACACACATCATCTGATAGAAGTGTTGTAGTGCCAGATTACGATTGGTACTCAAGGAGAGCAAAACAGAGAAAGGAATGTGGCTCAGGATAGCTGGAAGAGACATGGATGGGAAAAGAACAAGGGTGCAATGCATACCTTTCTCTTCATGCTCTGTTGGCAGTGTGTGTTTTGTTTTGATTTGAAGTCAAGCCAAAGCATGAACGAATATGGGATGGCAGAGGACATAAGTTCAATCCCAAGGAGAGATTGAGGAAGGTAACATTTGTGCTGAGAGACAAGCTAGGGATTCCATTTGCCTGTTAGAGGTTGGTCCATTCAAATTTTATGGTTATATACCACCATTAATTTGTCTTTTCTTTGGTCACCGGTTCTCTAAAGTACAAAGTTACATATGTAGAGGGATTTCATGCGGAAATTCTTTAAAATGTTTTCTCAAATCGTGATGCATGATTTACATCATACTTTTCTCTAAATGTAAAATTTTTCCCTTAGTATTTTTTCTGGAAACCTAAATACTAAAATCTCACCAGGGAGTCATCATCTTGATACCGAAATGATGCAGATAAGAAGGAAGAGTTTATGAGATCACTTGAAAATGGCACGGATGAGTCAACGCAATCGAAGCTCTGAAAAAAAAGAAAAATTATTTTAGATATTTTTTACCTGCAGAGGACAGGGCTGTTGTGCTAAGTTTTGGGCAGTAAATCCATATTTTGCCGGAGGTCCACTAATTACAGAATACGATTCTGCTTGTTTCAAAGAATAAGATATTCTTAACATGAAAGCCACGATTGAAACATTTATGCCGATAATTACAGAGATAAAATTGCGACTTCTCCTTCGGACCCCATATATTAAACATACTACATTTGTGTATTACTGTAAATTCGAAATCCTGTACTTACTGCTGACTGACTTAGCACAGCACAGAGTACCTGGTGTTCTGATAGCTATAACGTTCTCTGAACACATCAAGTGGAAAAAATCTTCTTCCGATCTAACATTTTCATATAGAAATTGTGGTGAAATAATAGGTTTACTTTTTTCGTACATGGGAATTACTATTAAATATTATTTACTATGGAAAAAGGGATTTAAATTCATAGAGGCAAAAATTTCAGAAAAAACAATTTGTGTGAAGTTGGATCGAAAAATAGAGCTTGAAGATTTTCACCAAAAACCATTTATCGTGTCCTAAAAAATAAATTGCGAGCAAAGAAGTTATTTTATTTTATTTTATTTTAAAAGTCTCTTGCATAAAAACTGCATTTACAGTCATTATACAGGTCAATAACAAATTAAAATATTACAATAACAACGAAACAACAAATTAGCATGAAGCATACTCTTTCTGAAGCAGCTCATCATTACTATAAAAAGCTTCACGAAGTAGGAGCTGTTTTAGCTCCAACATAAATGGTTCATTTTTCGTTCATATTCGTGCCCAATGAGAGCGTAAAATTTCATAGAAATCTGACAATTTCACAACCACAACATGTCAGTATGTCACGGCTTTTCGACAGTTTTTTCTTAGAGCTGCGTTTTTTAATCTATTTACTTTAACTTATGGGCGTTTTCCAACTTAAAATGTTTGTAGAGGACTCCTCTAGGCAATGATATTAATAAATGATTAATTATGTGGTGTTGTGGTCTAAAATCCCTTTTCCTGTAGAATATTAGAAATAAAAAACAAATAGTCCACTTGTTTATGGTTAGAAAAATATAAATATACATAAAATAGGAAACGACTGACGGATGCTATCTAATTGTTTCCATAGATTTTCTGAGTCTCAACACTTGCTGCTTAAACTGACAATGAGACTCTTGTACTGCTTATACTTGTTTGTCTTACCCTTAAGTGTTACTACACTATAAAAGAAAAGCGTTGCAACTTGATAAGAATGCACCAGCAGAGAATTAACAGATTCCTTGAATAAGATAAAAACACAACTAGTATGAAGAAACTCTAGGTAATTTTAGGTAAACTTACAGGAAAAATATTACGAAGATGATTCAAAGATTGAGATAAGAAAAACGGTGTCTTTTTCCTTTCTTCAACTGATTCCTGAGCGTCATAGTTTGTTGTAAAAAGAGTTGACCAAAAGCTTTTTTTTTCCAGACTTCGATCTGTTTCCAATCTAGACTGTGCAACATTCAATGCTTGCTCAATGACAGTTTTGAAGCCGACGAACTGAATTTAAAAAGAAAAGAGAAACATCATTCAACCAAGATAAATCAAATCCTACGGATAAAAATAGAGAGGGAAAAATTCAACGAGCTAATTCTCTAGTCTCTAGATATCAATTCAACTTAGAGAGAGACAATTGGTTATCTCAGTTTCAACAAAGAAAGCTATTCATGTTAGGGGCGTGTGAGACTTGTGAAAGGATAAAAATATTTTTTTACTTATGATGATTATTAAAGTGTACATACCAGATTAACAGAAGAAGATCCAGTGATTGGCTCATAAATGAAGTTGGAACCTTCCATGTCTAGAATTGATTGCCGAGCAATTACACCCAGGCTACTGCTTTTATTCAACCCGTTTTCAACTTCCTTCAGCGAGTCCATCAAATTAGGCGTTGCAAATACCTAGATTTTAGACAGATTAATTATTATAAAGTGCAAATTGTATAGTCTTATAATAAACTTTGTAAATTATCTTGATTTTGTTAGCCAAAGGTTGTGTTAATTTTGACCAGGAAAGTTACGAGACTTCACAAAGTGGCAAGGAATTTTTTGATACATATGGGTTCCCTCTCCGCTCAGCATGTATTTGCTCCTATTTCAATGGCGCCTACCTTTGCACAGCCATGAAAATAAATGGAGCAAAGGACTCAAAACGGAACACCGTAGAATTTCGTGCCCGCTAAATTTTGTCATTATTTGATATGATGTCCTCTACGACCCTCTAAGCTTGGTAAGCTTTTAAGATCAGACTTTTTTTTTCAGCCAATTTCAAAAAGGGTAGAGCTGAAAAATGAACTTTTGGAAATTTGTGTACGAGTTTTCTTATAAAACAAGGCACTACTGCTGTCAAAAATGTTGTCCTGTTATGATCCCATCATTGTAGAGCAACTGACGCTCAGTTACGTAGCATCTGTCTTATCTTTTTGGGCGGCGAGCAGCAAGGAAAGGGGAGCTCTAGTCGATCATTAACAATTCTGATAGATGAAAGTTTTGGGCCTTCTTATTTTCAAAACTCCTCATTTTCCTGAATATTTCGGAAGAGCTGACCTTTTTATTGTGCTTGCAAATCTCTTTAATTTTGCAAATGGTGCATGGTTTTCACACTAATACAAAGCAGCCACCTTATTTCTAAAGCCTTTTTTTATGAGCATTGCATTTTATTCATTTAGAAAAAAACAAGCTAACAGCATACACAAAACAAGTGTAGGCATTACACAGTATAGAACCAACCAAAGACATGATGGTGAAAATGAAAACAAAAAAGAAGATAACAGCAAAAAAATAACAATCTCATTAAACAGAGGGAATCTTGTCTTTGATGAACTTCGTTAAAAAAAAGTCGGAATACGTGGTCATTTTCAAAGTGTTTTTCTTTACAACCTTTCTATTTTCGCATTCAACTCTTTTCCTGAAACCATCAATTCGAAAATACTTTTTGAGCGTTTATGTGACTGATCAAAAACAAGCTTACTTGTAAAAGCCTGTTCATTTTTCAAAAAAAAAAAAAAAAAAAAAAAAAAAATATTCAGTATGTAATTCATTTAAAAACGCAAAACAGAGAGTGCAATTGCATGACAATTCAATTTTAAACCTGAAACAGAACAGAAAAAAAGACATCCGGGTTTGATATTACCTTCGTGAACCTGAAGAGCATACAGGAATTTTTTGGTGTTGCAAGGTCTAGCCTAGCAAACCGTCCCACAACTTGCTGGAAAAAATATGTGTAGAGAAGAAGATTACTTGCTATGAACTGCAACCAAACGCTGTCAATTGGCTCTTGACTAACATCTTCATTTAACCTTGACAGAAAACCAGAAGGAGCAATTTAGTGAACAAAAACAAAATACTTCCTTCTCGTACTACCTGTGCGAAATCATGTTTTGTGCTCCTTTACAGGTACTTCTTTTGCTATGATAATTTGTACGTCATTTTGTAAGTACTTTATTACATGGATGGTGAGTGAGAAGAGTGGGATGTAATAAATACTTTTCATTATTATTTTCTTCTTCTTAAAAATAAGAAAAATTTGACCCATTGTCTGTGCGCAACAAGACAAGTGTGCATGAATGAGACAAGTGCAGAAAAGTTCAATATGTGATGCAATGCAGTTACATACTGCCTTGCATACGAAGAAATGCTGTAAGAGCAGTATTTCTCCCTCACTCAATGATCTCTATTTCTTGTCTTTTTACAGAAATATGTAAAAAATTTATATCGTTGGATACTTTATGGTACAAGGACTCAGAAAACGCGTCCTCCCTGAAACAGGCGTACGCAAGTATACATTTTTTTACCAAAGAGGTCCTTTATTATTTTCTTCCCTTTCAGAAAAGCAAATTTGAAGTGTTCTATTGCAGGGCTTCAAAGTTTCGACAGTTCAAATGATTCACCATTGCCTGCCATTAAGATATTATAAAGTGTTGGTGAAGAAGTGTCCTTTCACATACCAAGACAACGGTCAATCTTCAGGCAACATTGATTAAAATTGCAAACTGAAATTTGAAATTTTACAAGAAATGAAGGGGAAAAGAGCTCCTTTCAAACATTTCTGTGATCCTCATCTGCTCGGGAGTAGCTAATAAAAGCTTATTTTTTTCTCTTTTCACTGGAAAATGTCATGCATTACTGAAACTGAGAAATCACATTGCTTGATACTTCGCGCTCCAGAGATCTAAGATGATACAATACGCAAGAAAATCCAAACGAATGTTACAACTCCTGTCCAGTAACACTTCTTGTTGAAACGGTGACACAATTGAAAGGATTTCAGTAACTTCTCCATTTTATAAACAATCTTTTTTCTCAATTACCTCCAACGATTTGATGTGTATCTCCATGGTTGGATATAGCTGAGCCATGTTTCTTCGACAAGACGAAAGGAAGAATCAATGGGCCAATGTTGCATTGCTTCTTTCAGGAACAAATAAATATTCTTCTGACATGATATTAAGAGAGACCTGTTGATCATTAATAAGATAACTATGAAAAGTGATAATCAATAAAAAGAAATGCTTACAGTCAACTCCTGCTGAGGGTAAAATAACCTGCATAAGTGAGAAACCCCACTAAATGAGTAAGATCGGTTGGTCGAGTTTTTTTGCCCATTCATGCAATGGTAACAAATTCCTTGATAAGAGAAAATCCACCCACCCAAGTGAGCAGATTTTCTTGGTCAGATATTTCGCAAATCCCGAATATGTGAAGAACTTTCACGTTTTTCCCTCCAAATTATTTTTAGCTCATCCAGTTTTCAGATCTTATCTTCCTTTTTCCATAACTTTTTATTACTCCTTTTCGTTTCCGGTGCGCAATGGCGAGGCACCATCACTCGCCACCTCGGTGACTCAGCACTTGCTGTTGGGATTCATAACCACTGGAACATAAGGCGAGTCGATGTGATGACCATCTTCTGTCCACATCATTATTTATCTTCCCCCGCATCAGCCGGGATATTACTAATAATGCAGGCGCCAGGCATGCACTTGTCTGCAGGCTACAGGGTATGGGGGGGGGGGGCAGACCAGTGTTCGAAACTCACAGGTGCCAACGCGCCAAATGCGCCTGAAAAATGAAGGCTCTGTGCCACCGTAGCCCCTAAAAATTCCCCCCCCCCAAAAAAAAATCCTAGTTTTTCCGTTTGGTGATTTTCCGAAATTTCTCCCAAGTAACAGCTACTAGTTCTGTAACTAAAACATCTTGCGTCTAACTTGTCACTAAATTCGCCGTGATACATGGGCAAAAAGTCAATTTGGCCCCTAAAAAATCTTCAATGGCCCCTAAAAATCGAGCTTGATGCGCCACATGGATCCTGAAACTCCAAAGAGAGTTTTGAACACTGGGGCAGACTGCAGGGGGCTGCATGAGATTCTTAACTGACGTATTGCATCGGCAGCAGTGGAGCATAAGGGATGTATTGCCATGTGGGACAGCGGGCACTTCTCAAGCTCCCTGATGCTTTATAGTTGGAGTTCCAATTATGCGTTATTATAATTTATGCATAGTTCAACCCACAAAGATTCAATCTATGGGTCCATAATTAACTAGGGTGACTTTGCTGATGTTTTGATGCAAAATTTGAAAGTAAGTCATGGAAAATAGGAGATTTCGTAAAAGAGTGAAACCTTGTTGAGAGAGCACAGAGCCCCGATCTCAGTGTGTGTTATCACTTAGCAGAAGTTGACTGTACTGACTTGCATTTTTCCCCGGCTTTTTCAAGTAAAATTTAAATATATATTAAAAGTGCTGCTAACTTCAAAAGTGAATTATTACTGAGTGAAGAATATTCCTTAGTAAGCCTAATGTTACCATTAATCAAAGGTTTATTTGTCAAATGGATGCAAAGTTTTGTGAAAAATATTGATAAATTCTCAAAAATAGGTACCTCCTGAATTCTAACATGGCTTCAGAACCATCAGCTCTAGAATTGGAAAAATAATGAAAATGTTTGATCATGACTCTAACTAAACGAAAATGTTCAATGGAGGTAGTAGAATCGGTAAATTTCCTGGCCACCTGAAACAAAAAAATAAAAAATTAAGGCATGTTATCTACATGCAGACTAATGTAGAGTTCTCTCCTTGTAAAATGAGATGACTGTCAATCTCAAATTAGCTTTATATCCTATCCTGTAAGTATGTGCGTGCATTCAGATGGCACAATGAATAGTTAGACTAAAGATCAGCCGATAGTCGATCAATGTTGTTTCAGAGGAGATTTGCCTTTGTCTTCAACCTGCAATGACTGAGCTCGAACAACGATTACTTTGAAAAGTATTATAGATTAACTATTTAGGTAGATAAGATTCATTGGAGGTAATTGCTGAAATTTCAAGGCTATCACTAAGAGAGTTAAAAGTATTTCCTATGAACAAAAGCCCTTTGCAGCTTATTCTTTTGCAGACTAGAGAGAGTTTCCCATCAAGATTTTAAAATAAGATTTTTCAACCTAGCTCGACAATAATTGATCCACTGGAAAGAGCTTGATGCAAAAACGGCTTTTTTCGCCCCCCCTCTGAAAGTTCTTCAGACTTTGTCTATTGATTACTCATACTTGAGCGCTTCTTTTCCCAAATTTTCAGACCCCCAAAAAATTTGGGGGGGGAGTTAGGGGGGGTGGAAGTCAAAACCTGTGAACCTCGATATCTCTTGAACGAAGAAAGATATCGAGGTCCGGTTTGGACGAAAAATCGTCTAAAATTACATACTTTAAGATTCTAAAGGTCGAAATCCCGATATCACATTTTTAAGTCAACATATGTGCTTTTTTCCAGTTTTTAGGTCTAGAAAATTTCTTTTAAACGAAAAATTTACAAAGATCTCAATTTTTTATTTGAACCAAAACCAGTTTTTTAAATTGTTCGTCTTTTTCCGCATCCAACGAGTGGTCCATTAAGCTGGGGAACCGAACAGTTCCGGAGTTATGATCGATTGAAGTTTCCGCTCAACGCGCGCCGACCGATTTTCGCGCGCAAAAAAGTCGGATTTGACTGTTATTAGATCAGATTGAATGTTCAAACTGAGCAAAATGCTTTATTAGGGACTCTTGAGGGTCGCTGAGTTCAGAAATTACAGATACTTCCAAAAAATTCACGTTTTTAAAATTGCAGCTTCGGACAGGACCACTGAGCGGCCAGTCAGCGCTCAGTGGGCCTCTAAAATAGCGCTGCGGAGCTGTAATTTTAAAAACGTGAATTTTTTGGAAGTATCTGTAATTTCTGAACTCAGCGACCCTCAAGAGTCCCTAATAAAGCATTTTGCTCAGTTTGAACATTCAATCTGATCTAATAACAGTCAAATCCGACTTTTTTGCGCGCGAAAATCGGTCGGCGCGCGTTGAGCGGAAACTTCAATCGATCATAACTCCGGAACTGTTCGGTTCCCCAGCTTAATGGACCACTCGTTGGATGCGGAAAAAGACGAACAATTTAAAAAACTGGTTTTGGTTCAAATAAAAAATTGAGATCTTTGTAAATTTTTCGTTTAAAAGAAATTTTCTAGACCTAAAAACTGGAAAAAAGCACATATGTTGACTTAAAAATGTGATATCGGGATTTCGACCTTTAGAATCTTAAAGTATGTAATTTTAGACGATTTTTCGTCCAAACCGGACCTCGATATCTTTCTTCGTTCAAGAGATATCGAGGTTCACAGGTTTTGACTTCCACCCCCCCTAACTCCCCCCCCAAATTTTTTGGGGGTCTGAAAATTTGGGAAAAGAAGCGCTCAAGTATGAGTAATCAATAGACAAAGTCTGAAGAACTTTCAGAGGGGGGGCGAAAAAAGCCGTTTTTGCATCAAGCTCTTTTATGTGGAGGACTAAGTTATACGTATACTATCACAAATAAAGAACATTTTTTAATTTTTCAAAACTTTTCTGTTATATGTTCACCTTTTTTTGCAGTATTAACTAGACTTTCCTTGGAAAAACAATAAGAGGATGGCAACGCTTCGAGAAATGAGTGGCCTTGCATATAAAGCTTAATGGGAAAGAGATAAGAAATTGGGTATACCGCTTACTTTAAAGGTTGATGAACTTCTAACATAAGAACCCCCAACAGGAGATTTTCGAGATCGGGACAAAGTTGGTGAACCAGGCAACTAGAAAGAGGAAAACAATTAAAAATCATTAATTTTAACCATCTGAAAATATTAGGCACATGAAACTGGCTCCACTAGGGAAACCTAAAATTACACAGTTTGGATGTTTGAGATTTTGTCTCGAGATTTAAAAACCAAAAGCCTACGGGTACAGATCATCTTTTATCTTATTTAGTAGAGGATTGAGATCCCATAATTATATAGGAATGCATGTGCAAAAGTTGATCCTATGGCGCAATTCAGCACACTATGACATATTTCTTGCAGTTTTGGATGTAATAAACATCCCTTGGCTCTACGTTGCAGTTGCTATGTAGCCCTCACAACAAGCTTCTTTGTCTTAGACATGCTTACGTCCAAGTCCCATTTTCCATATTCTTCTACCAACTAGCACATTATCCAATCTAAATCTTCTTATTCATTTAGGGCGATTGCGACCTGATCATCCGCAAAGCATAGAAAGTAATTGGATCGCCCATCAGTAAAGGGAAAACCTATTCTGGAATTTTTCTTTTCTATCCTTTTAAAAAATCCTTTAAATATACTTCAAAGAATATCGGTGGCAAACTAGAGACTTGTTGTAATCCTTCTGTGACTGACAAGGAGAAATCTCAAGTCTGTAATTCTACCTTTTATGATATAGTATTACTGAATAAGTAATGGTGTAAAATTGCAGAACACCATGTTCCTCATTTTTGTCTTCAGTCTCTACTGTGTGTTCGGAGCAAACACACGTCCTCACTGCTACGCAAGGCTGCACTTCTAATTTTTACGAAGTTGGACCACTAAACTTGACCACTAAAGTGTGTAAGCAAGAGTTGCATTTATAGTGTACTAGGGCGCTTTGTGACACCTAGACACTACTGGAATCTACCAAGGTGGAGATTTTCCAGTAGCTGGTATTTTGCCATCTCTTCCTGAGTGCCATCTATGCATCTTTTAGTTGGACGCCCTCTCTCTGACGGCCCTCTGTGATGTAGACCTGGAGGTGCCCACTCTGAAATCTTTTTGGGCAATGCGATATCAGCCATTTTCTGCGCATGCCCATAACAAATCAACTATGTACCAACTGCTTCATCATGATATCATGCGTCATTGCCTCTTCAATGCCCATCGTCTCTTGCACACGTACATTTCTAATATGTTCTCTCCTCAAGATTCCACTCCCAACAAAAACGCACCATTGAAGTGCTAAGTATAAGATATTTTTCAATTGAACACCTGTAGGCCTATAGGTGATATAAGACTGAGTTAAAAAATGCATCGAGTTCAATCGCATTACCAGAGATTACACTTAATTTCATCTTCCTTCTGTTTTGACGTAAAATATTTTAATGAATACTTTTATTTTTACCAGATACATCCATTTTTATGATAATAAGCAATTAACCAGTAGTTGCTTTACCATACATTATTTCTAACTTATGATAATTGTATATGTTTCCTCTAATTGGAAGTTACAATAAATAAAACTCTTTAAAAAAAAAAAGAAAAAGAAAGAAAAGATACATCCATGGAAAAAAATTACACTTACTTGAGAGCTTTGACTTGGAATGTTTAACCAAAAATCAATAAGAACTTGAGCCAGTAACTCTGAACGCCAAATTTCCGGCCTTGATATTTGACTCCTTGTGCTAAGGGTAGGGGGCGGTTCTTGCAGAAGAAAAACTCCTGGCTTGAAAATGGTGGATGACCTCATCGTTCTAAAAAATAAAAAATCAAATGAGCACTGGGGCTGTCTTCAAATGACTGCAAGGTCCTCGTAGGTAGAAGGGGGGGGGGAAGAGAGTGGCAAGGGGAGTCAGAAATGTACCTGACTTGAGGAGGGGGNAGGGATTTGAAAAGAAAAGCCTGACATAATTTGAGGGAGACTCTACAGTGCAAATTTACAACAAATGTTAATAAAAACTTTTAACAGCTTCATCTGAGTACTGAGCAACTAAGCCAATTCAATGCTAACTTAAACAATCATTAGGGCCTTTACTAATTCACTCACAGACTCAGAACTTGATCAAAATTATGAGTGACTTCATTAACAACTGAGTAAGATCTTGAATCAGTATTAATAACACTAATCCAGTCGATATGAAAGAGACGGTTTTGTTAAAAACTCTCTGATCAGCCAGAGATGTGCGAATCATGTAAATTTGAATTATGAAAATAATATGCTAAAATCTGTATTTTGTATTTAATGTTGTATAAGAAGATATCCAGAACTCTAGGCAGGCATATTGCGAAGAGACTAAGCTTAAGAAATGCTGAAGGCTGCTGATCATGCTGTATTTTTGAACGGTAGGACGAGATGGAAACCTAAGTGAGAGATGTACAGTGAGCATTCTTACGCATGGTTCAGATAATGCGCTTTTCTCAACCCTAGAATTATTCAGTGCTGAGATGAAAAAGTATTATGAGTTACCTTGGTGAACTTTGAACCGGACTCCTGATTCGATGCATGCTAACAGAGTTGTAAACTGGAGGTAGAACTTGTGAATTATCAATCGGTAAAAATGCAAGTAGATACTCGTGCGTCAGACGTGCATATAATGACTCGACATTTGCGATATCATAGAAATCTGCTGAATTAGCAATCCACGGGTTCACCAGATGATAACCAAAGTTGAAAAGAAACAGTTCCAAAGGATCTAGAAAATTTGTATTAAGGAAAAATTACCTTGAAGTAAGCTCTTACATTAAAATTGTAGTTACAAGACCAAGTATGTATTAATATATATTACAAAGTAAATAAGCACTTGAGAGAGAATTTACCAACTTCTCAAAGATTTTCTGATGAAATTTCTTTGTTGTCCATGGTAGTTGAAGAAAACCAATTAATACAGAGAGGTTTGGAAGCTTACGGTCTCCGTCCAGACGGATTTAGCAATATGGCACCATTTTAGCATCTATGATGGAAAAATATAAGCAAGATCAAGCAATGAAAGAAAATAATAGGAAGAATTGAGACAAAACTAATTTTTTCCCCGACCAGAAGAACACGATTCACACAACAAAAATTGCTTAAAATTTAACTCTAACCACAATATTGGCACTGGTTATGAAAACTTATAATTTCCTGCTTACAGGAAAAATCATAGTCTACATGAATCAAACCGGGCATTACGACAGCGGGCTTATTGATCAAGCAGTGATCCTTTAATTTTAAAATTGCGACAGCCTAAAAGCAAAATTCCTAAAAAGGGTTTGGAATAAACTCAATGAGTCAACTCAAATGATAACCTATTTCAGTAAGAGATAAAAACATATAAAAGTAAATTTTATTAAAAAAGGATACTCAAGGACAAAGAGACTGGATTTCTCGATCGGTGATCTATTTGAGCTCTTGACTGATAAAAAGATGAACTAACACCATTTTCAATTTGTTGACAGACTTGGTCCTAAAAAACAACAAAAAAAGGAGAGATTGTTACATAGGTTGATAATAACAGAACAGAAAATTTTTCTATTACCTACCCCAAATCCCCCCCACCCCCAAAAAAAAATTAAGTTAGGTAATGTCACACAGAGAATACATGAGAATAGAGAAGTGGTTACTGTTGTCCCGACAACAGTTGAAACAGAGATAATAACCTGTCAATAATAATTTGTCTCTACCAGCTCAACATTTTGCCTATCCATATCTTCTTTAAATTTTATGGACTTAATCACTATGACTTGCTGCAAAGCACCTCAGCATAGTGAATGGCAGGTACACTAAAATATGCTTGACAGAGATAGAAGTTCATGAAACAAGCCAAAAAACACAAACTGTGTGAACAACTGCCAAAACTACAGATTTTTGTGACGTTATTGAATACATTGGAACAATTGCTTGAAATCTTTTAAATTTCAGGCAAATTGTTTTTCTCTTGAATTTCCCAAAGTGATTAGTGCACTGCTTGCAGGCTCACCTTCATATTTCAATGCTTTTCATTAATCAACTCCATTTGGTCAAAATACTATACAGAATCAGATGTCAGAGTTAAAAAACCCACCCAGAACTTGAGATGTTCTCAGTTCAAAGCTTTGGAACACAAATTTTTGAACGAATGATATAATTAACTGCATTTAGTAAAAAACGAAAAAAAAGAAAGACACAAAATAGTTGCAATAAAATGGAAAATTTCTTAATTCAAAAATTATTAAGAACATACAATGTGTCTGGCTACCAGGAAAACCGGTATGGGTGCTCAGGAAATGTGGTGGCCCTGAAAAGGGCCGTTTTAGAGATGGTAAGAAGCTGGATGCCTGAAGGCTGGAGCGAGTGAGGGAGAGCAGGGGCTGCGTTGCATGATTCGGCTGGACTGGATGACTGAGCACAAGTGATCGTATCATGGGAAGCCGGGGGCGCTGCTCTTATACCCCCGGGGAGTGATCGTGTTGGCCAATCACAAGCGAGCGCAGGACGCGGTGCTCTGGAGAGGCGGTGATTGGCCGCCACAGGTCACCACTATGGGTACTCAGGAAATGTGGTGGCCCTGAAAAGGGCCGTTTTAGAGATGGTGAGAAGCTGGATGGCTGAAGGCTGGAGCGAGTGAGAGAGAGCAGGAGCTGCGTGGCGTGATGCAGCTAGACTAGATGAATGAGCACAAGTGATTGTATCGTGGAGAGCCGGGGGCGCTGCTCTTATACCCTCGGGGAGTGATCGTGTCGGCCAATCACAGGCGAGCGCGGGACGCGCTGCTCTGGAGAGGCGGTGATCGGCCGCCACACCGGGAAGTTGAGTTGGAAAAGAAAATTAGGGAAAATCGGAAGCCAGAGGGTAGGGAAAGAAAATTTTGCTAGATACCCTCGCGCATAAAAGAAGCATTGGGTCTTTTCGATACTCCAATATGTAACTTTAACATTGATATGCTCTTCGTTACTGAGTAGATCTTTTGATGGTAGTATGGACTAAGCCGTGAAGGGTGCTCATCGTGTGGTGGCCCTAAGAAGGGCCGTTGGAAAGAGCGAGCCGGCCGGCTGCATGATGTCCGCTGCGTGCTGTGTGGTGACGTGAGTCCCGTGTGACCTACGGGCGCGGAGTGACAGGTGAGATGAGCTCGTGGCTACATATAGCCGTGGCAGTGTCGAGCTCCAGCCAATGAGCTGCGCTGGTTGGCGGAGTGGTGGCTAGCCGCCACAGTAGGTAAAAGGGGAAACTAACATTTTTGCAAGAAAAAAGACTCACCGGCAAATATTGGAAAGGGAAGTCATATTTCACACAACTGTCAGATAAGAGTTTATAACAAAGTTTCAGAAATGGTCCTGATGGATGGAAAAAACTCAACAAATAGTTATACGTCCTAGGGTTGGCACTATAATGTGTTGTTCGTAGACCCCATCCCATTGAGTTGAGACCAAAAATGTCTGCGATCAGTACTGGAAACAATTCCTCTAATTCTTTGATTGTGAACTCCTCAAACAGTTTGGTAGCATACTCTGCCCGTTCCGGAAGAGGAAAAGCAAACAACTGTTGTATTTTGGCCTGTGAACAAATATGGAAAGCTTAATTAAAGCACGGTAAATGTATTCTTAATTTATCACAGAATAGAGCTAGCCCATATAGGGTGCCTTTGAAATTATTCTGCGTTTCTGAGTGCACGTCCAACTGAAGTACAGGTACTAGAGTTCCAAACCTATTTGGACATGGCATAAAAATGTGTTCAGGATATCAGGTCAAAAGTTTAATAATGAATCAGAAAACTGATTTGCTATCTGGTTACTTGTCAAGTTTCAGAGGATAGTTATTTAGCATCAAAATATGTAATTTTGAGCAATTAAAGAGGGGATGAGAAGTTTTCTTTAACTTAAAATTTTCGTGACTTTCCCAGGGTTTAAAGACTGAAAATGCTTTGTGCAAGAAATTTTTTTTTTTTGGAGTTACTAACACTGAAAACCGCATGGGTGCAGAGGGTTCTTTAGAGCAAAAAGTAGTCACATTCTCAGCCTTAAAATGCCTTCATTTTGGAGAGATATTCTCATTTTGCAGGAAGGTTCTGAGTTTGCATAGAGCTAAACTATCTTAAGAAACAAAGCGCTGACCTGATTTTTCTTATTCTTCCTTGAGTAAAATTGGAGACAAGAGTGAAATAATAAATAAAGGAGTACCAGCTTTCATGTCCTTCGGACCGACAATAAGTGCCAGAGAGAATTTTAAAAGTGGCTCTTGTATTTCAATGTGTGTAGTCATTTCAAACGGAACTAGCGTCAAATAAGTTGGCGGTTGTTGACCAACTACCACTTCTCAAGTGTAGACCAGGCCATGCAACTGTGTAGGGCAGCAGTAGCGGCTGTGGTCAAGCCTTGATCAGCACTAAACGACCAGGAAAGAGTCTCTGGCAAATAGAAAGTAAATAGCTGCCAGCTTTTCTGATGCTAGTTCCACTTGAAACAGTACTTTAATAAATTATTTTCCGTTTCATTTTTTAAATGAAGACAAGATATTGGCATTTGCATAGTTGCGGAAAACTATTGACTATTCTTCCCGAGTTAAAATGGAGCATTACTTAGAATTTTTGGTAGATAAAGATGATTTTCTGGAATAGTTTCACCCTGGGCCTCCCCAATGTGAGGGATTACTTTGTTGATTTTTTGACAGTCTATCCAAAAGATAATTCAAGATTTTGATCCTAGTCATAATTAATTGGCTGTCATTATGAGGACTTCCTTTGAAAGGTCAAATCCTCCCACTGGTATTAACAGTGCAACAAGCCATGCGCCTCGTATTGTACATTAGACTAAATTCAGCATCCCGAGTGCCCCCTTCAACGTAGGAGCATTGCTAAGGAATTATGAAACAGGGAAAATTTTAGGGAGTATCTCAATATTTTAGCTAGAAGCAGAGTTCATAAAGATTACGGTGAGTAAGTCTCATAAGGCATGAAAAGCGGACAGAAGTAACTTACATTCATGGTAAACATTGGGACGTAGAAACTAAAGGCCAACACTCTTAATTAATTCCTTCCAAACACAAAAGAGAGGCAGATTTCACACTAAGCAGTATTCAAAAAAAGTTAAGAAAGTGATATTGAAATTAATTTTGATGTCTCCGGCAATGAATAAATTTTTGAAAATGTGTCTGAAATCTACCATCAACGAGAAACCTAACCAAAGAAATTGTAACCGACATCAACTTCCACGTTTCGTGATTCAATAAAAGTACGAAAGATAGCGCTAGTGTCTGTGTTTATGTAAACAATATCTTATATCAACGTGATTGTATAGGTTAGGATTGTCTCATTCATCATCTCAGTGTCACCACTATTTTCCATTCACCAGTGAGTTATCGAATCTGAAGTCGAGGAAAGTAACTTTTTCAATTCAATCTTAACTCTATCTGATTATACTTTAATTTAAAATGGTCTCAGAAGATGTAAAAGTTGGTCATTTTGGTAGAGAAGCCATTGTAGGTAGTGTTGTGTTGCCTGGTCAAGTTGTCGAAGAGGCCTCATCAGCCGAGCAAAAAAAAGTTACATTAGGACCTGGGGTTGAAAGAGTTAAAGAAAATATTGTGGTTTGTAATAGTGGAATTTTGAAGAAAAGTGAACCCAACATTTACTATGTTGATAATTTGCAAAAGAGGTACACTCCTGTGCGGAAAGAATGTGTTATTGGTGTAGTTACGATGAAAGCAGGTGACATTTTCAAGATAGACATAAATTCAAGTGAACAGGCATCATTATCATATCTAGCTTTTGAGAATGTTTCGAAGAAGAACAGGCCACGTATTGAAGTTGGAGATCTGGTCTACGCTCAAATTCTTTCTGCAAGCAAAGACATGGAACCGGAACTAGTTTGTGTTAATTCATACGGAAAGCAAGTCACAATGGGTGTACTCCCAGCAGAAGGATTTTTATTTCAGTGCAGTATCAATTTAATAAGAAAAATACTTAGCCCCGAGTGTCCCTTGCTTTCCAAACTGGGCAAAAGAATACCATATGAGACGGCTATTGGAATGAATGGACGAATATGGATCAAAGCCAAAAACGTAGATGCAACTCTCCTGATTGGTAATGCTATTCTAGCCTCTGAATATGCGTCAACAGAAACAATTAATGAAATTTGTGATAATTTGCTGAAAAAATTGCCAAATGTTTAAGGAATCAATCACCTTGGATAATTTTTTTTTTTTTTAAAAAAAAGGAAAGGATATTTTTGCTAGGATTTAATCCTTAATTGTACAAAACATCTCCTAGAATTTGCATAAGATTATTTGGCTGTTATTTATGACTTACTTTCAAGAAGTGTACCGCAGTCAACCATTTTCTAGCAAGGATTGACTGTGGGGTCACTGCTGCCTTGCGTAAATACTCAGGTTAAACGATCTACTGAGTGGCAGTTGGATGTATCTATGCTTAAATGACCATATGTACTTGAATTAAATCAAAAGAAATTGTTTAACAAGTAAACCCTATACAGATGGTTCCCTTTGATTTCATTCATTTTCACATATTTCATTATCGCATAATTACATCCAGTTGAAAGTAAACAACTACTGAGTGATAAAATATGAGTTTTAGCACAAGTTAATAAGACATTTGTAAAAAGTTCCAGCACATATTACTATGAACAAAAAATTTCAGGGTATTTTTTACCTGTCTTGTAATCAAGCAAGAATTGGGGTTGCGTTTGTTCCGCCTGTAAGCTAATAAACTAGTTGAGGGCCAAAGAAACATTAAAATAAATATTTCCTTCTTTTAAAAAAAAACTAAATTTTTTTTTCTTTCTCTTTTATAGTATGAATAGGATTTTTTGTCCATTTCATGGAAGAGTCTCTGCGACTGAAGTATCATAAGTGCCATTTGTACCTAGGCACTGTATTTTCAAACTTGTCCAATTTTTCCCGGAATAAATGATGGACAGAATCACTTGAAATCTAAATAAATATTTCTTTTATTATCAAAGTTAAATCTTGAAAGTATGTGCTAAAGTTTTAAAGAAGGAATTGAAACAATATATGTATTGTAATGTCCGGTAACATAGTGTCAAGGCGTAAACACCGCTTGTGACACTTTGTCCAGAAAGTTGACGATATCAACTCCTCCTCATTTCTATCAATAGTTCTCTAATTTACCGCATCTTTGTATTATTGCATCCCCAATATCGGACATGATTTTCAAGATTAATAGTAAGTTGTAAGGAGACTACCTGGATAGTCAGAGAAAGAAAATACCGATCATGAATAGATTTTATCTTTATTTTATGTCACTCAACAATACATAACTTATCAAGGCTTGCCTACTCAGGTAAGTACAGAATAAGAGGAGTAAGCATTTCACCTGGTTGATGGTGAAGTGAGACTCACTGTTTTTTTCTGAAACTTACTTGAATTGCTTCAACTAGAGTACCTGTATAGGGAGAGTATGGACAGATCGGTTCATGGAGGGCTTAGGGCCCAAAAGTGCAGCCACCCTTCTGAGCAACTTCTAACACACAAAATTTCACTGCCAGCCTACAGATTTCAATTCTAACCAAGATGGCTAAGAATGTACATAAATGAGCGTTCTTTCGCAAAAATAAGTAAATTTATGCAAAAAGTAAGCCAAATACATGCTTTCTAAACGACGGTTTGTAACAATTGTATTTGTAAATTGCTCTGGACATTCGAAATTCATTGGTTGGCTGCCCTTTTGGGCCCTAACTTTATTCGCGGAGGCATCGGTGAAGGTCTGATGGACTTTCGGAGTTCCAGATCTGTCCATACTCTCCCTATACAGGTACTCTAGCTTCAACCAGTCATTACGTATAGTTTACAAAAAGATGAATTTTGTAAAAAAAAATTTTAGTGCTAAGAACACCTCATTTATCTCGGATGTGATTGGCTCTCTTTCATCTCCAGTTTTACAAAAAATGTCAATCATTTCTCAAAACATACAAATGACATGCTTCTGAGTTCAGTTTAAATAAAAGTGAGCCCCTAAGCACAGCGACTTGAAGTGAAGAACTACTTAGCGTTTGCTTAATTTTCACTGATTTCATTCTACTTGGCAATTAATATTTAGGTTCCATTAGGATAACATTTGAGTTCATAGAAAAAGCAGTCAAGCTAAAAATTTCACTTTTAATAGATCACAGCATGATAGGCCACATTCTTTTGTGTTTTTTTCTCCAACTATGTGGTTTCAACTCATGAACTAGAGTTATTATATTTCAGCAGGCAGATATTTTGCCCTGAGTTATCATTTTGGTTGGACATGATAAGAATAATTTAGGTTCTCTGTAAACTTACAACTTTGTATGTGTATCAAGAATTATCAGTGGAGCACCAGGGGAGAATTTGAATCACTCTAGAAGTGAAACTACTGAGTTTCAAACGAAGGTAAAAATACATTCATTGAACCTGAGACATCTGTTCTGGATATCATTACTAATTCCCTTACAGCACATTGAAAATCAAGCTTGTTTTAAATACGCTTCATTCTTATCTTTAAGAAACTTTTTTGGGATGTTAAAGAATGTTTCTAGGCAAGTTTGGGAAACAACTTCTAGGCATTACCTGATAATTCTGAGAACCATTTTTTGAATGCAAAATAAAATTATTTTATGTTTACTTTTTAAAATAAGAAATAAAAATTTTTCATTTTCTTTTTTATGAAAAACCCACTTAAAAAACCCCTTTTAGAATGTAAAAAAAATTCTTATTTATTTTACCTACATTTCAAAAATCCTTATGGCGGAAAGAAAGTTCAAACTGACTTTTTGATGCTTAAAAAGTGGAATTTGGGAGCGGATTTCTCAAAACATACGCATCAAGACTAGTTTTACATGAAATCATTAGGTACTATTTCAATTCTTTAAAAAACTGCACTTATGCGCCTTGTCCTCCAAGCCCCTCGATTTTTTTCATACATTCTTCATAGGGTTCTTACCTACTTCTAAACAAATTTTAAACATTTTCAAGCGCATTTGCATTTGGCAATTCCTGCATATCAATTGAATTTGATTAAATTTTCGAAAGTAAAAAATGGATTGAAATAAATGCCGAGTTACTTGGAAAAATTTTCAAGAGGCTACATAAAACATGTTCTATGTATTATGTACTCACCAACACTCACTTTAAAAAATTTAATTAAGAACATGGATCAGAGGCTGTGTTGGAACAGCAGGCCGATTAATGAAATTGTGAGACAAAGCTGTAGAGAAAGAAGACACATGGATAGTGAAGCGATCCTATTGGTTAAAACAGGTGATTCTTATGCGCTGGCTGAAAGGTACCTTGTGGGTTGCCGATTTTTGGTCTATTACCATCTGTGTCCATTGCAATCACAAGCTTCCACCAATAGGATTGCCCTATTTCCTCTTGGTCTCCTTTGTCTATCTATTTCAATAATCAGGACCCTGGACTTGGGACATGCGCCCTACTACGGCTTAAATGCAACAGAATCAGGGCTGAAATTTTTTAAAAGCCTTAATTCTGCAATTTCAACTATTTGGCATAGAATAAAACAGGTGCATTTGCAGAGCTTGAATAACCCTATTCTTGAGGCTTGAGACCTATTCTCAGCAACTGCATGACCTTCCATCCAAACCAGATAAGCAACAAACACAAAAAGCACTCTATAAAAAACTTTAATATTTTAAGCTCTCTCACATACAAAACAGTATTACTGCTCCCTTGGACTGTGTGGTGAAAAGCTATCCACTTCAACCAAGTATCACTATCGAATTTCAGTTGAAAGATTGGAATGATTTTAACCAAATAATTGTACAATTACTTAGATGACAGGTTTTTTATGCAATCTTTTACATAAAGAACAAAAAACAAAAGCTATTTCTGTAGGAGTTCAAACAGATAAGGCCTCCTAAGGCGTATGAGGTGGCTCCGATCTTGTACAAGCTTCAAGTTACTCCATTGAATAGAGGTCTGAAACCTCTGCCTAAGTCTCTGATTAACTTCAATTTCAGGCATTTAGAAAGCAAGATTCTTTTATCTCAAAGGCTTTAAAGAATTAACCAAGGAAAAATAGTTGATACGAGGAAACAGAGGGAGATAAGTGATTTATTGTTAAACAATTCCTCACCATGATGACAACTTTTTTTTTCTTTTTGAAAACGTAAAATTAAAATTTTCAAAACATCTCATCATTCTTTACTACAATTTTAACTGTGTATGATAGCATGCCGAAATTCCTGCCTTACTAGGAAATCTATTACATTTCATAACTGACTGCATGACTGAAATTTTGCTCTAGACTTATCTCAAAGCAGTGAAATACCTAATCAATGAACATTGATGGTTCAAAAAATAAATGTTAAGTAAAGTACAATAAATGAATATTTTATTAACTTCAACTGGAAAATAAAAAAAAAATTAAATAAAATTAACGCCTATGAGAAAAAGGAAAAAAGGGAGATAAGGAAATTAGAAGTTGGATTTCAAAACCTCAGGTCGAGATTCAAAACAACAATGTACAAATTAGAGGGGAATTTAAAATAAGTAAAATACAAAATGTATGTACAACAGGAACGAAAATAGAACAAGAAGAAGCTATTAGATGTGAATGCCAAGGGGGGAAAACAGAAATTCATTTGGTTATGGGACAAAAGAAGCCTGCGCGAAAAAAAAAAACTTTTTACAAAATTAACTTATTTTACTTCCGCAATCGCAAAATGAGGATATCTTTGAAATTAAAACATAGTTTCGAAGTAAGAGGAAAAAATCTACAATTGTTTATCTACACAGTACAATGTACAGTTAAAATTACTGTAATATTCACAAGCGAGCCACCGGTCATGATGACAAAAATAAATAGTAAAAAATTTGCAAAGTTAACGTGCAAAACGAAAGAGCATAGCGGTGAAGTTGTCGTTCCAATTGATTTCGAATCGGCACGGTTTGATTAACGGCACTCCCAGACCTTGATTGTTTTATCCACACTACCAGTTATTACATATGGCTGGGTCCTGTGAAAGTCTACAAACAAAAAATTTCAGGGTAAAATTTATGATAACTGAAAATAGTTCTGCACATCTTAGTGATAGATAAAATGATTGTGCTATTCTACTTGGAAAACAGATAGAATGCATGGTAAGGTACAGCAGTGAATTGAGAAAAAGGAGGGTACAATATAAAGGTTTCCTTATGTATGCTAACTTTTTTCCAACTCAAGGTTGGACAAAAAAAAACTAAGGAAACCCATGCTTAAAATGTGAAATGTTAAATGTGTCTGAAGCAATGTTGGACGCGGACCCGAAGTTATAGATGATGTGAATGCTGCTCTTATGTATCTTTGATCTATTGATTCTTAGCATCACTCAGCTAGAGAATATTTTTGCAACTAATCAAATTTTTTGAGAAGTTTAATGGGACTAGCGCCAAATAAGTTTCCAAGAGAAGTCTCTTTGAGTCTCCAGTGTTCACACATAGTTTGTGAAGATTTTTCCAGATCTATGCACAGGCAGGTTGCAATCAAATTTAGATTCAAATGTTTACTGGTAGGTAGTTTTCACTTTCTAGAGTGACACTAGGACCCAGGTTGTTTCAGAAAGTTTGGAAGTTTTGTCCACTTAAATTAGTTTTGTTCCACGTGTCATGAAAGAGTCAATCCTCAAACTAGTCTTCTGTAACTGGAAAAGTTGAGTAATATCGCTTCTTGTGAAAACCCTAAGTCTCTCCCTACTGGTTCTGCCATTCGAGTTGGTTCCCCTTAGTTGCAACATTAGAGAACTTCATCCCTGGACCCGTTAAGTAAGCAGTCCGTTGTGTCTCTTCCCCATGCATTGTCACGTTTTGGTCAGTCCATCAAATCTAATTTCACATTTTGATTTACACAAGTGCTCCAACTACAGTTTCCTTCAATTAATTAAAATTATGTAACATCAAATATGATTTGAACTGCAAAAAAACACAGTATTTATCCAGACCAGAAAAATTGTATCAAGTGAAAGAAATTGTTTCATCAAAAGTCAAATTACACTGTGCTCACAAGGAGGAGAAGCCTGCATATAGCGCCGGATACACCTGCGAGTTAGAAGCACGTCTTGAATGGCGAGAGGGCCTTTGGCCATGTCCAGCAATCTTCGTGGCCAATCAGGTTGCAACTCGCCACCAGTAACTCCCACAAAGTAGGATCAGATTCTTATTTTCGCTGCTGGATGCGCGTCTAGCCAGCAGGTGTATCTAGCGCTTTAGGTATTCAATCTTACCTGTGCCATGCCCTTTCCCTGAGGAATACAAACTGATTTTGTGAAAAGCTGAAGCTGGCTCTAAGGTATCATTTTTTCTCTCTTTTCATTTCTGCTCCTTCTCCGCATGAAGGACCTCAAAGAAGTAGCCTGATAGCCTAACCCAGTTTTCTGTCAGTTGGGCCTTCTGAAGGGTTACTCGACATTCATTTTATTTGACTTCCTTGATGGATTTCTAGTCTTTCATGGGTATTTAAAAACAATAATCCCTCATTGACACAATTTGGCAACGCTAATGCTCAATTAAACTTAGATAATTTTACCCTTGAAGTGACAATAGCTCTTTTCACATTCAACAATAGCTCTGTTCACCATCACACTGACGATTTCAGAGGCTAGTGATGCAGTAAGGTAATAAATACAGGGAGCCTTACCGAGGGATGTACAGAAATGCGAATGAGCGTCCAGTGTTTTCATATTCCTCTTGTTGCGAATATCCCACACACGAAGCGTTTTGTCATCACTGGCTGAAATTATGTACTTGCCACCAGGATGGAAAACTACACCTCGGACCCAATTATCATGGCCTATGAGGGTGAACAAGCATAAGCCAGAACTAACGTCCCACACCTGAAAGCAAAATAATTTCATGATACAAGAAAAGAAAAAACAAAAGGAACATTCGTATTCATAATCTTTTCTTCTCTCTGAATCTTGAGAAGAAAAAACAGCCTTTAAACTCTATGAGAACCAAGATTTTACTTTACGTGTTAGTTTTGATTTGATTTTCAGAGCCATGAACATACACTCTTGGGGCTAAAGTTTAGAAAAATCTAAATTAAATAATTTGTTATAATGTAAACCTAAAGGCAGCAAGGAAATATCCTGATGAGCAGTCGCTAACATTGTCTGACAAGATTCAAAGTAGGTAATGCACATAATATCCTCCTTCAAGGATTGTTTCGCTTATTCATCCCATCTGCTAGGTCCTTTGAGGTAAATCTTGTGAAGGACGAATCCTATATAAAACTGAACTCCTGTCAGAGCCGATGTAAAAATCTGAGAGCAATTGCTGGTACTGTAACTTCGTGTATTCGGATCCTTACAACTGACTGCATTTATCAGATGTCAGGCATCACAAAAAGTATGTCACAAATGGCCACCTGAAATCCGTCTTGATCATCCATATGGGACAAAATCAGGCTTAACCTGGTCATAGAGGGTCGGAAAACGTCAAAAAAATATTTAATTCTCATCACTATACCCACCATACACGTTATTTTCAGACTCTCAACTTAACCTCACTTTTGGAGCTCTTGATGGATGGGGCGAGGTTTGGCGGAAGGAACCTCTGACTTTACAATGGTCTCAGGCGAGGTTGCGCTGCAATTGGGCTGCCATGACAATATGGCATCTTGTAGAATTCGTCCTTTCTTGTTAGTAAATCATACAGCTGTGAATTCTTTCATTGATCAAGAGTAACATGCTTTCAGACTATTAAAAATTCAGGATATTGTCTTGTGATATGTACCTAATTGTAGGATTTCGCTAATTCTTAGATACTTGCATTTTTCAAATGGTAATTGTGGATATCTGCAATGGACCGGTAGACAAGTTGCGAATTCAAGTATTATCTTGCATGTATCCTGACCAAAATTTCACACAGAACACGATTCGCACAACAAAAATTACAAAATCAATACTCGACTAAGATGATAACGTTTTAAGTTAACATTTGTTACAGGAAATTTGAATTCCCTACTTACAAGAAAAACAATAGTTTACATGAATCAAATCATGCACTCGAACAGTTTTGGTAGGTTTCTTAATCCAATGATTTTTCATTTTTGCTATTTTTTTGTTATAAAAATCTAGAAACCATCTTAACTTCTAAGATGAGAAGCGATCAAAGTACTTACTCTCAGTGTTTTGTCTCTGGAACCTGAGACGAGGAAGGGCCCTTCAAAAGCTCCTTTCTTGTTATCACCCCCAGCTGCTTCGTTGATTGCAGAATTTGCTGACTCGTTAGCCCATGCTATACATTCAACTACATGCTCATGATCTCTGAGTTCCACCTATAGGATAGTGAAAGAAAATAAAAAATTCGTCTAAGAGAGATTGAGATTGACATAAGACCAGAAAATCTAAAAGCCTAGCAGATAAAATGGAAAAAATATTAAATCAATTGAAAAAAAATCACAGACTGTAAGATTTTAATCAATTTCTACTTTGAAACTATCACTATAGTCGGAGTTTTATCTTCTACACACATAAAACAGAAAAAGCCCTAAAAAATTGAATTATACATGCCACTAAGAAAATCAATGTTGACCTAATTAAAACATGCGTTTCCTACACTGCTGTGCAAGTAGAGCAATTTATTTCATCATTCAACATTGATTTAAATGGATTTTTCAATATCACAGACACTTGGGTCAATCTTTAAACAAGAAACAGATTCATGGCCTCATAAATATAACTGAGCAGAGGTCGCCCAAATAAACTAAGATATCAAACTTATTGTAAAAAGGTCATGTTAAGGCAATTCTGACGATTGTGCAATTTTAATATTGATAGAAAAATAAGAGGCCACCGATCAAAGTGAAAAATTTTTGGTTCAAATTTTAAGTTGCATTGTCACTTCAAGCGTTTTAAAACTCGGGGCTCAAAAGTATATCCTTCCTTTCTCATATAGAGTCCAAAGTTATATAAAAACCAATTTTCTTAAATTCAGTTTTCCTCGAGAAAGTAATTCGCGGTGTATTCTTGATATTTCTTGGAAAAAAAGAAAAGGATAAGTATTTAGGAGATTTTTGGAGAAATATGTGCCTATCGATGAATAAATCTTCTGCTTGCACAGATTGAGCAAGGAAAATACTCTCATTAGGAGAAGGAACGAACAAATAAAGAATCTTGTCCTTGGGATTAACAGTTTTCAATAATTGTTCAAAGTTTGAAGGTTCCTATCAAAAGTATACTTTGAGCTGGGACAGCGCAATAATTGCAAGATAACTGATGTATTCTTCAGCCTCCTGCTGCTGTACGAAGACTGAGGCAATTTGCACATAAAATATTGAAACCACAATCAGAAAAGAAAAAAAAAACCTTATTATTTACGCACTTTGCATTCTTTCGTAGCAGCTACCCACACTCGGACAGTATGGTCATTAGAGCAGGATGCAATATAAGACCCATCAGGCGACACTTTGACTTGTCTCACCCATTCTCTATGACCAGAAAAGGTTTTTACACAATACCTGCAACAGACATCGTATCGCCAATTAAAAAATGAGGACCATGATAGAAAAAATATTTGTATAGTTTTAAGTTATAACCAAAGAACAAGAAACATTAATTCTAATTTCTCGAAAAGTCTACAAATAACCGTCTTCTAAGAGCCGGCCACCCATGATTATCGAGTGATATTTTATTACCTTTCCCAGAAAACTCAAAAAGGCTTTTTTCATTTCATTTGAAAAGAGGTTGTTGTGGGAACGTATTAACAGGGGTATAGGAAGTTGTTAAGTTAATGCTTCACGAGGAAAACAGATTTTTTATATGCCCTGTTACAAAGTGCAATCTGCATGACTTAGAAAAAAAATCAGCAGCACTGAAGTAGTTTGGTGTAAAAATCAGTACATCTGCAGTTCTTTAGAAGTATAATATGAAGGCAGCCACTTCCGTTCCTTTTTTTTATTCAAATTTCCTATAATGCAACTGCTACAGTGTGCATTGCGTTAGCTGAGTGTACTCTGTGAGATGTACCCAACTGGCTTTAGTAAAATCTGCAAGCTTCACAAACTATACACAAGAATGAGTCAGTTAAGCTCCGGAAGGATTTGGCTGCAAATAGTCAAATCTTACAGTTTTTGGTACGAGAAGGACGATGCACACGTTAAAATTTCACGAAAAATTGTCTCTGCGGAGATGTAATGCTCCCTTTTTAGGGGTCCTCGAAAACATGTTTGAACCGACCGCCGTGAATCTTCAAATCTACGTGTCATAGATGGAAGATGGCGGCAGCAAATCCAACCTGCTTACTACCACCATGCTGTCATTGCTGACATCTCGATTTCCCGTTTGAAGTTAAGTGAGTTCTGTGCTCTGTTGTTGTGTTGCGATAACGTGAGTTGAAATTACGTTGTGCAATGACATTAATGACAGTTTAATGCTCTTAAGAAATGACACAAACAAACAAACCTACATAACCTCAAACAGTAACACACCAGCAACGCAGACGCGATGCCGCCGTGTATTCTTCCACTACGCATGCTGCCGCCATATTGATCGTGACGTGTACATTGGAAACCTACGAGCACGTGGTTCAAACGCAGTTTTAGGCCACCCTAATTTTTGGCACTTTATTTTCAAATAAACTTTTCTTTTGTTTGCAGTCATCAAAAAAAATTAGGAAAAAACTGTTAGTTTCGGTCACTTACTACTTTCGAATGACACAATAAAAAAAAAAAAACTTAATTGACTCATTATAATTTGTTCACACAAATATAGTGGTTTCTTACCCTGTAGCAACTTCCCAAATTTTGATGGTTTTGTCCCGGGATGCTGACACAATGAAGTCACCATTGGGCATAAAAGCTACTCCAGAGACATTGTGATCATGACCGTGCATAGTCTTGATACACTGGTATCCTTGAGTAAAATCCCAAATTTTAATGCTCATATCGGCACTGCATGATACTGCAACAAGGAAGAAAAAAATGTATTCACTAAATAGCAAAGGCAATCTGTACTGTATTGCGGCTCTTAAAAAAGGCCGACTACTACATTTATGGCCCATTTGTGTACCAGCATTTTTTTGTTCCCCTCCCCCGCACATAGCAGTACAAACAAACAGGAGGGTTACAGAATACTCTTGAATGATCTTTAGAACAATACCTAAAGCCCTATCAATCAAAAAATTGGACAAACACAACCAAAACAATTGTCTAGCAACCACGCGAGTTAACTCATACATGCACAGTTGTCCCAAAACAGCGCTGATGAGGATGCTTCTTAATCTACTCGTATTAATTACTTAAGAGGCACTTTGTTATTTAATTTCCTTAGAATTTTTCAGAAAAACTTCATTCTGGTAATAATGTTTTGTTCGGAAACATTCTATGTTTACTCTTAGGGAGGGGTTTAAGCACCTAAAAAAGGGAGATGCATCTTGTTAAAAATATTGATTTTGGGGAAAAAAAGGATTGGCAGATGCAAAATAGATTTGAGGTAAAGTCATTGTAATTTATTGAAAAGGAAGAACTCAAAAGAAAAAACTCACCTAAAATTTTACCAGTATGGTCAAACGCTATGTCCTGTATTGAATCAGTGTGTCCTTTCAACGATCGCTCATATTCCCCTGTTTCATAGTCCCATACTCTAATTGAAGCATCTTCACTAGCAGACACTATCAGACCAAATACTGGATGAAAGATAACTTTGGTTACAGGGGCACGGTGACCTGACAGACAGAATTTTTCAGGGCCTCGAGGGATCCATTCTGTTGGTGACCGCTTCGCTCGCGTCGGAGCTCCTTCAATAAACTCCTTCTCTGCCTCAGACAATTTTGATTCTAGTTCCATAACCTATAAACAGAAAAAAGAAGGGTAATACATTTGAGCACTCAAAATCTGACTCTGTAAATAGGTAGATTAAAGACAAAGGTAAAACTTTATGGAGTCCAGAAATTAACTGACTAAATCTTAAAATTAAAATTTTGGTGGCCCAAAAATGTATCCACGTATTACATTCCATGATTAATTATCCAAGATTTATATTCTTGTTTCATTCGCAAAACATTCAAAAGATGAACTTATTTCTAAGATTCAAATTAATGCCTAAGTGGGTCGTGCTGGGGTTGGGTGTGAGGGACTGGGAGATCAAATGCAGCATTAGCCCTGAGGTTGAGAGATATTTAAAACTTGATTAAAAGAAAAAAAGGCGGCGTTACAACTGGAGGTTAAAACAGCTTTCCAGATTATCAGGGAATCCAAAAAGCGCTTTTTTTTTATCTAAGTCTTTACTAAACTGACTAAACAATGGAGAAAACTTACAAAAATGACTAAAAAATCGAGGAATGATTAAAAAGTTATTTAAAATCGAGAAAAAGTCGAGGATTTCAAAATTTTTCCTGCCCATTGAAATGTGTATGTGACTGTAATTTTAGTGTACTTTATTATTTCCTGCCTTTGATATGGAATGTTGCTCATACATTTCATGAATCTTGAGCCGTCGTGGGGAATAAAATAATTTAATAATAAACAACTTATGCATCCAAAAGATTGAAAGCCACCCTGAATATTATGCAAATGAATACTACATTCTAAATGATTAATTGAGAGAGCACTTTAGTAGAAGGAAGAGAAAAGTGAACTTACTTTTTTCTGCAAACGAATGACTGAAGTCCATTTCTTTTCCAGCAATCCTCCATACTTCTTTTCCACTTCTCCTGAGATATCTGCATCTCTCTTTAAGCCTTCAAGGGCAGTTGTGTATCCGTTGCTGGATAGGTAGTCTGCAATTGCTTTGTTTCTGAAAAATACAAATAAATGAACAGATTAAACAAATGAAACAAATATTCTTAGCTAAAACTGACCAGATAAAACAAACACCTTGATGAGTCATTTCTAATGCTACCTAGCTTTCATTTTTAAACATTGTTAGTTATCCAGCAGATTTCTCAGGTGGGAACATATGTGAAGTTCCTATCTTCAAAATGGTATAAAACATGTTGTGTTCCTTGAAAAGCTTGTGACAGCATGAGCATTTATTTCACTGATGTGAGTTTTGATCAGGGGTTGATAAAGTTCTCTGCTTTCCAAAATTTTGCGCATGCCGAAAATGTTTTTCCACAAAAAGTGATGAATTTTTTTTTTTAGTAGTCAGGTTTTTTGATCAACTGGTGAAAAGGAAATCTTAATATGGTAGTAAATAGGGCTTAATCAATGCTTACTTTACAATTTCTATGCCAGAAGTCGCCAAAAAAAATCTGAGGGCTGTCTACAATTTTCCAGCAAGCTCGGCTCGCAAGATCAGGAATATTATTGACCACTGGTTTTGCTTTAATCGGACGAAATATTTTTTACTTTGCACAAATTTTAATTGACAAGTCAAGAGAATGATAAGGATACTTACAGCTCCTCTTTCTGACGCTGAGATAAAACCATTTTCATGATCTCTTAACGCTCCGAGAATGACGAACAATGCGGGGATGGGATGAAGTGACTTCAACACTTAGACTAGCAGGAAAAACATCATACTCGCTGAAACAGAGAATCATATTTTATTAGTGCTGAGACTCAAACAAAAATAATTGTTCTCAAATAGAAAAGAAATTCATTACTTAAGAAGACAGAGGAAAAGACTTCAAAGATTTTACTCCCACGGATACAAAAACTTTCTTAACTGGCAATATTTCTCATAATTTCTCCCTATGCCTCACAGCCTAATTCGAGATTTGCCTCACGTTTGCTAAGATCCACTGACTGCAAGATAGACCATTTTCCACACTCCACTTACAATTTGAGAGAATCGATAATTCACCATTTCTATGATCTTTTGGATCTTGGTCAATGTTGATAAAAATTTGATGGGATTTTTTTTTCTTTTTGGAGAAGGTTATCAATGTCCAAGCAATATTAATCTTTCCTAGAGTAGGAAGCACAATGTAAGTTAGTACTTAAAGTATCTATGTGGTTCCACTCTTTTGAAAGCTGAGAGGGAAGAAGAACCTCAAGGAGGATCATAGACAAATTTTTCAACTTAGAAAACTGCTGACACCTGAACGCCTGCTGCGGTTTACAAATCATAGTCAAATCAGATAAAATTTTTAGAGTTTTCAGAGATGAAAAATGCAAAAAATGAGGATTGCAGGTCATGTTTGGGAAGGCAACGGAAATTAGTAAGCCTCAGAACACATCGATGATGAAACGACAGAAATGCGTAAATCAGTTGGGGGCGTTGCAGACTTCCTGTCATACTTTATTTTCGGCGAGGAAAATTAACAAACGTCATTCCTTGAAAACTTCGGTGATTTTTAATCTCTTTGTGATAAATGTATTATGGAAATTTCAATCCATAATGTTGGTTGGGTCTCCTTTTTAAACATAAAATTTGAACTGAGATTTTGAGACCCTGCAACCAAGATACACATTTTTGCAGTTTTACCATTGATATATTCTAGGTGGCGGTAGCCACTCCGGCCCAATCCTAAAAAGCTCCCCTTAAAAAGTTGACGACCCAAAAAAAAAAAAAAAAAAATCACTTGACTATGAGAACTTCACAATGTACTCTAAAGTAAGATTTTTAAACCTTTCTAGCGAGTCCAAAACTTACCTACTGGGGAGAAAAAATTCATCAACTTAGTGTCTCAGGGGACAAGCCTGCTTAAATTTTAATACATCCAAAAAATTTACAAATTTTTCCAGAATTCAAGAATTTTGGGCTTCAGAGTGTTTTTTATGAGACATAATTCGTGCAAAATCCATGCTCTGACCCCAGAGAGCATGGGTGCAATTAAAATCTTTTGAAAGATTTGACAAAATAATATAATTCAAAGTTTACCTATTTATTTAAGGTGCTAAGCAGATAATGTTGGTGCAGGTTAAATATTTTACAACATTACTTCGTTTTATCCCCTCCCCCCATAAGAAACTAATCTTGCTTGACACCTAGTGGGAATGACAAGCAGCTATGAGTTCAGAGGAAGTGCCTTGAACAATTGGATGAGTGAGACACTGAGTTGGTTTGAAGGTTTGGTAGAGAATTTCCTGACTTTTCATGGTTGGTTATCTAAATTTACTAAATTTTCCAGGTTTTCCTCGAATTATCAAGAACTTCTCAACGTGTCTTATCTTCAGAAAAAATACCGTTCTTTCTATTATCCCATTTTTCAAGTCTTTCCTTAAAAATTAGGAAACTCCTCAGAGGCCCTGATCTTGGAAGATAAGGAAGTGTCCGAGAACTTATAGTTGTCGTAAGATCTTTTCCTCTGAAATTTCCTGCTTCTGTTAAAGCAACTGTGATACTGTCAATTTTCTGCCAAGAAGTATTTTTCCCCCGTTTACTCCCTTCCCGTGGATTGAGAAATTGTTTGAAAAATCTCAACCGAAGATATTACTTACTTAGATTGATTCGGAAGAAAAATCGGTCAGCACTAACTTCAATGAATTGTAAACATAACTCGTATAGCTACATTCTTCAATGCAAAAATGTCTGTGCTTATTCTCAAAGGAAAGGCCCATAGGATTTCCTTTCATAGGACCGGTTTTACCCTGCACCATGGAAAACTCGAAGGTAAAGTTTACTCTCATTTCAAAATGGTACCAAAGCTGACTTTCTACTTTATCTTACTAAACGTGACATTATGATTATTGTTTTGGATTCGCCGATTAAAGTGACTGCACAATAACCGCCGGGAGACATAAGCGTAGAAAGTATTTATGGCTGCAAACTATTTGTCAGCCAATTGTGGTGTCTGTATTGAGTCAGAGGATCCATTAAGTCTTTTAAAGTTAAAAAAATTCAAAAACCTTAAGCTGATGACTAGTAATTATTACTGTTATTCCAAAGGGAAAAATTAGGATTTCTGTCAACAATAGGTAGTGAGGAAAAAATAATAAAAATGGACTGCTAGTTTTTCTGTACAGTAATGTAATACAATAATATCATAATGAAAAAGAATCTAGAAATCTTAATGAATTTTTTGGTTAACTTTAAATTTACAATTTGGACACTAAAGTCATTCAAACTCATCTTGTCTTTGTCAAACGTCAAAAAGTAGCATTAAAATCTTGTTCTAATCAAAGACCAATAAACTCCCTCTAATTTTAAAAAAAAAAAAAAAAAAAAAAAATATTAATGAGACAGACGCGGGGCAAAATGAGCCCGGAATCTAGAAAAAAATTAATCGTTTTGTATACCATTAAGGCCTTCCATTATTCTTAAAGCACTCCCCCCCCCCCAAAAAAAAAAAAAAAAAATTGTTGCTCATTCATAACTCAAGATGCTGAAGCCTAGATAAATTGTCACAAATATCTGATACAACTCCATTACTTAGGATTCAAACAAAATTAAGTGAAACAGTATAACTTCAACAGAATATAGTAATGTTTAATACTGAGCAAAAAATTTGACTGAAATGTAAAATTTCGACTTGGTGAAAAAATAGGTATGATAAAATAGGAATAAGAAACAATAGCAGATCATGTAGAGCAGTCTGAACGTAATGGATGAAAAATGTTAATGAGCATGAACTTAAATAGAACATTGTTTTCCTTGAGATTTCAAATAAGTAAATGCAAGTAACCAGATATGTCTCCAAGGCTGTAAGGATGCTACTTGTTTAAACCCCATCTTTGAGATTATTGTCTGAGAATTTTCCCTATAGTAAATGATATGTCACTGAGATTGAACACCTAGTGGTTAATCAATAGTTTTTAAATTGACTCTCCTGCGCTAATGGAAACGTGAGACTGATAAAAAAATCATTGGTATCTTGTTACTCTACCTTGAGAAAGACAAGTTAAAAATGCGCTCCTTCCACTAATAAGAAGAAACTGATGGACATCTAGGAAAAAATTAGGCGTACAAGACATTTAATGAAAATAATTTGCTGATGTGACATATATGTTCTCACTTGTCTGAAATTAGACTTAGGCGGCTCATTGACTTAAACGTCTTATGTCAATTCCCATCAGGCTCTTGCAAAACTAAACTAGTGCCTTCTGTTAAGGACTCAAAAAGAATTGATCAAGTGAGAAGTATACAATAAAAAATGCAGCTTTTCACCAGATGTTGCTTTCGGGACACAGAACACGGTGACTGATAAACAGCCTCATTAGGGATTCTAATTCAGCACAGGGACTTCTTTCATAGTGTGGCATTCTGTCAGAAGATGCTGAGAATGCATTAATAGTGAGTCTTAGTGTGTCCATAGTTTACAAAAAGCCTGCTGACAATACATCTACATTTAAATTTACAGGGCATCAAGAACTAGTAGCAGTACATTAACCTCCACCCCTTTCATTATAGTGAAATAGGGGAAGGTCCAGGGAGGAGGTATGAAAATTAAAACCTTGCAAAAAAAAAGGTTTAGACAGAAAAACGAAAACAGAACAGGGTTACGAGGAAAGAGGGATACTCGATAAAATAGGCTTCAGTTCTCAATATGTCAAAACAGATATTGATAAAAATATGCTTATCTTCACCTGATTTCTGACGGCTGGAGGTTCACGCGAAGTGGGACTGCTTGAGAGGGAGGGATCCAAGAAGCCTCAGACAAAACGAAAACACGATTAGATAAAAAAAATAAACTATCAAATAAGTTAAAAAGACATAAAATCACAGACCATGATAGGTTTCAGACTGTAATACTGTATTCTTTCTTTGGGATCGAGGAGACGACGACAGGGCAGACACAGATGAAATTACAAAGGTAAACATTCTTTATCAGAATGGTGGTCGCATTTCGATTTTGGCTGCCATCTTGAAGCGCTGTGACGTCAAGAGGGTACGGTTTTTGCCATGCAATTCGAGGTTGAGCCGGCTCCCCCGGCCTCGGCCAGCCCATGTACCCGATACCGTGTGACGTCCAGAGGGTACAAAATGCGACCACCATTCTTTATCCGCCTCCCCAACAAACGAACATGGAGGAATCTGCGGGACATAGGCAGGGGGGGTAGAGGTATTCGTTCGATGACTGTCTATGATATTACGATCTTATTTTACAATCAATTCTTGTGATTGTGATCTCAAACGTTTTGATAAATAAGTAGCTTTCATAATTTTAAAGTCCCATGGATTAATTGTTTGGTTTCAGGCTAGTTTTAGCTTATTTCGTCTTTCGTCAATTGTTCATTTTGTAGGTTATGTTTGTTTGTTGGGGCACATTTCGACTTTCGAGATATCGAACCACCATGATAAGAGATAAGAACGTGTTAGGTTAGATAATAAAATTAGAGCTAGCTAGGTTTAGGTTTAAATTTTGATTCAATCTCTGTGCACTTATTTAAGTTTCCATGTCACCTATACATTGCATTGCTGGAAGGTGTAATTTTCCGAACATCGTTTCCTCTAATATGCTTGCTTATTGATGAGAAGTTTCAAATTGTCCATCGGAGAAGGCGATCATACATCATGCAAGCCCTGAACATCCTCAGATCCGGAGTAGTATCCCGAAGGTTTGTAATTTTTCCCCAAATTTTTCCATCCTCAGTCAGTCCTTTGATGCTTTGAATGCGTTTGCCGTCTGGTTTTCAGCGAACGCAAGGGTTTGCGTCAGCTGTAATGCCACTAGACGCGGCAGCTACACACGGTCCTTTGCCCAATGGCTCAGTGCTAGCTGTTCGTTTCATTGATAACCAGGACATAATGAGACATCACTTTCTCTGTGTTAGTAGCTCCAGCTGCTAAGAACTGGCTGTCTAAGTGGAACGCGTTTAGCAAAAAGGAACCAGCGCAATCACAGTGTTGTAAGAATGTTGCTTCTTCACAATTATCTATAAACCTCTCAGAACAGCAAATATATTTTGCTTCCCACCAAAAAACTGTTAATTTTACTGTCAGGAAAATAATCTTGTAAATATTGGTAATTTACCTGTATTGGAAATTTTTAAAAGGACAGAAGAAGTCGTACGATTTTGAAAACACTGGAATGGCGCTGATTCCTTTTTGATGAATGCGATCCAAGTCTCAGTGCCAAGTGTTTGGTTCAAATCCTGCACTCAGGAATGGCCAATACTCATTAGATTTAGCCTGATTTTTAACATTTCTTTCAGTGCCTTCTAAAATCGATGTTACATGGCCTAGACAGGGCTATGTCTTGTCTTTCTTGCTGACAGAGGCAGAAATAGATTAAACGATCAGGCTGCTAGGGTCTTCACGGGGTTGATCTCTGGGTGGTACTGAGTGAAAGCGGGTGTATTTGGGGGTGGAATCGAGAATTTTTGAAAGATCTTCTCTACTGGAGAGAACTAGGCTTATTAAGTGAGGCCATGGATGATGGAAGACAATAGAAGTATTAGTACCTTGAACCTCCTAATGAAAGGGGCTTGAGTAAATAAATTACAGGTGTGAGGGTTATGCTGATCGCAATCAAGTATGCTCTTGAGAGCCTTTTACCAACTGTGAAAGCTCTTCAGGGCGCCAATCATGAGTCTACAGACCCTTAAAACATAGTTAATATTGAATTTAAATAGATTTTCTCTGCATCTGCATGGAGTCGGTCCAACCCCTGTCTGTCCACTGAGGAGGCGTAATCTCAGCGATGTTAACCGTCAGTCAGGAGGGGTATATCCTTCTTGACCGAGCAAGATATGCCTCTAATTATTCAAATGGTTCACCTAAATCTCAGGGTGAAGCTCCTCTTTGGAAATTTATCTTCAGAAACTGTATTTTTATATGCAAGTGTTTTTTTTGGTAAAATGATGACACATATGGACGGACAAAGTACAAAACCATGTATTTCCGTTTGCGATGAAATAGATTTCCTGTCATACTTTATTTTCCCTTTGGAAAACTAGTCAAAGTACCTAATTTCTTGAAAACTTCCTTTATTTTTCACCTCTATTAGCAGAATTTTACAGACAACTTTCAAGCTGAAATTGGCTTGTCGTCTCTCTTCAAAAAAAGGAAATAGGAGTGTAAATTTTGAAACATCACAATGGGGGTACACGGCTTCACTTCTTGGACATCAATACACATCCAACCCAATTATAGTGTCCCATTTTCTAATGCTCATGATTTATATTATTTTCATTTCAGTTATTCTTTTCTGGAAGCCTCCAGGGCGTGCTGGGATAATGATGTCTTCCGCAGCTTCTCACGAATTAACTCAGTTCTAATGTATAATGAATATAACTGGCAGAGATTCTATAAAGAACCCCGTCCGTATAAAAGGCCTAGAACACCAACCAGAGATTACATGCCTAGGGCAAATGAGCAAAAACGTTTGGTTACACATGGTTGGTTGGTGCGCATGATGACTCCATCTGGACGAAGGACCATCATGAGGCGGATTTTAAAAGGCAAACATGTCCTATCTCACTGAACTTATTCATAACTAGTGATGCCCTCTTATAATATTTAGTTTTTGTATGTGTATACTTGTATTATGATTAAATGTTTTAACAAACAATTTTGCTTTTTCAGTATAATTCTTTCTTACCCCATACATTTCTTAAACAAACAGATGACCTTTCAGCAAAAAAATATCTCTTATCTGCTTCTAGAGAGGAGAGGAATACCATTTAAAAATTTCCTGCAGTTAAATTTGTTCAATTGGGTACTTAAAATGTGATAAAGTCAGGCAAAAACATGAGTTCAAAAAGAAAAAACGTTGTTGAAGTTTGTTATCGTCGTCAGCCTACATATCGATTCAGTCTTCATGCTGTGATTAAATATAATATTATTTATAAGTTGCATTAATTTTAATGCCAATTATGGCTACATATTTGGACCAAGTGTTTTTAAGAATATTTAAAGGCATTTAGACTAGAGAACTGATGATCAATATTTTCCATTGAATCTTTCAAACAATTTCGAGTTTTCACTCCATAGACCTTTTTGCCTGGCTCTATCACAGACAAAGGGGTAAGAGACTTGGTCCCTCAATTGTAGTGGGGCTTCCAAAAATTTCACTTGACCATTATGTCATCAGTAACAATTGCTAATGGACCCTGAACACTCTTTATGGAAATGTGTGCCCTGTTTGATTTCCAATTTTTTTATTGCATTGAATTCATCAATGGATGCTGACCCAAAGTCATCATTGCACTTACTTTCTTCGAGCCATCCTTCTGACATATCCCGCAATTGAAAGTTTTGATTATTTCAAGGACAGGACAGCTGAAATCACAACGCAGCGAGTTTCTGTCTGGTAAAACATGGCACAAAACATAGCACACAGCCCCATAAGGAGTGTGGAAGGTCCTTTTCCGAAGGCAGTTGAAAAATTTCCCATAAATAAGTAATTTTATAAACATGTCAATTGAGTGCCAGATAGAGAGAAACTGATTTGGATAGTGAGAAGAAAAGGTGTGTGGAATCAGAAATAAGATTGTTGCTCGGCTGCTGGTCAGTTTTTCTGCGTTATGTCATTTACACAAACCCTTACAACCCAAACTGTACTCGATCTGCTAAAATGAGGGATCTCTTTCACTTTTTTTTGCAAAAACGGTTACTCGTGGAATGTTGGCACAATGATGACTTTTGGTCAGCATCCATAAACAAGTTTAATGCCATAAAAACTGGAAATCAAACATGGCACACAGTCCCATATGGAGTGAGGGGCGTCCTTTTCCGAAGGCAGTTGAAAAATTTCCCATAAATAAGTAATTTTATAAACATGTTTTTGCCCACTGAAGAAAGAGGAAATTCAACAAAACACTAAGGAAAAAGGAACAAATAAAACTCTGCAATGTAGCAATGCAATTAAACTCTTCTGCCCCTCATCTCTTATAAGTTCTAATCCTAAAACTCTTTTAATATGATCAATTGTGATTGAAGTGTTGGGTGTAGAAAGAACACTTCTCTGTTACAGGTTGCAGAATCTTTACTGCTAATTAATTTTATGAAGCACTACCTTCAGGTTGAATTTCATGCAATGTTTCGTTTAGAGCTGTAGAATAATAAAGAAAGATTCGTAAAAGTTTCAATGAATCACATACATTTGCTCTGTGGCCAAAATGATCGGAATATTGGTACAGATTCCGGGACACCGTAATCGGGAAGTGCCTTTTCTGCACCAAGTGCTAAGGATTATCTCGGTATCTAATAAAAGTGAAGTTATGTTAAAAAATTGTACTGATTTCTGGGAATGAGAGGTACAGCACTGAATATTTGATTATAATGAGAGGATTGAGAAAAAAACAAACTACAATATAAAATAGAATATCTGGTTCTAAAATTACTAAAAGGGGGAGAAATAATTAGATGATGCTCCTTGGAGCCAAAATAGCGCAGAGTTTAGATTTAGCAACAAAAACCTATTTCCAACACAAATAATATAACTGATTAAGTTTCTATGGTAATGATCATTAAAAAAAACTGAGGGAATATAAAAAGAATGCCACCATATAAAACTTAATACTAACATCTGATCATGATTAAGAGGGAATAACCTTGATCTGGTGCCAAAAATAAAGCTGATGGAATTGATACAAAGCCAAAAAGGAAATCTGCAAATTCATTGGTTTGACCGTTCTCATTTGAAAGTAGCTACCAGTAGAAGTGCCATCTGCCTGAACTTCATATTACATAGCTCAGCGGGAGGATCAGTTATGTTAATAGAATCACCACTGATTTTGCATTAAACCATGAAGTATCTAAGTTCCTCCTAAGACAGGTGAAATTCGAAACAACTATTAAATTAAACAAAAATTCAGGTACACAAGTGCGGACATGATGCTATCACACGGACAGCAGTGACCGCAGTCATCATGGCTACATTTAAAGCCCTGGATAGACGATCAAATTTCCGAACCTATTCTGATCAAAGTAGCATCAAAGTGTCGGGAGTCATCAGTCTTGAACTCATTAATTTGCTTCATTTTAAAATGAAAACTTGGCAGAAATGTTTCCTGTGGCAGAAAATGATGAATGGTGGCACTCCATTCTGATCTTACTTTTAACAAATAAGTGCGACCCGTCAAAATTTGATGGTAGATGGTGACCATCAGTCATCAGCATGTCTACTTTGATCGGAATTGGTTCGAAATTTGATCGTCCATCCAGGGCTTCACAAAAGAAAATTTCTCCGAGTAGCTTCACTTCTTTCAATAGATAACCAAGCTAAATGGTACCTAGAAATTTAGTCAAGCACAGTCCTTGTATTGCTCCGGGAATTTCAAGGTTTGATGCTGCCAAGTTTTTGGTTAGAAACAAAAATGATACGCTAGGAAATTTTCTGAAGAACAAAATGTAGAGAAGCTGGTTTCAATCAGAGCTGTCCATGTGTTATTGCTAGATCTCAAGCAGATTGACCACCACTGCTGATACTTTGCCACTGCTTAAATTAATTGCACGCTTTTTCCTGCTGGCTTTTACAAAATGGCACACAGGATAAAATAAACTTTATCTTGCTAGCCAAAAATGTTAAAACAAAGATATTAATTTACTTAATATGCTTCATCATGGCACATTTTACAACTTATTATAGAAGCAATTGATGTGGAGAAACTAATACTCCGCAAGAGACTAATTTACACAATTTGGCGAGATTAAAGAGCACAGATAAAAACTGAAATAAATTCGCTAATTACTGTACAGAAATAACAGTATTTCAATATTGCCAAAATGCTTCAATTCTCATCATACAGGGGCGTAGCATCACCCAGCCGATCGAGGACTTGCTACAGTCCTGAGGGTTGATCTGCCTGAGTGAGGGGTTGCAATGGTTGGAGAGCCTGAGTGTCCACCCAGAGATTTGTACATACATATGAATGGACATCAAACTCGAAAATATACTCGAATTTTGTATTAATGACCCCTGCGGCGGCCATTTTGGGCGCCAGGGTCCTTTTTGAACTTGACAACATCGAAAATCGAATTCTACACATAAAAACGAAGAGAATGATGTATCATTCAAACTTTGATACATTAGCTGCACACAGGAGTCTTTTTTGTACATTTGCAACCACACTAGTGCTCCTGTGCACTCAGTGATATCTAATTGTTTCTCATGTCTATCTACTCTGAGGAGGTCTGGCAAATTTCAATTTTCTAATTTTTGTGATTAACATCAATTTATGATTGCTAGTGCATACTCAACAGGGAGAAATATGAAATTAGATAAGGGAGGTGTCACCGACTGGTGAAAAAGACGTTTGTAGGAGCAAAAACAGCTAGCAGAAACCACTTGAGGCTCTATTAAAATTCATGGCTGCATCAATATTATGAATACTTTTGTATGTATGTCTTGCAAGTGTAGTTAAATTTCCACTCAAATACTATTCAGCATGACAGAGTTATCTACATAAATGCTGCAGAAAATGGTTCAATCTACCCAATACCACCATTTAGGCTACTCAACCTGGCTACCTAGGCTAACCTAGGCTACCTGTGGCCGTAAATGTAGAAATACTCAAGATCCAGCCCAGGTAGCAAGGTCTGCTATAAAATAATTTTTATTATATCTTCGAAATAACAGTTTTATTGCTATTAAATGAGAGTTTTAATTCCTATTAATATATTATAAAAAAACAATTTATATCGGTTGAAAAGATCGATTAAAGTACTCCCCAGTTACAACAGTTTCAGGCGCTATATTCCTATTTTATGAAGTTAAAAATAACAGTTTAAAATAATTTAATGACATAAATCAACAATGATTAAAGTAGTGAAAAACAAATTTCATTTGGAAAATTTACTGGTGTAAAGCGACACTTGTCTTAAAATAAAAATAAAAAATTTAAATGTTGAATACGAGTTTTGAATTATTCTTGTAAAGTATTAAAAAAAACTTAAAATATCCATAGAAAAACTAATTTCTAATAATAGAACGACTCGTAAAATTGTAGTTTTATTGAAAATTAACAGTGTCAATATATGAAATTTTATTCGTTTTTAATATTTTGTTAAACTGTTATTTTTTGGTTTTAAAAGATCAATTATAGAACTCCCCAGTTTCAGGCCTCATATTTCTATTTTGAACACCGATGACGGTGAGCACCGATACTTCCTCTAAGGAGGAGCAACAAAGACTATGCAGCAGGGATGTGACTACACTCGACACACCACACTACAATCAACGCTATAGATAGGCCCATGCCCTGTCTAGGCACAGTTAACCACAGGGGGGTCATCAAAAATGTGAGAAGAAAATCCACTCATATGCACCGAACAAAGCAAACATAGAAGCCGTCGATAAAAAAACGTATGTCGTAGAATATAAATAATATATTTTATGTTTTCACTACACACAAAGGTTAGACAGGCACCATAAACGACCCATCCAAAAACAAAATAAATCGGAGCTCTCTATCGGAAATAAAAGGAAACACCCCGATTACAATAAAACAATCGGAAATTAAAATCGGTATTTAAAAAAATAATGTAATACTAATTTATATTTCACAACTGTTTAAAATAAAATGTTTTGCAGAAAAACTGCAATAAATCAGATATTTAAACTGTCATTTTATCACTATCACTTGTATCTTTTTATCGATTTAAATTATATTTTCCTTGTTAGTGATAAATAGTTATCAAAGTTTTTTATAAGGATTCTTTTTCGACAAAAATTAAAGCTACACCGGTTTTCAGGAAACAATGATTTAAAAATAGTTTCTCACCAATATTGTTTAATAAATAATGTAATAATAATTAATATTTCATGGTTATTTATAAGAATGTGTTTTGCAAAAATATGGCAACAAATGAGATATTTAAATTTGTTTTTTATTGTCTTTTTTTTATCTTTTTATTGATTTAGATTAAATTTTTCTCATTAGTACAGTATAATACTTTATGTTTTGTAAAATAGCTTTTTTAAAACAAAATGGTCTACTTCTGTGTTTTATGAAATCAACTTTAAAAAAAAATAAATTAGAATAATTTTTTTAACTTTTTTTAGTTATTAAAATGTTAATCTACTTTCCTTTCTTTAAAAAAGTTTTGTTAAGTAAGTGATTTTGATTGAGAATTTTAAACCGTCGTTTTATTTCAAATCTAAGTATGTTTTTATTGCAATAATAGTTTCCTTTTCGATCGGTGTATAACACTAGTTAAATTTGTGTTATATTTTCAGAAAACATGACTAAATTATAAATTTTCCACTGGTATTTTTTAAGTATGTAAGAAAAATTTTTCAGTGATTATAGTCGCAAAGGACTTCTCTTTTCCGTTGGTTTTTCAACTGTTGTACTAGAGCAAATTTTTCGATGAAAAAGTGCACAAAAGTAACAGTGTAAAAACTGTTGTGAAATTGCAATTTTGAACTGTTACTATTGCTACCTGGGAGGCTCTATATGAATAAATTTAGGCAAAATTCATCCGCCAAATAGATGGACTCTTTAAAGAAAAAGTTAAATGTAGATGTGTCCTGTTTACTGAATTCCATCCATTGCACTTTGAATGCCACCCATTAAAAATGTTAATGGGGGTCCTTTAATAGACCATTAGCCAAATATTTCGAATTTTCAAATCATCTGCTTTAGTAGTATTTTTCTCTTTGTTGCCAGCAACCAGGCTAACCAAGAAAGAGATGAAAAGGATAGAGAAAAAAGCTGATTACTTCTGTTTTTTATTTAACATAAGTAACTCACTTTGTTGGGATGCGCCAACATGGCTGCAGCTGCATAGGCCGCTGGAGTCTGCGGATAGTGAGGGGTGGGCATAAGACCTATTGGCAATGGTACCCTTTACATGTCTACACTCTGTCTGAAACATAAAAAAGGGGGAAATATCATCATTAAAGAAACATAACAGTTGCTATTTTCGTATTCTCTTCCTGCTCATCATGATGTCTATAATAATTACCGAGTTACTTAGAAAAGGCTGATCGCTCAAGTCTTCAATTGGTATTGAGATTTTGAGGTGGTGTTGGAGAAGATGAAAAGGGTTTTAGAATGACTAGATATCTGGTTGAAAAATAATTGTACCGAATTCTTTTTGTGAGGGCCCAAGCCCCAAAATCCAAAATTCGAGAAAAGCGGAGAAAACTGTGCTATTCGGCATGCACTCAATCTTTTGAGTCCAAAACCGATATTCAGAATGCTTATTTAGGTAATTTGAGAATGTAGTTTGAGCCTAGGGTGCGTTTAATAAACTCAACATCAACCTAAAATGAACAGGAGATATGTAATGAACGGTGAACATGATGTCACCATCTCTGGCCCTTGTCTTATTCATGTTGCTCTTGTTTATTCTCATTAATGTTACATACAGGAAATTGATTTTTCCTTTATTTTTTAAATAAAACAGATCTTATTTCACCGACAGATATTGTTGACTCTCATTTACATTGCCTGAAAAGAAAAACAAACAAGAGAGCAAAAAATTGGGAGAAAGCTTACTCAGCATATTTGGTGTGTGAGGCTGGAATGGTGTGCTTTTCATGTTTACAGATCTCAGAGTGCTTCGTGTTTCTGGAATAGCATCTCTGAAATGTTCCTTGAACCAACGGAACAAGCTACTTATGCTGTCAAATATTTGTCCTCTATAACGATATCCTTCCGCTGTCACTGTTACATACTCATGTTTGCATCGAGTTTGTGGCAGATACGATAATAAGAATTTTCCAGGGTAGTCCTGAAAGAAAAAATGGTGATGAAGTCGTTAGATTTTGATGGGTGGTGAGAATTTGAGACTTTTGGGCATTTCGATGGTTCTCAGTAACTGGAACTTTGAATAGACTGAGAGACTTTTTAATAAAGGGGTTTAAGAGCATAAGAATCTTGAATTGGACGTATTTCTGTCAAACGGAACTAAGCGCCAATTTGAGTTCCTTTTGAGGGATTTAGAATGCTGAATAGCGCGTTCTGTCAAACAGAACTAAGCACCATGGAAAAGCATTGCGAGTATAGGACAGAATGAGCCTGACGCCCGGTTCCACCGCTAATCTAAGGCCCCCTTTACCTTTCTTTCCCTATGACGCTTAGTTCCGTTTGACAGAAATACGTCCAATTGTAACCTTGCACGGTTCGTTTGAACCAAAGTTAAATGAAAAGTCGATGCACTCATGATTTCTCTTCAGAACCTTGAAGTATGATGTAAATACATTACTTTAAGACCAAAACGAAAATATTCTGTCGAGCTCTCGGAAAATAAGGCCGATTTAAAGGTTTTTAGCCCTGAATCGGCTGAAAATTGCTGATTACGGAGCAAATATCCAATAATTATGGCTGTACTCTTTGTTTTTTGAAGTTGCGGGGGCATCGAGGGTAGGAAAAGGCCTTTTTCTTCCTTCACCCCCCCCCTCCGCCCATCGCTCCCCCGCCCCCTTCCATAAAAAAACATTTACACCTATGCATATGCATGCGCTCAAATTGATATGAATGTCTTGCTAGTTTGAGTCGGTGGATTGGACCCAAAGTAGAATACCGATGACCAAACTCGAAAATTGCACAATCGCTTATTGTCGCTTATTGCAACGTTGCAGATTTCCTTCTATTATTTTTTACGGCCGAGAATTTTGCAGAATTTCAAGGAAAACTTCATTCGTTTTTTTTTTACAATGACATTAAAATTCAGTGGAAGTAATTCTCTCAAATCTTTCCTATGGTTCGTCTATAAATAAAGAAAGTAGAAAAATATACAAGCAGAAACTCTGAAACGTCGCAATAAAGATGCATTTAATATTTGAGTTCACCTTTCAATATTCCTTAAAATGTATTAAAAATACAGCACATATTTGAAGAAAAAATAGTCTTTTTCACGAAAATAGAGGGTTTATTATATTGAAAGCATTTGAATACAAAATATGGCAAAGCATAAACCACGTTAGAATGGCAGAAAAGCAATTTAGCAATCAAGCATAAAATCTACTGTGAATGGAAGCATATAAGAAAACAATGAATACAGGACGACAAAGCAGCATAAATCATATAAAAATCGCATAAAATCATTTGAGGATGGAATTATAAAAATAATTAAGCATACTAGTATAATTTTAAGTAAATATGATTATACACACAAGATTACAAATGCAGTGAATTGTACTCGCAAACTGCGCGTAGCAATTGAGTTAAGTAGTTAGGGTTCGTTTCTGCTACTTCGTATTTCAGCCATGTGGCTTTAAAATCTTGATGGACACTCTCAGGGGCTTGCTCGCTATAAAAACCGAGACCTTTGTTTCTTTTCACAGTATTCAAATGCTTTCAATATAATAAACCCTCTATTTTCGTGAAAAAGACTATTTTTTCTTCAAATATGTGCTGTATTTTTAATACATTTTAAGGAATATTGAAAGGTAAACTCAAATATTAAATGCATCTTTATTGCGACGTTTCAGAGTTTCTGCTTGTATATTTTTCTACTTTCTTTATTCATAGACGAACCATAGGAAAGATTTGAGAGAATTACTTCCACTGAATTTTAATGTCATTGTAAAAAAAAAACGAATGAAGTTTTCCTTGAAATTCTGCAAAATTCTCGGCCGTAAAAAATAATAGAAGGAAATCTGCAACGTTGCAATAAGCGACAATAAGCGATTGTGCAATTTTCGAGTTTGGTCATCGGTATTCTACTTTGGGTCCAATCCACCGACTCAAACTAGCAAGACATTCATATCAATTTGAGCGCATGCATATGCATAGGTGTAAATGTTTTTTTATGGAAGGGGGCGGGGGAGCGATGGGCGGAGGGGGGGGGGTGAAGGAAGAAAAAGGCCTTTTCCTACCCTCGATGCCCCCGCAACTTCAAAAAACAAAGAGTACAGCCATAATTATTGGATATTTGCTCCGTAATCAGCAATTTTCAGCCGATTCAGGGCTAAAAACCTTTAAATCGGCCTTATTTTCCGAGAGCTCGACAGAATATTTTCGTTTTGGTCTTAAAGTAATGTATTTACATCATACTTCAAGGTTCTGAAGAGAAATCATGAGTGCATTGACTTTTCATTTAAGTTTGGTTCAAACGAACCGTGCTTGGGAAGTGTTGGTGTAAAGTACGTACTACTTATGAGGATTTCAGATTTTCAGACGATTCTCATTCTCTTTGACTCTTCAAACAAAGGGATCAATTAATCTTATCTCTCCCAGCCTCCATCTAGCAAAGATCATCTGATAATTATCTCCCCCTATGTAAATATATGTGAATCTACTGCATGTTGACAGAATTGTATGTAATAACTTTCCAAAAAAGAGAAAAGGAAGGTAGATAGACAGAGAAGTTTGAAAAAATAGTATCTTTCAAAAAATAAGACATTCATCTTGTGTCACAATCACATTTGAAAAGAAAGAACTCAAACATATTTCCCTGTAAATGAACTAAATTTAAACGAAGAAGGATTAGGATGGAAACGTTTTAATCTTTCCTTCAGAATTGTACTGTTAAACTCCAAATTTCAGAAAACAAAGACATCAATATTGTTGACGTCCGTCCACTGTTATAGCATGCTGCCAAATCGCTCAAGTAGGCTCCTTACTATTAATGGATGTCTCTTCCTCCAAACAGATAACAACACTACACATCAAACAATATCAAACAGTAATAAAATCAACTTTGAGAGGCTGTTGTATACAATACTGAAACTGGATTGAGTGAGTTTAATGGCAAAACAACTGAGCTAAAATAGAGCTTGCATACGTCAGACTGTTGAAATTGGGAGAAACTGATGAAAATTATGAAGAAATCTGCCATGAAATAAAAAGTCCAGAAGGGAGGTGTTTGGAGTTGTACTTTAAAGGGAGAGGGGGAGAGGTGAAAACCAGACATAGTGAGATACGTATTTCTGGATGGCCAATGAAGACACATCAATATTCTTACCTTGCTCACAGAGATTATGTAGTGAATTTTGGATGGATTTTGCTTTCTTTCTTCCTTAATTATTTCTTCAGCTTTATCTTTCAAACCTCCATCTGTGTTTCGGTAATACCTAAATGAAAAAATATCCCGGCAGTATGCAGCCATGGGGTTAATATGTAGTGCAATGATTTCATCAATGTCCTCAAACTCCTCATTATCAATCAGCAATGTTGGCCCAAGTGAAAAAGCATTTCCTTTGTCCACTTCTTTGACGGCAATATGTTGACAAATACCATCAGCGACCTTCCACGTTACTGAGAGATTGTTAGCTCCCTGACTGGATGGCCGAACAATAACTTCACCAGGCTCCATTGAGGCCATGAGAGCTTCTGCTTCTATATAGGATATGTGGTGGAAGGAGGGATGGACTATGACTCGTTTGATATGAGTCTGCCGCTTCTTTTGTTGCATGGCATCATCTTCAGTCTTCTTATCTTTCATTCCCGCTCCTAGGTCATAGAGAGGGTCTTTGGGGGGTCTCCACTTACGATTCTTGTCAAGTAAGTCTGAGAATTTGGAGGTGGCATCTATTGAAAACCTTTCCACATCGATTTTTATTATCCGACATTGGATTACTTGATTTCGCTGCACCCTCTCTTCAGGATCCGTGACACACTTGTCTGATAGATTTTTAATATGAATAAAGCCGGAGACGCCGTTGTCTAGCCTGATTTTGACTCCAGTTGCAGATCCAGGACAGCCTTTGGAAGTACTGAAATGATACCATACTTCTGACAATTTTGGGAAATCATTTTTGAAGCAAAGAGGACATTGCCACAAGCCTGTTTCTTCATTTCGAATAGGGTTGGCTTTGTCAAGCTGTTCAGGCGTTGGCTGCTTTCTTGAGATTCCTGAAACGACTGCTGAAATCATTTTTCCAATATAGAATGTTTCTGGGGTCTCTTTGGTCAACATATTAAATAACTCCTCTGGATTTGGTGACCGATAAGGAGTACGCAGATCCTTATAACGATGGTTCAACTCAGCACGGATGTCATACAGAGTAATACTCATGTTGCCAAAACCTTGTCGCTCCAACTCCTCAGCAAATGCGTCTAAGTCCAAGTCTTTTAACCTTTCTGGTGCTTCAAGAACTTCTTCTAAGGCAAAAGCTGGATTTGCATGATTATCTTCATACTTCAGGGCATCTGCTGCCATTTTTTGGGCCCATTCATACCTTTCTGGATGAATTCGAGAACCATCCAAAACTTCTACATACGGATCTGTACTATCACCAAGCGAAGTGATATCGATTTTGATGAAACCTGCACAATTGGTGAATACTTTAGGACCCATATGACAAGAGGTGACCAGTTGAGTTCGGTTTTCTAGTTGTTGGTTTGTTTGTTTTAGTAATTTTAACAATGCTGCAGCTTTCCTGGGCCCCAACCCACAAACAAATTGAACTAGATTGCTGGCGTAAACTTGCTGCACAGTTTCATTGATGTCCACACCTACTTCGTTGGTTCGATTCACAAACTCGATGGTCAAGGCATCCAAGAGCTCTTCTTTGCTTAGCTGGTCTTGTAATGCGTGATATCGAAGGCATAGAATTTCATCATCTGATGTACATAATTGAGAGAATTCTATGAGGGGATCTTGCAGGCGCCTGGCAAGAGAAACAGCTTGCCGTAGTAGGAGAGGATATTCTCGAAAATCACTAATTCCTTTATTTGAATTGGCATAGATCTTTGATAATTCATTGTCAACAATTTCAACAGGGATCATTGGAAACTGCTCATCCTCTACTAGATTTGCGATGATCTCTTTTACATCTGCAACAATCATGAGAGCTTCTCGAGACTCGCCACCCACACAAATAGCATGCGGTTTTTTTGTAGAAATGAACTCTCGTAAGGCACGAAGGTCTGCCTCTTTGAGAGCTTTGTCATCCACTCTGAAAGAATGCTTACGTTTCAACACGTATGGAAGCCTTATATGCTTAATAACTTCACCTTCTGGGGAGATCACACAGCCAAATGCTGCTTGGGAGAGATCTGGCTCATAGGCTATACTCATGATTCGGAGTCCTTTGCTCGTGTCCCACTCCTCATCGTCTCCATCAAAATCAACGGAGAACGGAGCAACCTGCAAACATAAAAATTAATTCCTTTAAACAAAACTTAAACTCAAGATTGTATTTGGGACAGATTTTACTCAATAATTTTGAAAAGGCAAGAAAAATTTATTATCCTGAGCTATATATGTAAAATGCAAAATTTCTTCAATTTAATTTTGGATAATAATTCTATTGCTGAAAAGAAATATACATATGGTAGTTGGAAAACCAGTTGCATGGCGTGCTAAGCAATATATCTATAGATCTGTCATTCAAACCTATGGAAAAGGATCAATAGACAGGGTGTTCGCAGCGAACACATTAACAATCGATTTTTTACCATAGCTTCAAATGGAGAAATATCAATAATCGATCATTCACGCCACGCCACTGTGGAAAGCATCAAATCTACCAACATTTTATTGTAGTTGTCCATAATTTGATGTGGGTATGGTGACTAACAGTAAAATAATAGAAAAGTCAGAAAATTGTGTTTTTGTTTCTTATGTTACTGATAATATGTTCATGATTTGCCTTGATATCAAAATTAGCACAGATCTTAGGAATTTTATTTTGCAGTCTTGCAAACGAAAGTATTTAGATTCCATTGATTTTGCAAGAAGGAATCATGGAAAACTTCACTGCTTGGCAAAACTGCCTGCTTAGGTGTAAAAATAAAAATCATCATGACTTAGAGACTTCATGTCTACATTTTAGCAATCTTCCTTTCACTACTTAAAATAAATCTAACTTTTGGACTATTAATGCTAATACAGAGTTTCCGTGATTACTCCATTTTTAAATTCTCTGACTTCTGTTGTTTTACCCTGATTCCAAAATTTCCAAATTAAGTGACATTCACTAACTTTGTCTGGCCTTCAACCAAGACCTCCACTAAGATTTTTTCTTTTGATTACGCTGACTTTTGCTGAACCATATACAAGATCTCTACTTCTACAAATTCAAATTAAGGGAGAAGGTGCTCGGAAGTTGTCTGCTTTCTCTCAAATGGCAAAAGCTGAAGTTGCTGAGCCAATGCACTTCCCAAGAAATTCCCTGACTTTCCCAGGTTGTAATAAATTCTTTACCTTTTTAGGTTTACAAGACTGCCGGAAACTCTACATGTATTTGAAAACTCTTAGCCGATTTAAGTATCTTCTGTTCATCTTCTAGACTCTTTTATTTTTGATTTATATTGAAAATTAGGGGTAAACAACAGTCAAAAATCTAAAGTAAATAAACTATAAAAATTACCTTCAGCCAATTGAAGAGTTTATCACAGCAATTTTTCAGTACAGATTCTTTCGATTCATCTAATAGGATTGTGCGAAGCTCTTTGCAAAGATTGGGGAATAGAATTTTGGAGAGTGCTATTTCAACAGCCTCCAACCTGAGCTTGTTCCATTCTTGGACATGTTTACTGCACTCATTACGATAGAAGAGTTGCTTCACCTCCTCCACATAGGATGAATTGTGGGTGATACCTGGAAAAACAATGTTCACAGTATGTACGCACTGCTTTGAAATTGTAAATGACCTCTCTTGAAAATTCAATCTTACTTTGAGTACACAAAAAACTCCATTAGTGATCACTTCCAAACAGAGGACATTCTTCCATGAAAAAATATCAGGCAGCATTTGGTGAAAGGAAACCAAATGACATGTTTAAACAATGAAAAATAAGTTATCGGCGATTTTGAGCTCTTCTAAAAGCAAATTTTTTTCAGTAAAATCTTTAAAGTCTGCAAAAATGTTGAATAAAAATGAGCAATAATTAAATTTAAAGTTTGAGGATTCATGGAGGAGTGAGCATTGCATATTTTATGAATGGTCCCTGACACTTTGGATTCATCTTCAGTACTGCAAAGTATTCTGCATCTTAACATGTTTTATACAGTGGAAATAGCTGCATTGGCTATAGACAGCTGAAGCGGTGCAAATTCATGTTCTCTCAGGACCCATTCCAAGATATTTGTGTGAGTATCTTTTTTTCATGATTGGACTATCGACATATGGGTATTCTTGTTGGAGCAGATACACCAACTTTATTGACAATGATGAGCAGTACAAGTTTCCTTCTTTGGAGTCAATAAATAAATGTTTATGAACACAAAGACATCAAAATGTTGGTAAGAATTTCCATCAAGATTATTCAGAATTTTTGATGTTTAAACACTTACATGACTAACAAGCAAACTCTTTAAATGGAGAAACTTTCTCAAGTCCGATAGATGTCTGTTCCTCAAGCACTAGATAACGCCCAGATTTTCAAACATGGATTCAAAAATTAACAACCTCCCTTACAAAAGTGCTTGCGTTTCTACAGATGTCATTACCAGGAAGGCATGGCACTAATGGCTGGCACAGATTGACGCCAAAGTCAGCAAGCAAAATTAGCACTTACAATCTGTCCGAATCGAAAAAACCCAGAAATTGAAGCAAAGAAGTCGGCTTGACAAACAGCTTGCACAGCTATCTCTTTGGTGCCACACATTGTGCGTTGACAGGGCTTTACCTTAATGGGTAATATGTTCAACATGAAAAACTATTGCAATCATTCTATAAGTTTTGCGAATAATCCTATTTCTCCTTTTTAAATTTGTGATAATTTTTTTTAATGATACTTTTGAAAAACGAAAAAACTTACATACCTTCAATATGTTCGTTTATTATTATGTTCACAAGCTTGTCTTGCTCTGCAATTTGAAGTTTCATAAACTGCTCTCCCCATAAATCCCTGACTGGTTTTCCCTTAAAGTATTTCATGGCATAGCAGCTGTGGTTTTCGTCAATCTCTTTCATTCCTTTTTTTGTTGGTCTCACATCGATTTTTGCCTGCTCAAAAAAGGTTTCTCGCACGCAGCTTTTGACTAGTGGCTCTTTGGCAATCTGCATGGCTAGCATATATTTGGCTGCTAGCACTACATCTTCAGGAGACGTGAACCGACTGAAAAAGAAGGTGGAAACGTTTCAGCAAAGTACCAAGTAAAAAAAAGACAAAAACAGACTGAAAAAGTCACACATTATGAAGCATCAACAAAGTTTAATTACTTTATTAATTATTTTCCGCAAAGTTATTAAAGGGAATGTATTGATTGGGACCTTGTCCTACACATGGAAAATCTGCTTTTTAAGTCTAAGAATGGAGCTTGGAAATTTTATTGGGTCTATCAGCCATACCTAAGCTAGCTTGTTTAGTAAATCTTTCTTATTATAAGTAGAGAGGGGACAGTTTTAATTTTGCAATTAAGGCTGCTAAATTGCTGAATTAGGGTAAAAAGGCCCATAGACTTGAAAATCTTGTGACTTAGAGCTTTAAAATTCATTTTAATTTTGCTTCTAGGTGAAAATGATCAGGCCTACTGGAGGGTACGAGTTCTGATCATTTGTAACAATTTAATTGGTTCTGACAAGGGAAATCCAGGCAACCAGCTTCCATAGGAATGTACTGTATCCACAGAATCTCTTGTTCCATTCAGCTTCATATTGTCAATTTTATGTCGACTATCAACTTTTAGATAATCTCTATTGTCATTTAAAGCTTTTCTGGATTCAGCCACCCCTACAATAGGTGTCACTTCAACTTTATTTCTACGTGCAAGATATTCCAAAAATACTATTTAAATTCGAATGATATGAACTTTGATAATTTTCCAACACTTTTTGCACACTTGCTCTCTAAAAGGTACATAATGAACCACAGGACATAAATAATTAGTTGAACACAAAACATTGGACCTACCTCATGGTGTCTAGTTTTCTTGGCAAAGCTCATTCCCTGATTTTCCCTGATTTTTTGGAGCCCATTCCCTGATTTTTCCTGATTTTCAGGAGCTCATTCCCTGATGAGAAACCAAAGTTTTCTCCCATTTTCCCAGGATTTTCTTGGGGGAAAAAATATAATTTTCCAGAGTTTCAAATATGAATATCGATTTTAATTAATCTTACAGTCATTTTTTTGGCGCACATTCAAAATTTTAATTCAAAGAAGTTCTTGATGTTGATATTATCTGGTCGATGGAAGCTTCTACATTATTTTGATAATTTGAAGCTTTAAATGCGGCACTCAAGAAGTTAAAGTAGCGGCTCGGGTGCAATAACATTGCGCGATAATTGCCGAAGGCTGACGGACGTAGCCGAATAGCGCTCGGTCAGATTAGACCGCCAAATTTGAGAATGAAATGATCCTTCGGTGGTTGGAGAAGAGATTCCTGGTTTCTGGAACAAATTACCTGATTTTCCCGGTAAATTTTCATTCCCTGATGAATCCCAGTTTTTAAAAAACTAGACACCATGACCTACCTAGAAGTGTATTCTTTTGCTAGCACCAAAGGTCCAACAGGCTCTTGTTTGACTTCATTCCGTTGATACTTATCTCGCAGGTTCTCAGCGAACTGTTCTGGCAATAATCCAAACCTTTTCACGAAACCACCTGAAAATTGAAAAGAAAAAGTTTCATGTATAGTGACAACTTTAGTAAGGTTTTCACTATGTGTGCTTAAATTGGCTGAGGAAAAATCAGCTCTTTCTCAGTAGTTTCCCAATACATTCAGCATCTCCTCAACAGAAAAATTCATTACTTGTTCAGTACCATCATGTGACAAAATTCATCCGCCAAACGCGAAAAAAATGACACAAGTGGCTGCACTATCCTGATCTGACAGGCAAATACCGCACTATGAGAATTAATATGCAAGGGATCGCAGACTTCCCAGGCTGTCTTAAAAGATTTGCATGGCCTCAAGCAAAAACTTCTGGACCTTTTTGCAGGATTTCCATACTTTTTCAGTCCCTCCGGACCACCCTCAAAAAATCAGTGCTATTTTCGAACTATTGAGACCAGTAAACACCCTGGGTTTTCCTATTCATTCTGGTTCTTCTTCATATATTATTTCAATAAAAAACAAATAAACAATACCAAGCTCCTTTAAAATGGATAGTGAATAGGAATGTAAATACAGTGGAAACTTGATTAATCAGCTTATCGATAAGTCGGAAATTCAGATTTTTTCACTGGTCCCGTCAATTTCTCTGTATCAACAGTGTACTGCGTTTCGAGGTAAATTGAAATCTCCATTTTGGTCTGAGTAGGAGATTTGGCACGGTTTTATCATTCAGTTTTTTGATGCTTTGAGTCAAACAAAAATGCAAACAACATTTAACAAACATGAGACAGTCTGACTTTTTTTTACAAATAAAAAAAAGTTTGGCTTTAGCTCACCAGAATTTCAGTTGGCAATTTGGGCTTCTGCCGCCAAGAGAGCCTTTAGCTCAGAAAAGAGTGCTTTGAATACAGTCTGATTATTACCCTAGCGATATGCTTCAGTCATTGCATCTAGGTATGCTTGGGAGGAAATTTCACCAATTTGAGGTTTGAGCCAACAGAATCCAGTATGCAATGGCACATAGTGTCTAGCCAATTGAAGACATAAGCAATTTGCGATCCATAAGATTAAATGAGTTGCCAAACGCAAGGTCCATCCCACCTAGCAAGTCATGGTAATCCTGCTGCCTAACCTTGAGCCGCACAGTTTGCTCTTGAGCAAAACTTTGCTGTGATGGATTGATTACCTTTGGTGCTAATACTGATCTCCAAGCAATGAATATTTCAATAGTTGGCACAGTCTAGATTGATCTTTGGGTCCGGCTGATGACGAGCGCGCACATGCCATGCCATTGCACGCCAAAATCTGCGTGTTCAGATCTTTACTCGTTAAAGTCTGAGAGCACAAAATCTGGCACACAATGGCTCGGCTTGAAACAGAAATTAGCCAGAAGATGACGTAACTTCATTCAAGTCGGAATAATCCACCCATTCTGACTTGGTTCGATTTATCGAGATTTTACTCTAACATGAATAGGACTGAACTAACCAATTCCAGCTTTGCGACAAAGACTATAAGGACTTCGCCGAACAGCTGGTTTGACCACCTCTGGTTCCTCATCTTTTTCTTCTGATTGGGTTTCTGGCTCTGCTTCATCATCAGTTACCTCAACCTCTACTTCGTTTCCATCATCATCCATCACCATCTTCTTCTTTTTTGGTCTATCTTGCTGTTTTTGCTTTGCAGCCTCTTTCTTCTTCTGTCTTTCTTTTTCTAGCATTAGGGGAATTATATTTGAGTAATGTAGCAAGAAATGTGAGTGTACATCCTTCAATTCCTCTGTGGTTTGAACTGCTTTCAGCCGATCTACGTCCTCATCTGAGATCAGCCGTACATTCTCTGGAATAGGGGCATCGAGGCTTCCTTTCATTAATTCTTGCGACTGAAATTCTTGCATATTCTCAAAATGTTTCTGCAGAGCACTTTTTCGAGCCTTCAGTTGACACCACTTAGCATCGAACTTGTATACTCGCCACAAGTCATTTATCGTCAGTTCTGGTTGCACATGTTCTTTCCGGTAGAAGGCAATAAAGGGGACTTCAAAGTGCTGATTTCTAATAAAATCAAGAGCTTTCTTGATCTTTCCGATTGTCTGTGGCCCTTTTCTGGATTTGTATCGCGGATCAACTCCACCAGGGCTCTCCTGCAAAGTTAAAATTGAAGTAAAGCTAAGATTCAATTCAAGGACAAAATTTATGCAAACTTTCATTATTTAAAAATAAATGTATTTACAAGTTAAGCCCTTTCTGCTTGTTGCAAGTGGGAGCTGAAAATGACATGAAAGTGGGGTCATCGGTGCAGTGTTGAGTGTTGATGCTCGAACTCACTCTCAAGCGTGTTTACACAGAGTTTTGCAGGATAAATCGATCGATCTGACCAATGAACAAGCTCCGTTTTGTTTACATGTTTACTTCGATCAAAACACCGGGTGCAAGGAGTGATAAGAGTTTTCTTGATAATTATTAAATAGTGATTTTTTTTCGTGGAAATGGATGAATTTGTGCCAATGATGTTCCTCTTCTTGCTCCTTGCTGCTCTGCTTCTGGCTCAGTGGGAGCCAAAAGTGCATTTTGGTACGACATCTGAGAAGAGATGCAGGGTTTGGGATTCAAGGTACTGCGGCTGTTGGTCGCATAACAATTTGACAGGCCTTACCATTGACAGAATTGGCAGCAGGCCGCAAAATTCGGATTATTTGCAATCTGGGTACGAGGATTTTATCCATGGCAAAAATTGTACACTAGTCACAAACTATTTACAAATTCTCTTTTACACGACACACTCCCGCGTATTTACTCTATGTGGCTATAAATGGGGATGTGATTGCTGTTGATCCCCGAAGTCACAGGTGATCAACAATCAACTTTCAGTTCATTTTCAGCTCCCACTTGTGACATTAAGAAAGGGCTTTAGTGCCATGCTAAGCTAGTGGACTCAACAACAAGGTGTTCTTATGTTGTGTTCTCAAGAGACTGACTCCGGCAAACTGATGTCAGTTGACAAACATTTTTTCATCTCAAGTTTCAGAGTTCATTTCGTGACAAAGTTTGCTCCTTTTATCATGAATGTTTTCTTTGAGCTATACTCTCTCACCAATGGTTGCTGAAAAGGTTGCAGATTTGTTATGGAAACGTTGCCACAATGTGGTTTTTGGCTTCATTCATAAGAAACGTTGTAGCCACATTTCTGCAACCTGGCAAATATTGCCATTGCCTGCAAATAGGATTATGTATAAATACGTTGGTAGGAAACATATTCAATGCTTACCAAAGAGAATTTGTCTGGCTCTCAGCTGAGGCTATTTTTGATACTGAAAGGAAGTTTAAGCAATCTACACACAAGCTCTAAGGGGATGTAATTTTACTGTAGATCAGAATAATTGGATGAAAAAATAAATTCTATGTCCTGATTAATAAAGAGTAATGAGATTCACTTGCAAACACTCCTAGTGAAAAAAAAACTTTTGAAGGAGAGCGAGTGTTACCTGCGTAGATATTGTTGGTTTACAGAATGCTTGTTTGTAGATCCATTCCGCCTCATGATCCAGCTCATCAGAGCCCTCCCACACAGAGAAGATAGGAAACTCACGTAGTTGCATTCTTTCAGGAATATCTGTGTTTCCGACCTCATTATCAAAGTCGGTGAAATGCCCTCGTTTCAGCTCAATTGGCTCATACAACTCAAAGATGGACTTGCGCGTCGCTTTGCGAGCTGTTTTCTTGCGTGTTTTTCGAGGTCTGTCCACATCCTCACCAGCCTCTTCATCTATATACTCATCATCTTCCTCCTCCTCTTCCTCTTCTTCTTCATCGTATTCATCGCCATATCTGTCAAACTCGTCGAAGTCGAAATCCACCCCGAATATGTCTTGGGCTTCTTGGAGGGCAGCATCTGCAAGAATTGGCTTCTTCTTTTGACAACTGGCTATTGGGCGACCTTCATCTTCCACGATGAAATCATCTGCATCTGAGTAGTCTCCTTCACCATCTTCATCTTCCCCTCGTTCTGATCCACGTTCTTCTTCCTGTAGAGGACAATTCATTAGTTGTGTCCTTACAAATAAAATATATCAATAAAGAGAAATTAGTCTCCAAACCTTGTGGGGGGGGGGGGCTCTAGACCTTTCCAAAAAATTTGTGGGGGTGCGAACATTTTTAAGATTTGTTGCTGGAAAATCAGAATCTTAGAAATGAATGGCAAGCTGTGATGTTATTCTTAATTGGTCCCTGTTAATGAAAAAATCAACATGAGATACTATAATATTGAAAGTTGGGAGGTTCAATAAAAACTTTCCGTCCAGCTGTGGAAAAATGGCACGGTAAGTATGACAATGTTTGTCATTGGTTTTTAGATTGTTGTTCAAGGTAAAATTCATGGCTGACCTGGGAACAAATTCTGTTCATTGATATACGATGGCAGTGATTGATCTAGTAAATTTTTTTTTAAAAAACTCATTCAATGGAGCATCATCATAGAATAAAATTTTGAGCACGCATCGCAAGAAAATAATTTGTGTGGGTTCTGATACCAAGTATACTGCAGAAACCTTTTATCAACACAGTTGCTCGATCCAAAGAAGTTGGAGCTGGCGTCAAGCAAGTTGATACTTATTTATTTTGACAATGTTATGACTTCACCAGGCGCCACACTCCAAGTACACCTATAGATGAGGCTTTGTTGCCTAAAAGCTTGGAGTTTTAGCCGAATAAGTTTATAAAAAGTCAAATGTAACCTGCTGCAAATTCTTGAAGCAGCAATAGTGCACCATGCCCATAAACACAAAAAATCATTTTGGACCTTAAAAAAATTGTTGACTGCTCCTATAATTTTACGGTGAAGTTGGAACACTGCTTTTAAACAGGTGTGTATAATTGACCATATTACACATTCTAGATTATGCAGTATCAAATTTGGTATTGACAAAGCAAGTCTCTCCCACCTTCATTACATCTTTTAAAAATAAATAAAAATTGAGTTGCTATCAGAGTATAATTCATAAACAGTATTCCACGCCTAAATGAAATAAAATAAAACTGCATTAAGTGCACGAATTAATATCTCAATGAACTTAATCAATATAGTAATGAATTTTAGTGGTATATGATAGTCTGATGGTTACACAAAGGTGGCGGTGGCCTTTGATGCGACGGTTGCCATTAACCAAAATAAGTGGGAGACTGCAAATTCACTTGACACCAGCTCTACTTGAGAAAAGCCTTAAGTGCAGAAAGAGCGCTTTTCAGTCCCAGCAGAGTCTTAGAATTTCTGCTAACACTTCATTCATTAAGATTAAAGCAACTGTATGTAATTCATTGAAATTTATATTGAATATTCTTTCTTATTTTACAATGCTCTAGCCCAAAAATTTCAGAAAATTCACCGAACGGTTCACTCTCTAAAATGTAAATTAACAGTAAAGATTCTGAAACTCTGCAACCAAGAAGTTCCTTTTGTGCACCCAACGCCGCAATTGCACACAAGAATAAGCCAACTCTTCAAAAGCACATTAATTTTTTAGAGCCAATTTGTTTGGATTTAGTCTCACAAAATTTGACTGCTCTTGGGAAAAGGAGCTTTAGTTCACAATAAATCAAAATTGAGTTGTCAGTAGCGGAGCATAGAGGAGTGGTTTAAGAAAATTTTGGGACAAAAAACGCCAAAAATGGACAAATCAAACCTGAGTTATATTCGTTTGAAGTTTGCAATTCTAGAGCACAGTCTTGATAAACTGTTATTTAAAATCGGATTCTGTCATAAACAGGGCAAAAAATCACGAGAGTATAAAGCAGCTTCACACTGTGAATTGATACAAAAAATGAAATAAAATGCTCGTAACTAATTCCTCGAGACACCGGAGCATTTTCCGTCCAAACCTCAAAATCTGGGCACAAATATGGATAGCTATGGTTCACTGCAAGTTCCGAAACCTAACCTCTAGATTCACTAAGATTCCTAGATCCGCTAGATTCCTAACCTGTGGTAAGAAATGACATGTACTGTTTTTGTTCAGATTAACTGAATTTGACCGTGATACTAAAAACAAGAGACTTTCTTTGAGAACCTTAGCACTTAATCCCTTTCGAAATATGTCGGAAATCTTAAGAACTTTTTCCTAAACTTTATTCATACTATTTATCCAATCTCAGTGCTTAAAGCACAAATTGCACACAGCCAAGAGCCTGCAAGTATCCTTTTATACTCTGTAAAACAACAGAGGCAAGAGCAAAATGAAGCTCCAAGTATCATACCCATTCTGAGTTGTAGAGGTCTTCACCATCCTTTTCTTCATCTCCTTGGCCTTTTTCATCTCCTGACTCGTCATCCTCTATTTGACGCAATCTCTTGAAACGATTGAAACGTTTCTGGAAAACGATAAATTAAGCTTACAGAAGAAAAATAAAACCTTAACCTCATACTGTCAAAGCTGGTTTTGCACAATACAAGATTAATTCTCAGCGATATTCCTTTCTGTGTCTAGGATGTAAAATAGTTTACAGCTGTTGCCTTATTGAAAAGGATCAAAATTTTTCATTGTACACAGGTGTGCAGATGGTTCTTTGCCTATACATTCCTTGAGGTTGCCCTCACATTGCTGTCCTCATAAAACTTGCACGTTTCACTATTTCCTACACAGTTTCCTTCACAGAAAGCTATGAGCTTAGCAGGTTTATACATTATTTTTTTTTACTACTTCAAGTAACCCACAAGGGCTAATCCTGCGCATCAACCCCGTCCCCCGTTTGCCCCTAGCAACTGGTCCCAGGCAACCATTGTTTGAGATCATCAAACTCGGGTCGCCTGGCCGGGAATCAAACCCGGGACCTCCCGATCATAGAGCTGGCGCTATAACCGCTACACCATGGGAGGCCGACAATATGCCTTCTGCCCTCACCTTTTTCCCCCTTCTCCAGATCCCTTCACATTTTTTAACCCCTTTTCAGATGCTTTCACATTTGCTCCTTGATCAGTCTGCATTGTGTCATCTCTATCGAGCATTTTTGGCACCCCTGATTGTACAAGTGAGTTCCTGAGATTTCTCTTAAGTTTGCTTCAAGTAGTTTGGATTACAAGACACCAAACTTTAAAAACCTATTGATTCAAAAATGGTTTCATATTTTTTGCAACTTAGTAGATAACTTGGCTTTAATTTCAGATATACATATGTTCATTACATTCTGGAGGGAATTTTGTGATTTTTAGATTAGCTTTTTTTTTAATAAATTATTTAATTTTTCTCCTTCTTTTACTTACCATTGAAGATTACACACAGTGGAATCAGTAAGTACTTAAGCAGAAGATTATTCCTGATTGCATAAGTCTGTTACCAAGTAATAACATTCACAAAAACTCACCTTCCTGGATATTCTGTGTCCAAGATTTTCTTCCAGTAGATCATAGTCTTCATCTTCCAAACGGTCATCATAGTCATCTTCTTGATCTGACCTCTTACGCTTTTTCAATCCAGATCCATCTGATTCTTCACCATTACTCTCACAAAGCCTTTCCTCTGCCTCCGAATCAATGAAATCAGCCATATCTAGAAAAAAAATAGAACATTTTAGAGTGAGCAATCACCAGAATTAAATAATTTGGCTACTTAAAAATTAACGATTAGAGTTCCACGGTCATAAATTGCAACTGAGACAAGGAGCAATTAAATGTCTCTTCCTACATAATCCCAATTCTAAAATGCAGGCTGTGAAGTAAGAAACTCAATTTTTTATAAACTGAGATTCAACTTAGTTTATTACTGCAGCAGAAAACTTTTTTTTTTTTTTTTTTTTTTTTTTTTAGAAAAAAAAATCCATGTTAGCTATGATTTCAGAGTTTCTTAGCTGTAACATTGATTTTGACATCAGACATTGGATCATTAGAGTTTATAGTGCAACTAAAGCATACTCCTGCCGTAAACATTGGCTAACTCCAAGTGAGACATTCAGCAGGCCTTTGGCTATTTGTTCAGCATGTACTTTAAAAAAGGATGCTGTAGGATAAGCAAAGAATGCTTAATCTCACAAGCTGAAAATTACAGCAAACAAAAGGTAAGGAAATCATGAGTTGTGAAGCAATTTTCAAACTGATGACCAATTTTTCTCATAATTGTAAAAAAAAGTGGGAAGGATTGAACATAAGGCTGAGAGATTGTGCATTTAGTAATGCAGGGTGCACATAGTTTTTTGCCTTCACATATTTTAAGGCTACCTTCAAATTGCAGACCATTTCAGACTGGGCACTTCACTATTCTCTTTGTATAAGACATGAAGTTCACAATTTCCTTTCATAAAGCTATTGCACTTCGCAGTTTTCCTCTGAGATAATAATGCGTTTGTTAGTTTCATTCACAAAAAGTAGCGCTGCCCTCATATTATTTACCCCTTTCCAGATGCAATTGCATTTAATGTGATGACCTGTAGCCTTAGAAAAAGGTAAGAGAAAGCCATTCTTACTTCCTTCGATGTATAGCAGAAAACGTGGCAAATTAAGTGAAATTATGCTAGAGGATTATGGTGACGCAACTTCAAATTAACATCATCCTATTTCCACCGGTAAGGCACACTGAGACAGGAGACATCAGAATTGATAGGGAATTGATTGGGTTCCAAAATGCTCTGTTGGGTCATTGTCTGTCTCAGTTCCCGGGTACATGTTCAAGAACTGGAATGGTCAGAGGTTTGGAACTGCAAAAGCCATACGAGTAAAAAATGACCTTCACTAGATAGAACTATAACATTCATGAAACCTTGGGCCGCTTGTTATCAGCCTTGTAGCCAGACTGACCTAGGGAGAAGATGCCTCCATGCCGATTTCCGATCCAAGTCTGACCGTTTTCGTGCACCCTTCAAGGTGGGGAGAACAAAAGCTATTGAAAGTTGAGAACACTGAGGGTGAAAAACATTATCAAAAATAGAAGCTGAGAGCAGAGGCTACAAGTTTATACTGAAAAAAAACACAATTTTCTTACCCCAAGCTGGACATTGCCGGTGTAGCCTTCCTTACTATTCTGATTCTATCAGAGTCAGATAAGTCAGATAAGTCAGATCAGAAGAGGAAGAGCACATGTCATTCAGATTCAGAACATAAACAAAAATGGACGATGAAAACAAACCGCCACGATTACCTATTCGGGAACACTAAAATTCTCGTTCCTGATAAATAGCGAATGCGGGCGGGGATTTTTCTACAAAGGCTCAGAAGTTTGGAAATATGCATGATATTCTATATCATTTAAAAGTAGCTTTTTTTTTAAAAAAAAATTGCCTAATTTTTAATGGTCCTAATTTTGCTTGCCTTCTAAAGGAAAGTATATTTGAATTCAATTTTGGCAAAAAATTTTGATCTCTACGAATGGGAATTCCATTTTTTATTGCTAGCACACCTGCTATGTCGGCCATTGCTGTAATTTCCTGAAAGCTCGGTGGCGTGTTCCCGAAATTCCGCTTTCAGTCAAAGTTTTACCACCATGGCTGAGCCGGACATGGATAATAAAGCCGTCAAAGAAGTTTCCGACTACGTTTCTAGACGGGTAAGTCTCGATCAGCCATTCTGTATCTTTCAATCTTATTAACCGAGCGATTCTTATTGTTGTTCCTCACCGCGCTGCCACTCGCACACGTGTATTAACATAGGCCACCACGGGAGGTTTCGGCCGACGTGCACGCTTTCAACATCCCTTACGTGGTTATTCATATAAATCTCGGAAAGTTCGACTTGTAAAAGCACCCTTGCGTTAGATTCAGGTGTTCTGCAATCCTCCCATACTGCTACTTCACCATGTTTCCCAGCTCACCGACAGCTGCAAATTCGCAGAAGGCTCAATAGCCTGCCATGTTGAGCGATGAAAGCAACTGCGACCATTCCATATCGGATGCACACTTTTCAATTCTATGCCCCAGCTTTAATAAATCCAAATTTTTTACCTTGGCCCGAACATTCTATGTTGAAACTGCGCTGTACTACGTCTATTACGCGCAGCGTACGCGTCATCAGTGTTTACATCCTAGAGGATCCAGTTCAAAATATCATGCTGTTTTTTAATTGTACCCTCAACATTTCTTGTGCATTTTTTGTTGCAGAAACTAGTCATCGATGGAGAGGGACACCTCAAAGGACGCTTGGCCTCAGTTGTGGCCAAAGCTCTTCTTCTAGGTCGAGTGGTTGTTGTTTACAACTGTGACAAAATCTGTATCACAGGAAAGTTTAAGAGGTAAAATGCATCTTTAGATCAACCAAAGTAACTCATAAGATAGAACTGGGGAAAGAAAAGAAGAGATAAATGTCACATTCAAAAATTGCACCGTTCAACAGATATGTACATGCTAACCATACTTAGACGCTATTGGTGGCGACGTCATCTTAGGGATTCTCCATTATATCGAATTGGATCCAAACAATATCATTGGCATAACCTCTTTCAATGCTACCAATGCGGAAAAATCGATAGATATCGCTTTTCTGTGACGTTGCACTAATAGCGTCTATTGGGCCAATAGATGATTGATGCATCCATACTGATGTGACCTTTGTCTCTTCTTTTCTTTCCCCAGTTCTAGCGTCATACTAGAAAAATGCCACAGCACCTCATTTTCATGGCGCACCAACTATTTAATTAGAAAAAATTATAGACGCTCACCCTAAATCTGCTTTTAAGCACGATTCTTCAACACTTTTCTGTAGTAGCCTCTACCAGCAGTTGCTATTGAATCAAACTTTCTTATTTCTCAACCTGTGGTACTTCTGAAATCGGAGACCATCCACCATGACCAACCCACACAAGTCAGTTATCACTGTTGACAATTTTCAAGATTCCTCTCCTCAGCAATATGCATCATCTATTCGCAGTGCTTTTCTCATGAGATCAGAATCTCAGAATGAGCCTATCTTTTGGTCTTACCTGCTTTGTTTTAAAGTGTAGGGGAAGATGTGTTGTGACCGACTTGCATGGATTGGTCAGACTATCAAACTATTTTACAACCATCCCGATCCACAGACAATTCAATCCATTGCGTTCTGCAAAGTGAGAATAACAGCCCTCATGTCTTACTTTCACCGAGGTGAAGGAAACTTTCTATTTGTTATACATTCATAACACTTTCATCATTGCCTTTCACGTCGATGAAAGGAAATATGTACATTGTTTTATAGTAATGCAAAGAAAATCTCTCTGTCTCCTTGAAACATTTTTAGGTCAATTATCAGAAAATTATTTCAATTGCAGGTTATCGTTAAATTGTCATCACACTTGTAAAGGTAAAATAATCCTTTAGTGTTTATTTAGAATTCACATTATTCCAGACTCTTCATATTTTCTCTTGTCATTTTGTAGGAGTAAACTGAAATGGTTCAAATTTTGGGGTCAGAGGTGTAATGTCAACCCAGCCAGAGGTCCATTCCACTACAGAGCTCCAAAAGCTATTTTCTACCGATGCGTCAGAGGTAATGAAGTCTCTATTTTTGGAAAATCTATTCTCAAAGTCTTCTATTACACCCAAAATTCTGTCAAACAGACAATCGCTTATGTTTGCTCTCATTGGTGAAACTAAGTTTAAAGTGAGAAGTGCATCAAGTATATTGCCAAATGTATCACCTCTCTAGCTACCATACCGTTGTCTCTAAAAGTCTATCACTTAAGTCGCAGAATGACCCTTTACCATTACACTACATAAGGACCCCACGCACTCCTTATGGAAATGTGTACCCTGTTCGATTTCCAATTTTTTTACTGCATTGAATTCGTCAATGGATGCTGATTCAGAGTTCTTATTGGGCCAACTTTCTAGAAGGCACCGTTTTCACACAATCCGTTGTTGAAGTGTCATTCATTCCTTTAATGAAAGATGGTAGTCCGACAACCAAGGGTCAAAGAGATGCCTCTTTTCAGCATTTGAGTACAAGTTGGGAGTGTAAATAAGGTAAGCCAAAAAACTACAGCGCATTTCGGTACATCATGATCAGCAGCCATTATACGGTCAAATGACAGTAGTATGGCGGATTCCGCATGCCTTTTCTTTTCAGCAGCCAAATCAGTTTCTCTCCCTCTCTCCCTCTCATCCTCACCAGACGGACAAGCACTGCGTTTTTCCTTGATTACAGCTGGCCTGTCCTGGAAATTATGGAAACTTCAATTGCGGATTGTGCAAAACGGTGGCTTGTAGGAAGTTGATGCTGTGATGACCTTTAAGCAGCATCCATTGACAAGTTTAATGCAATTCAAAACTTGAAATTGTCCAGGGCACACATTCCCCTTAGGAGTGTGCAGGGTCCTTAAATCCTGAATGTATCAAGTAATTTCCTAGTGTATTTTCACTACTGTATTCTCCCCTGATTTCAAACCAGATTGAACTGGGGGAAAAAATGAAGAGACAAATGTCACATTAGGGAGCAGCACCATTCAACATGAAGGACCCCGCACACTTCATATGGGAAAGTGCACCACGATCGATTTTTATTAATTTTTTTATTGCATTCAATTCATCTCAAGATGCTGATCAAAAGTCATCATTGCGCCAACTTTCTACGATGTACCGTTTTCGCATAATACGCCCAGAACGCTTCAATTATTTAGTGATAAAGAGTCGGAAAGATTCCTCATTTCAGCACTCGAGTGACCAGTCGGCTGTGTGTCAACAAGGAAATCAGGGGAACTCCAGCACTGAGCGGCAGTCTTATCTTGGATTCTGCACGCCTTTTTGCTTGATCATCCAAATCATATTTGCGAGGAGCTTAAAAACAGGAAAGTCAGAGAACAGAAGTGAACGTCAAACGGGGGAGAGCGGGAGGGAGATAGCCTCAAAGTAGGCAGGAATATGTAAGAAGACAGACAGACACTCGCTACGGTTTTCCTTAATCACATCAGACCTGTCCTTGAATGCCTTGTTCTTTTTGACTCATCGCCGAATAATTGAAGCATTCCGGGCTTATTTTGTGAAAATGGTGCATCATAGAAAGTTTGCGCAATGATGACGTTTGATCAGCATCTTTAAATGAATTAAATGCAATAAAAAAATTAAAAATCGATCGTCGTGCGCTTTCCTATAAGGAGTGTGAGGGGTTCTTTATGTGGTAACTAATTGGCCAACTGATGATTGATGCATTCAGGTTGATGTGACATTTGTCTCTTTTTTTTCTTTCCCCAGTTCTATATCTTGTTAACTTCAATCATATCCTCAGTGCCAAGCTATGCTTAGCATGTTTGCTTGTAGCGAACTTGTATCTTAGGCCGCATTAGGGCCTTTTTACTGAAATTTCAACAAAACGGAATCATCATTGCTGCTACACCTGAGTTATCCTTGCTGAAATGTTTATTAGTTGCATTTGTTTGATGGCATAATCCTTTTATTTTTTCTAGGTATGGTGCCACGTAAAACGCTGCGTGGACGTAAAGCCATCCGAAACCTGAAAGTTTATGAAGGTATTCCACCTAAGTATGCCAAGACCACATCTTTGGTTGTTCCCTGTGCTATGAGGGTACTTAATTGCAGACCTGACTACAAATGGCACACAATTGGAAAACTTTCCTCTGATGTTGGTTGGAAGTATGGTCCTGTCATCAACAAGTTGAATAGGAAACGCGAAGAGAAGGAGAGAATTGCTCTTAAGAAGAAACTGAAGATTAAGGTAAGTTTGAAAATTCTTTTTAAATAGAAGCCTGAGAAAGCTTTTGCCATATGAGGAGATAGTACGCACTACTAAACCCCAATTCAATGGTTTTGAAGAGAGGCTTAATCAATCTCCTAATCTTCCCAAGCCATTCTGTAGATTTTGACGGAAATACACTTATCCAAATCCATTAATCAAAAAGAAAACACCAAGAAATTTCTGCTTCCATGCTTAACAGTTTCAGTCAATCTAGACTTAGGTTTTATGTTATAAGGGAAGCATATTCAAAGTTGTTGGTTAGAATTACTTCCCTGTTCTATCTGAGCATGCATGATGATCATTTTACCCTTACCTATTCTGAAAATTCATGATGAGGTACAAATGCTGATATGCTCTGAATGAAAAACTCTATCAGGGAAACTTTCCTTCGCCTATCAACCGTTTTCTTTTTGACAATCGGGATTTTGTAATCTGTTCGCTTTAACATACAGATTCAATTTATGCCGTTTTGTGAATGGTTACAGATGGTAACCTCAAATCTCAGCTGAAAATTTTCTTGTTTTTAAAATCCTCCTAACCATAACAAGGTACCTAGGGGGCTGCTACTTGAAAAGAGAAAGTCAGGATCTGTGTTTCCTTTCAAAGGCTATTGCATGTTAGGGGGGCTCATAAAATAAAAAACTCCTTTTGAAGTAAAAACTACCTCAAAGTTTCAACTCCATAGCCTCATTTGAAGAAGTTATCAGGACCGTGCGAAGCTTTTTAGTATCTTTACCGCTACCATTTTGGACAATTGAATCGTTCAGTTCAAAAATACGCCATCTCCCTTTTCTGATCAAGCTGGTCTACTCTAATCTCCATTCCTCCACAGGAAAATTTGTCTGAATCGCTCAAAATGCTAGGGGTGCAAAAAAATTTAGACTAGCTGTCACTTGGTCGCAAATAGAGGATTCTTCCTGAGGGCAGAAAAATCTATTGGATTTTTTTGAAATTTTGTTTTTACAGCTTTAATTTTTTAAGGAAGATGAAGAGATTCGGGGGAAGAGAGGTTTTCCCTCCTTTTTTTCTATTTTCTTTCATTATGTCTAGAGGGAACTGTTTCCCCCCCCCCCTTTTTTTTTTTCTAGTTTCTTTCTTAGTGTCCAGGGGGAACTGATTATGAATTTTGAATACCTATTGACTGCGGGGAAAGGCCAAGGACTTTCTGCGCTCCTTCTAATAGCATCCTTGCTGTTGGAATTGGAGACGGCAAATGAGAAGCATCTAAAAAAATAAAAGAGGAAAAAAGAAACCTTTGTTTTTGAAGTGAATGATTCAATTCAAAATGAGATGTTGTAGTGGATTTTATGGTAAATTTATTTAATTTTCAATATAAAAGAATTTCATTAATACATTCAAAATGAATCCATTGGCAGGTATGCATCAGGGTATTTCAAAATAGAAAAACAACTGTTTCTGTGGTAAGATCGGAAAATTACTCTTCCTGTACTGAATTTAAATTCCCCAACAAATTTCCTGTCAGCAACCAGTAAATTGCTTACCCCCAGAATCAGTTAGAAAATAATTAGCTAATAGCAGATGAAGATAGGAACATGCTTTCTCAGTACGGGAGAAACTTTTTATTTAGTCAATAGTGATTTCTTTCGTTAATTTTGTTTAGCCTAACTTTTTCTCTATTTCTTTGCAGCAACTCAAGTACATTTCCCGCGTCCAGACACGTCGCGATACTTCCAAATTGGAGAAAAAGATCCGCAAAACAATTAATCAAGCACACTTCAAAACTTTTGACCAAGGCTACACACTGAAACCAGCCGCTAAGCCCAAACCCAAGAAGACAAAAGCATCGAAAGCTGCTCCAAAAATAGCAGCAAAATAGAGCTCTGACTTTGTTATCTATCTTTAAGTTTTATAACTTTGATCCATAAAATTTTGTAAATTATTTCAATAATTGTTTTATTTTTCTTCTCCTTTGAATCTGGGGTCCTCTTTCAATTCATGGAAGTACGTAATAACCTCATTCCAAAAAGACAAAGACTCCGACTTAAATGCATGAAGCCAGATCTCTTGGGCCAGACCCTTTGCAATCCTAGGGAGGAAGGGTACTTTTCAGTCATGGTGTTTCAGAATCTACTAAGAAAGCGGCTGCCACCTTAAATTTTATGGAGGAAACTAATGGACCATTTTCTGGAATTCCTCCATTAGGATAGTGTGGATTGATACAGAATATGTAGCCAGTTAAAGTTTCAATGAGATGCATGCATTTGTTTTTGTTTCGAAGGATCAAATGTTAGTGGACATTCTGTGACAGCTTAGCTGAGAAGTGTCCTTTTCGCACCCAGTGCCTCAATTGGTCTCAACAGAATTAATGTTCGAGAGGAAGATGATTTTGATGTGGTTCTTAATGAAAACAAATGGATTGCATTTTGCAAAATGGAACCAAGAGTATTCCAATGTTGTTAGGATTGTGCAACGTACATTCTTTGCAATAAATTACTGAAATAATGAATGAAATCAAACTTACAAAGATAGTTTTCATCTTGAATTCATAGTTTATTGAGAGTAAACGAGTAAAGATAAAACTTGTGTTGATGATCAGTTTACATTTGCACGGTAAAGAAAGTTGCGGAGTGCTCCTGGTTCTTTTTTGCAAAATGCAATCTAAATATCTGTTTTTTTGAAGGATCTCCGAACAAACAAAAATTGCAATTGAACACCCAATCACTTAAGATCCACAGAAGAAAAGCAGAAAGTGATTGCAAGCTAGCTTGTCCGCTTAAATACATGGTTGATGTATATTCAAAATAATTTTAGTCCAATGCGACAGGTTAAATTTTTACGTACCATTATAACAGATGATGAAGAAAGTAACACCTACTTGGCTGATTTTCGACCTAGTGGCATCAGTGGGTTCAAATCCTTCACTCACAACCAACTTCTTTTCTTTCTCTATAACAAATTCTTTTTTCCTCTGATAAAAAGTGCTTCTAATCTTTCCAAGAAAAAGTAAACACACTGGAGAAGTCTCCCATTTCAAAATATATTGATATGGTTGGGTGGATTTGGTCCTAAAGACATAGCCCCATGTCTACATGCAATATGAATGTTGCATTTCGATGTCTTATTGTGCTACTTGAAGCTCTCAATAATCCGTCTGCAGGGGTTTCCTGTCAAATGTAATAACTGCAATGATCCAGGCTTCTACAGGGTTTTTGCATTCGAAGTTGTCAATGTAAAAGCCCAAATTATCGACAGAGCACAGGGGAGAATTTCATGAGCCGTCCGCAGAGTACATGGCGCACGACCCGCCTTTCATTATTAGGTACACTTTATCTGACGCTGGGAGTTCAGTAATTACTTCACATGACGAGTGTGTAATTTCAAAATTTAAACAAAAAATTTAAAAAAAAAAAAAAAAAGTTAAACGATGTACGAGTTTCTCCGCCAGGGAGCTCTTCCCGCTAGGAATCGTTCACCCCGCCCGCTGCGCCGGGAGTGCCGCGCCGCGGCGGGTGTGCTGCCAGCGCAAAACGCGCACCAAGGCGCACTGACGCCTACAGACCTACGGAGCTACTCCACGCATTGCGTAATGCTGGAAGTATCCCTTCAGGTTTGTAGGCGCCGATGTGCATTTCGAGCTGGCAGCACGCCACGCCGCAGCGCAGCGTGGCGACCACCATAAACCAATAACGAAACTTTCGTGTGATCTCTCAGTCATTATCCGGCTTACTTCTTCCTATTCTTGAGTTTTGGACCATAGGGCAGCGGCTCATGGAATTCTCCCCTGTGCTCAATCGCTGAACAGTGAGCCAAATGCTGAAACTAGAGATAAACTGGGTTAAGGCTAATATTTCTAGCACTGCCTGAATTGTAGGAAAGTGATGTAATTTCCTTAGCAGCAAGTTCTTGAGCTTTGAAACAGTACATCAATTTATTCCATTGGTCAATTTAGAAAATTCGGCTCAGCTTCACCCATGGACCAACTGGAGCTGGAGTCCTTGATTTAATTCCTAGGAATTTAAGGCTCATTAGATGCTTTCATTTTTGTGCTAACAAGGCCTAAGTAAGTTGATATCAACAACTTGGCTGGTTATCCTTTTGGGAGAAAATTTTCCTTCTCTTCTTGCAAGGTCGTGTGCCACGGTTTCCTACGATCTATAAAATTTTGTCATGGAACTTCAGAGCTAATATTTTCCTCAATTTCTGAGATTTTAGGATGAAACTGATGCCAATTTTCTAGATTTTCTTCCTCCATGAATTTGTTGTAAAAAGTTACAGAAAATTTTTTCCTGGAATGGGTACCTTTTGGAGACTTAATGGTTTCCCCAGTTGATACCTAATTCTCCTTCTGGAAACGGAAGAAGCGCAGAGTGTACTGTAACCTGGTAACTTTTACAGCTCATAGAGACTGGGCTCAATCATAAATGCAATTTATGTTTTTCTGCACTTACTGATGAGGCAAAAGAACATATTGCACAAGCAACGAAGGTCTGCTTAAGCTGTATAGGGTTTTTAATCTCAAAATTGAAAGTGACAACAGCAATCCAGGAAAATGTTTTCGATCTCATAATGAGGTCAATTAAGCTCAAAATAATTACTCCTCCATTGAGCCAGGTAATGAGTGCAGAAGAAATTAATATAAAATTTGTATCTAAAAACTTTTAATTGTTAAAAAGTATACAATAAAATCCAGTGGAGCACAAGTGTGCTCCTTGTAAACTTGATAAATTACATAAAATTTTAAAAATTCTATAAATACAAAAAAACTCAATTTTTAGACATTGTTGGACTTGATTCACTTAGAAACTAATCAAATTGATATGTACATGTAACAATTACCTACTTCATTTTTCTAAACTAAAATTAAGTGAGCATTTTATCAGGTCTTAATATCTATCAGTGCTTTCGGTTTCATCAGTCATTAATTGCAAAAGCTGCTCAGGCAAAATGAGGCGTATAACTTGAAAGCATGCATGGTTTCTAGCATGTGAATTGTCTTTCTTCATAAAATTGAAATCTTCATCTGCAGCCTGATTGTTGAAATTCATGTCGGCATGACAAGAATCAAAAATCGATGTATTACACGGCACAGATAGGGCTATGTCTCGTCTTATCGTGCCGGCATGGCTAGTTAAAGTTTCAACAATCCGGCTGCTGACCTGCGATACTATCTTGACTTTGCGAGGATGGGCTTTCTTGAAGGGTTAAAAATGGACTACTGGCTTTACCTGATTCTAAATTTCATTGAAGATTCAGTGAAGATTTCATTAAATATTTAAAAGGATATTCATTTAACAGTGGTTCCAGGTTTCCTCAGGGTTACATTAGTACAGATGAATGGATAAATAGCAACCAAAATATAGGTCAAAATAAAAGACATCTTAGATAGAGGTACACTCGCCCACTTACTGACAGTTTCCTCACCTGTTTCTTTACTAAAATCATTTTTCTTCATGCCTGTTAACCATTGCACAAAGTAGCATTGCTTGTCCAGTACATGTGCTGTAGTTCTAAAGTATTATAATTTTTCCAGATAGACTTCATGGTTCCTACAGCAAAGAATTTTATCTTCCTCTAGATAGAATCATGCATGGTGAAAAGTTTTTTAAATTGCAAAATTCCCTGATTTTTCGCACATGATTTCTCACAAGAATGCTTTTAACCATTTATTTGTTGGGCACAAAATCTCTTAAAATTGTAAAAAACCAAATGTTTTGGCCTGCAGAAAGAACTTCAAGGTTTCTCAGCGAAATTCACTGATTTTTTCAGGGTTGAGCGAAATTCCCTGACTCTTCCATGTTTTCTCTTTTTTTTCAAGAAATTGTCACCCTGTTATGTGAAAACAATTGACTTTCTGTCAGTGTTAACAAGCAATTTATAACAGAATTTTTTTCATTGCTATGCTATTACCATTATAATTATTCAGATTAGAACAATTGTTACAACCCTGAGGTAGAAATGCGTGTACATACAAAACGTTGGCATTAACAGAATTTTGCCTCTAAGAAGTCGATTAGAAGAAGAAGAAAAAAAAAATTAACCTTTCTCTAGGGCATGTCTGTGGTGACAAGAAACAGATATCCCTGGAGAAGTCAAACAAAGAATAACAATTCATGTAATTTCGCCGCAGCAGTATAGAAGAGATAACGCCATTATGTACATGCTTTTACCCACTTTTAAAGGGGTGGAATTCCTTTGTTCAAGTGATGTAAAACAGAAAAATAAGGCCTCACTTTTTCCTAGCTTACATTGTATAATGGATGAAACTAACCTATTGAAAAATTCCATTTAAGTAATATTTCTAATAAATTTCACAAAACTTTCAACTTACGTTTAAAAATGGCATCGTAATTTGGACGAATTCAATTCATCCAAGAGAAAACTTTTTACAAAAATTAAAGGGTGACTACAAGATTCATAATTTACTTGAAATAAACTCCTCTTTTTATAGAGACAAAATATTATTGATAAAAACACCTTTGGCAAGCCAGTAGAGACGAAGTTGCAAAATTATTGACATTGGTTGATTCATCAGTATAAGTTGTCAGGGATTTTTCTTCTTGCTCTAGGATATGCGTTAAAATAAAAACGAAAATGCATTTTTATAGTTCCTCCGTTAGTTCATTCCAGTTCTGGCTATAAAGTCTGTCTTTTAAAAGGGAAAATTAGGCAGTTGATCAAATCAGCAGCGGAAGATATTTGAGTTACAGAGGAAGTGATTCAAGTTTCAGAGGTCTCAATTCTTGTTAAAAGGGAGTGCAGTTTTAACTGGGATAATGAATAATTTAAAATTGCATCATAAGAAATATTAGAATGAAATTGAACTAGAGCAACATTTCCCAAAGTCACGCAATAATGTTTTCTGAATCAATTTGATGAGTTACATTTACGTTCCTCAAATGTTGGGATGATTTGATAAACGAGCAAATCTCCACTTTCTTAACATAATTCAGAGGAAAGTAGAGAAGAAGGTAGGTACCGATAAAATGTAATGCCAATTCCGATTAAAAACCAAAACTTCATTTTCTGATGATCAATTGGGTACAAAAATGTTTTTGTCAATTTTTTTAAAGTTCTGTTTCCCTAATGAGAAAGTCATTTGAAAATTCAATGAACCAACCGTCATTTAAGTTGACCAAAAAAATTTATATTCAGAAAAGACTACATTTATCAAAACTGAGAAAACAAATTTATCAACAAAATGATTATTTCAACTGAAGATTCACCAGAGACTTAAACCTTGACTGATGATTACAGTAAATTGGAGCTCATCTACCTATTAGTTTACTCTCAATTTTGTTGATTGGACAAGGATGATTTGCAAAAGAGAAGCTTTGCACCAAATAAAAGATGCGTGATAAAACAATGATAGGTGTCAGCGATTCATCTGTTCAACTTTTCTTTGATTTGTGTTTAACATTAATCAGTCTAGAAACAGCAATGTACACAGCAATAACATAACAATAAAAACAACAGATATATAAATAAAAACTAGGATAACATCTTGATATGCTAAAATACATGGTAGTATTTACAAATTGTTTGAAATAATCCAAGTTACATACATCAGAGTTTCTCTTCGAGAGAATATTTGTGTCATTCTTTAATATTTTTTGAATTGAAAAATACCCTGTTCTTCAACCACAACAATTATGGCCAAATATAACACAGAAATAAGTACACTCAAATCAAACCGAAGAACAGTCACACTACATAATATCCAAATAAAAAAGTCTTTTCCTCTCATTTTACTTTGATTGAAATGTAAAAATGTCAATGTAGTATATTTTGTATTTTGCAAAGATTAGAGTTAATTTGTCTCTTTGAAGTGTACATACAGCAGATTAATTGACTCTGTAGAGTATTATCTGACTGATAAGTGTTCCTGTTATAAGAACTGTATTGAAAACCAATAAGAACAGAAAGTCATGGACATTTTCACCAATGGTTGGCATAACTCGATTGATGAAGTTGCACTTCCTTAGGAGGCCCACAATTCCAGTTTCAGGTAATGTATTCGAGGGATGTTATGTCCATAATAAAGGAACAGTGAAAGAAAAAAAGGATAGGACGATTTTCTTCTGCAAGCAACGCTCACAATAGTTGCTGAGAACAAGCAACGCATTTTGTTCAAAATTGTTTTGCATTGTGGGGACAGGGCTCATTCTCATGCGCAAAATTTGTAAACTCCTGAAGCAACAATGTTGTACAAGAATTGCAACAGGCTTAGAGGCAAGTTGTTTTTGTGCTGTGTTCCCAATCCATGACAGGAACACTGCTCCAGTCGTGAACTTGAACGACTGAACGTGGTTCTCTCTTTGGCTGTTGAGAACTGAGTTAAAAAACCAAGAAAAGCAGAAACATTTTGTTGCTTTGAACAAAATAAATCTATTAAAGGACAACTGTACAGATAACAAAACACAGGATAACAGGGAATGGTTCTGAAAGAGACAAAATTAATTTCTGACTAATTGATCACGGGTAGAATAATCAAATTTACAAGTTTAGTTCGGAGTGTTAATACTGTGATACCAGTTAAAGATTAGTACAAAAATTAACTGAGACACATTTTGTCGCTCTTCGGACAAAAAAAAGTAGCTTAATTTCCATATGAGCTTTGGAAAGCATGGATCAAAGGGCTAACATAAAAATATAGATACAATCTCACGTCAGAGGAGCGACGGTTTTTCAATCAAGTTCCACAACTAACAGGACAATTATGAGTTTTTCAATATGATACCTTGCTTAATTTAAAGTAGATCCACGTACATTTGATTCATAATTTTAAAATTAGGGTCCTACATAAAGTACTTAACATCAAATTTACAGTTTATCGGCAGCCACCTCATGGAGCACTAGAAGAGAGACGCTACTAACCCACCTCATCCTAAGAACGCAGAAAAGCGAGATACTTTTGTCAAATGGACTTGGATTGCCACAAGAGATGGAAAAATGTATATATTTTTTTGAAAAACAAGAGTAACAAATTATTAATTTCTCATCGTTTCCTATTATGAATGTAAACCATTTTAGATGAGATATTGTTGAATAGTTTTCCCACTCCCAAAAATGCTGCATGATGATAGTAGATTACCCACTCACCACCTAGAGTAGAAAAGTTTTAGGAGAAAAATTCTTAGAAGAAGCAATTTACAATAGGTATTGCAATTTCACACTTGTCCATTGGTACACCAGGTGAATGAAATTCAAGTAGCCACAGCTCAGTGTCATTTTGCAAAGTCTAGGCTTACACAATGCCTTTGTAATGAGGTTCAAGTGTGACAAATTGTCTTACTTCTTGATTTTGCTTTTGGAGGCTTGCTTTGGCCTAATGAGTTATCTTAAACTTGACGATTTCAAGTTTACAATGGTAGTATTTAATGTACTGCAGAATGTTTTTAAATTGAGAATTCTTTACGTAAAAATTGGTCTTGAAAATTGTATGATGATCAATACCTATACCAAATCAACCCATTCAAAATTAAAGTGGTGATGAAACAATTATAACAATACATACAGCTTTGTGGATCTAATTTAAAAGTTTACAAAAATTTCATACTTTGCTTTTTGGTAAAATCTGAGCATAAGAAATTTAACTCAATATTCATTTGAGGTAGCAAAAAACTCCAACATCCCAAATAGCAAAAGTTACAATAAATTGCTATTAAGCAGTAAAATTCATGCTAACCTAGTGGAAATCCACCTCGCACAGAGAGTAGGTATTGACCCCATGCAGCAGAAGGTGAGTTCCCATCACCTCAAGCGACCATGAGTGACCGCCTGCAAAAGACGGGATTCCCAAAACTATGCCTTTGTTTCGCTTTCCTCTGCATGGTCTCACGCGAGGTGCGGGACATAGACCATGGTCCACCTCCTGCCGCACGAGGTCGACTTCCACTAGGGTAGAGTCCTTGCCAAATATATATATATATGCAAGTTACGAGTGCAACTGAGGATCAGCTATCTTCAGTTTAACATCAAAAGTAAATGCAAGAATCAAGGTGACAGATCTTTTGTCGCAGTCTAAGTGCTAAAACTTATTCAGCTACACTCTAATTATACTAGAGTGTTGTGTATGTTGTGTACCTTCTAATTAGAGGGGCTCCTCTTACTTAAATTTAATGCAATCAAATTTAAATAAGTAACAATTTTTTCAGCATTATCAGTTACCTACCTCTCTCACACATGAAACTCATTTTGTTATGATAATTTAAGTTTGGCACTTATCAACTGCATAATGTAAAAATATTGCAATTCCATGGTAAAAAAATTAAAATGTTCTTTCATTAAATTGTTAAATTAATTCAATATGTTCATCGCACCGTGCTACTTAGGATACTTAAGTTGCCATTTTCAACAGTTCAGATAGCCACTGGACTGGGTTTCAGTTCAAGAAACTGGAAAGGAACATGTAAACTAGTATTACTGTGTTCTACTACTAAGTGTCCTCGCCGGTTTGAAGCACCTACTACAACAACCGTGTCTCCTTTCATCAGTGAAACTTCGCCATTTCCATCCTCTGAAAAGAAAAAAAAAATTAATATAATGAGTCTATTCAAAAAGAATTAGTTGCAAAAATAATACGATTTGAATTTTACGGTCGTTTCAACAGAGAAAACACCTGTCATCGGAGGCCTGCTTCCCTAACGCTTTTCAAAAATCAGGGATAACGTTACATTTTCAGTCCTCCTAGGCTGAACTTTGTTTGGCACCTCTAAAAGTAGGTGCTATTGGGGGAGGGGGGTGTCAGGGACACAACCAGGAAGTTCACAGGAAGTTTTGGAATTATTGGCAAACAAAACATTTAAACCTCCATCAAAATAATTGAATGGTCATTGAGTTAAAGACCAACTCTAGATTTCTGGTATAATTCTTGAAAGGAAGCGAAACTTAACTTTGTATAGGTACCCACTTTGTTACTGGCAATCTTGGTCTAAACTAGTGGATTTTATGAATAAGATTTTACCTGGGAAGGGCATCTTCATTACTCTGGTCTGAGGGTATCCTAGTTTCGTGTTTCCTGCGACTGTATACGGTCGACTAGGCGGAACAGGTGGAGGTCGTTCCTGAAAATAAAATAGAATCATCATTAATTCAGAATGACCACAAAAATGAATTGATCTTGTGTCTCAAATGTTTCATTTTCAAAACTGATGAAGACAGTTCATTTTTGTAAAAATGGTGCACTAAGAAAACCTTCCAAGAAATTTTACGTAATTTAATTGGTCATGAGAGGAACATCCTTTGTTTTCTCCCCAAAAATTTGCCCATTTGTTCGTCCATACAAGAATAAACGGCCAGTGGTGATTCTGTAGTATTGCAATGGACTTACATCCTATGCAAAAATCTACACAAATAAAAGCTTAATAAATTCCTCAATAGCTGATAGAAAGAGTGATAACAACTTCCTGTTCAAGTCTCTTTGACTTGCGAAAGAGTGCAATATAAAATGCAACTCAAATATGTATAAGTACAATCAAATATTCATTGAAAATAATTATTGGTACCTTCAGAATACTATGTATTATAATTTTTTATGTAATTTTGTGATAAACGATGGTAAGAAAGAGTTGGAGAAGATTGCAAAATTAATGCTTAAAATGTGATTCAATATTAACCAAATGAAATGCTTTTTAACTTGAACCAGAGGCACTACAGACAGACAATCAATTCATCCCATTTTAGCAATGGACTTTGCTAAATAGCCGTTCCCTAGGAGTATTCAACCGATCCATTAGCGCTGAAAATAGCTTGAAAGGGGCGAACATTATTGTCCAGTTCTTCAATTCTCATACACTTTCATGTGAGAACCCTCACATCTTAGGTTACTAAAAGCTCTTAAAAGTTAAATACCAAGGTTAGATGGGACAGTTAAACTAGGCAGATCATCAAACTATTTAGTTGAGTATAGGTAGGTACAACAGTGATATTTGTGACAGAAAACACTGCCTCTCTTCCCAAACATACTGCAATGATTAACTGTTACATAGGGCTGTGCGAATATTCGCAATTCCGACTATTCGTGCCGCGAATATTTGCTTCGTCTGCCTCGCGCACTCATCGCCGATTTCGAATAATCGCGCCGTCGCGAATAGTGAATTTTTGAACTGACTTTTTCAAATATTCGCGCCGTCACGAGGAATGAATTTTCAAATATTCGCGCCATCAAAAATAACGAATTTTCGAGTGGCAATCGTGAAACGTGAAACGCTTCTACCCGAGACATCGTGAACGGCGGATCTCCTATGATCTGCACCGACTTTGCCGAGTTTACGAACAGCAAGCGCGATTGGGATTGGGGGAATGAGCAAAGAGCCCAAATTAAGGATTGAAAGACACAGAAATGTCTGAAATTGAAAAAAAAAAGTTCATAAACACATTTTTATTTACACAAAAAAAAATAAAATACTAAAATGTGTCTAGTGATCCTTCGATACTACCTTGACTGCCCGAGCAGTTATCTTCAAATCCTGGAAATGCATACGTAACTGCAGGGACAGTCAAGCCAGCATCCAGAGATCTTCGAACAAATTCTTAACAGCCTAGGCTACTATCATAGCATTTCATTGTTTTCTGTGCAGGCGTATGAGCAAATGGAAAATTCTTAAAAAATTAATCACATTTTTTTTGGAGACTTTTGTAATATTCGCGAATTTTAACTCTTCAAAAAGTCATTTCCAATTATTCGTTTTACTATTCGTAGTTGTGAATAATTGACATAAATTATTCGTTATTCGCTTTGCTATTCGCGAATAGTTACTGAAATTATTCGCTATTCGCTTTGTTCGGAGAATTCACTATTCGCACAGCCCTACTGTTAAATTGTATAATTTTAAAAATTTCACTTTCAAGATTTACACTGAAAAGACACAAGGAACAGTTATCCGAGGTTCGGCTCTGTCCATTTTTATTTGGTGCCTAAAATTTTATGATTCTTCAGTTTTGCAATTAATCTCTGGAGTTCAGTCTTTGCCTTTAAAAGTACATTACCTGACGCATAGACAGAAAAGAAAAGGAAAAGGCATGAGAAAATAAAATTTACCAAGTCAAGTCCAAACAAAGTGCAAGTCTGTTGTATCATCTTTTGATCACACTTTTCATTAGGGTCTGGGGGTGGAGTGCCTGCAATGGGCTGTGGCCGCGGTCGACTCAAAGTTGCAGTTGTGTTTCCACTGTTTGATGCGTTACCAGACCTTCCTGAAATGCCAGTTGTTCCTCCTGAGGAAACACCAAAAATGAAATGCAAACATACATATTTGATAGTCAAGAAGCCTCTTAATAAGGACTATAAAACGATTAAAAGAAATTTGATTAGATTAAGTTGTAAAATTGTTGGTCAGGTATCAATATCGACAATTGAAGCATGTCTAATTTCCTTCAGTGCAAGCCCTTCCTTTTTGAGGGCGCAAAAATTTGTCCGTTGTAAACTGAAGGCAGTAGTTCAATTTAAGTAACGAGATGGTAGAATAGTGCCCAAAAATTCCAAAAATTGTCATTGGATTAAAAACTTGAACTCTACTGAATATCAGTGCAAGACCGAAAATCTATATCGATTTGGGTCTTCTTAGATCCTCATCAGTACCCAAGTAGCATTTCTCAACGGACAAATCGCTGTATATTGCAATTTCATCTGCGATAAAATCGCCAGGATCATCAACATCTGAGCAATTATCCTCAATCTTATAACGATAAAATCACGCTTCCATTGCCCGACAATTTATCGCGATATTTTCGAAATAAAAAAATGATGAATGGCAATTTAATCTCCATTTCATCGACAAAATTGATAACGATTTTATCGAACCAAAAATTGCAATGTGTAGCGATATAGTCGCCATACATTGCAATTTTTAATGCAATAATGTCTCGATATATTGCCACTAATATAATCGCGACAATCAACCGATAAAATCGATATTTATCGCAATTACTGCTACTTGGGTAGATCATATTAATACCACAGCTTAAGTTACTCAGAATAGGAGTTGCTACAGTGCTGTCCGAATCCTACTCCAAATAGTTCTACAGATGGGAGAAGCTAAAAAATAAAAAAGTTTACCTCCAACGTTGCCAGTAGGATGTTGTAGTTCAAGCGATCTTTTCAGGGCTGGCCAGCGTTTCCTCAGATGCCAACCTCGCCATTTTGTCTGAATTAAGGTAGCTGCATGTTGCCTAGTATTTGTTCTCAATGTCTCTAACTGCTGTCTTAAACCTTCGCTGTAATTGAAAAGTAACAAAATTCAGACATTTTCCTTTTATCAGAATGCAGATTGACAAAATTAGATCTTCCGCTTGTTAAAATTATTTAATTCACTTCCTTCTCAGAAATAAAGAAGAATAATGATTGAAACTGATGAGAGGATAGTTACACTCCTAGATTGAATGCAAAGTTATGGGCATATTGGGAATTTCTCTCCTCCCCCTCCCCTCTTTAAACTTCTAGCTGGACCATGAGGCAGAGATGGAAAAGAAAAGTTGGTTATAATCACTCTGGATGGTAAACACAATTGACTTTGTGGTGAATGCAAATTCAGATTGCTAGCACTCAGCCCATTTTAATAATAATTAAATGATGAAATGATTTTTCTGACTTAGATTCAACATCTGTAAACAAAATTCTGTAAAACTTAGGAAAAAGTAACAGGGGATTTGATATAACAGCTGTTGCAGAAGAGTCACAGACAGAGGGGAACACTTTAAAGAAATGAGAGATATTGATATTCTCCATTCTTTGCACCTTTTTCCTGTAATGGTTTAAAAAGCGTTTTTCTCAAAACTTGAACATTTTTTAGAGCAGTTATCAAAAAGTATCCGTAATCATTGATACAAATTGTTGAGGGGGATTTTTATGACTTTTTCTTTCCATAAAGTAATGATTACTGTGTATTTACGTGTAAAATAAAGTCCCCAACCCGAAAAAAATAATATGGAAATCTTGTGCATCAATCGAATACCTTAAGAATATGTGCCTTTTGCCGAAGGCCCATGAAACGGACACTTCAGACTGCAACTGTTTCAGTTGCTGTTTCTCCTCCAGTCGATGTAAAATTAGTTGACAGTCTTCTATTGCTCCTTCTTCGGACCGGCGCAATTGTGTGAATGGTGCTAACAGCCTATACCGTGAATTGAATGCCTTAAATCTCATTCTGTGGGGGAATCCTGCAGGAATACATTAAAATTAGAAAGCAACATTCAGACAAAGATGTAAACGTATTGCAAAACTTATGCTTTCAATAGAAATATTTAACTATCCAGCCCAACTTCACTTTTGCACCATTTCATGAAGAATTTTTTCTTCAGACAACATACAGGATTCTCTGATCAAAGACTAATACTTGAAGGATCCATTCTCTGAAAAAAAATGAAACTTTTCCGCAATACATAATTTAGAATAGCTCTTAGGATCGCTTAGCGGGAAAAAGGTAGTGGAGCAAATAAGTCTTATTTTGGCAAAAATAATTCTTCTCTTACATATCTGTATCTCTATTTGAAACATCCTGTGTAAACATTTTCACAGAATTGAAGAGACTATTTCTGAAGCTGATAAAAAGAGGAGAAGTTTGCCCATAAAAAGTATGCATGTTAAGTTCAATGTCAATTTTAATGTGCAAATAGGAATGTTTTGAACAGTATAGCTACTAAAGTTATCTTCAAAAGTAAGATGACAAAATTCTTCCTCTTTCTTTTTTTCATTTTTTGTTGCACTTTCATCTCTAAATAATTTTACAGTGGCCAAGGATCTTGCTGTTGATCTTGCTTGCATGAGTTCAGTAGATTAACGAAGGAAAAAAAGTGATACATATCTTGAATGTAATATGGAGATGCATCGCTTTATATTCAAAGAAAATTTTATTGACGATCAATCTTACCTCCAACCATTAAATTAACTGTTTCTAGAACTTGCAAGGAACGAATTTGCCTCATGACAGTACTACGATCAAATCTTGCAGGGCTCTCTGCAGAATTTGCCTTAACACAGCGTACAAAGTGAGGTCGTGCATGAACTAATGAACGTAGTAAATTATCTAAGCGAGTGTGAAAGTCTTGAGTCAAAGTTGAAACAGGCTCATCACCATTTAACCTGCACAATAACAAAAAGGCACATCCATGTTACACAAAAATGACAAGTATATTGTTGGAACGTGACGCAATATGATGAAAATGTTTGAAATTAAAAGTACATTTAAAATTTTTCCCTATATCAAAATACCTTTATGGAACTTTGATTTAATTTATTTTTTCCTTCTTTTACTTTTTTGCTTCGTTTTTCTTATCACAAAACCTGGCTTAAAGAACTATTTTAATAATTTGACAAACTGCCTTAAGTATTTTGAGGATGGTGAATTTTTAAAAATTAAAATTACTATTTCCTTAATTGCAGGATATCTTTTTTGGCTTGTTCTCAGAAATAATATGCGACTGGTCAAACATTTTTTCATTCTTAATTAAGATCACCCAGGGGCTGGAAAAAATAAGAGAAAAAAATTTAAGGAGGAAATTATTTTAAAATGAATATATTTTCTTCATTAACTTACATGGAAACCCATTTCTTTAACACTCCTTGAGTTAACTTTTCAATGATAGATTTTAGAGAAATAATTGAGAATGTTTGGTGTGCTGGTTATAGGTAAGAGAAAAAAATCCTCCATGACAGGGGCCTCGGCAAGAGAATGTGACGGTGTGGCTACTGAATTACAATTATGTAATTCTTTCCAATATAGGCTCGTGTTCAAGAGAAAAAAAAATTATTGAAGTGATGTCTGTTCTTGTCTTAAATGATCAAGAGGATACTCACAAATCAGAATGCGAAGTGGGAGAAATGCGGAAGCTAACTCCTCTTGGAACTGTTTCCAAAGAAAAAAGTGCTTTTAATTCGCTGCCAAATAGGTGTGTTGCAAAACCAAAGCTACATGTTTGTTTATGAAACACAGCAACAAGGTCATCTGGTACCACATCTTTGTTAGTATCTGAAATATCATACAAAATTATATTAATTTCTCTTACCTTCCCTCAGTAGTCAATAGGTAGATTGCTAACGGAGAGAAGAAATATTCACTGAAAAAAAAAAAAAATCTGACGGAAGGCAATCCAGATGGACTGAAATATATTGGCCTAGAGGTGTTGTCAGCTAAGTTGGCAGTTGTTTACTTTGTTTGCAAGCAACAGCAATGCAGTCGTCCAATAGCCATTGACTGCGAGCAATGCTGCCACCATGCACGGAAATGTAAATCAGTCTACTGGACTGGACAGTTAAAAGTAAGCAACTGCCAACTTAGCTGACAGCACCTCTGCAGATTTGATTCCTTGAGGATACTTTTTTCTGGTGTGACCGTCCATGGGAGAGGATATCTTAGTTTACAGCATAGTTGCCAGTTGGTGCTGAAAAACCTGCACTTTTCCATATTTGAGCCCATCTGTTGACTGCAAATGACAACAGAGTATCATCAGCAAGCCCAATTGACGCAATTATACCACTGCAACCTTTCCCTTTGCTACCTCATACTAGTGCTCCTGCGCCTCTCCTGTAGAGTAAAATTTTTTCACCTTCCACTTTCCACTATTTTGCGAGAGGCCCATCATTCTATGACAGATTCAACTCGCCAATTATACAGGTAAAGCTTTTCCTGATGTAAGAGTTTTTTCTTTTCTCTAGTGCCCCCTCCCTCCAAAAAAGTTATTGGAATACATCTAATTTACAATTTATGGCTGGGTTATTCTTTTCCAATTTTTGATAAAATTATTTTAAATATTTAGGTACCTAAGAAATTTGTTGCATCATAAACCACTCGTCCTGCAAAGTGCTGGATTCCAAAGGATCTGGGCTCCAGAGGTTTTGGTTCGTACAAGCGTGAATTATGTCTATGTTGAGCTTTGACTTTGGCAATATAGGACTCAGCGGAACCACGAATTGAGCATTCAACATCTAACATACTCAACAAACCAGTTCTCTGAAAAAAGTAGCAAACTAAATTAATGAAAAATATTTGACAAAATCCATTCCTGTTAGGCACACGGAAAAAGACAACTGCATTCATTACAAACAAACCATAATTTTGGAAATGAGTTACATATATAATTGTGACTTTGTAAATGTTTGTTTTCATGGCCGAAGAATACAGTGATATGAAAACCTTTTCTTTTCCAATCAAAAGAATGATTTTTAACTTAGATACGAATATTTGTTTGTTGGATGAAAAAGAGGATGAATCTCTTTTGATTATTATATTACAGGATAGAAAATAAAAAAATGAAGCACTCACCAAAGAAGAAATCAGATCAATGCACGGAACATTGTCAGTATAGTCAACTTCAACATCACTATGAATGCCTTCGTCTCGGCATGACTCGATGCTAGATTTGAAGATATGAGTGTTGTAAAAATGCTGCATTGTTTCTGCACACAAATTGATGCAAAGGTGCTCCAATTGACTTGGCTGAAAATTGATAAAGCAATGAAAATTAGAAAATGGCTTTCAATTGAAGGAAATATTTGTAGATGCAATGATGCCGAGGCTATTTTGCTGCCTCCACAAAAAAAAAATAAGAAAAAAAGAAGAAGAAAAAGAAGAAAAAAAGGCTACAAACTGAACAAGCTCCAATAATTATTTCTGAATATTTTCCAAGTTTTGAAATTCAACAGTTATGACTGCTTCTTCAGATACAATTGACAATTGAGAGCATTCTTGGTAGAGTTTATATAATTAATATTTGGATACTTCAAGCGGTGTGAAAAAGATAAAATAATAAGATTCAAACTTTTTCAAAAAATCAAAGGAAAAAAATATAAAAACCGATGGAATAACACTAAAATTGAAAGAGGTATGCAGGATTCTATGAGCTCAGAGCTTGAGAACATTCAATTCTTTGAATTTAAAAGGAATTTTTCCACTCCTAAACTTTTTCTAGCAACACTAGTGATAGATTCTATTCATACAATATACTATATACCACATACTATATATACACAACTTACTTTGGGTTCTTCAAATCCGAACATGTCAAGGATGCCGATTGACCCGTCTGTGGCATGCCGCACTGCATTGTTGAGAGCCGCCATTGATTTACTAGACTTGGATCCCGCAGTACCAACAGTTGATGCATGCTGACTGGCAACCTAAAGGCACACCAAATTCCCAATTAAAATCATAGAATAGATCCAACTAAGCGACACTGGAGAAAACATAAAATCATGTCTAATATTTCTTGCTGATTCTTAACACACACACACAAAAAGACGTAGCTCTTGCAAAATTTTTGTGAGATTATGGTGCTAAAATGGTAAGGGAGACTAAAATTTACTCAATTCTATTTTTATACCCAGGTGAAACTAAAGAAAAATCTGGGGCAAGTGAAGAGTAGTTGTGAATGGTAGTCAGAAGGGGAAGAGGATGGATTGGACTTATGGAAATGGCTTTGAATAAGAAGAAATTACTTACATCAGCTTGGTTGTGAACAGATTCATTTGAGTCACTACTCAGCGTTCCTAAAGTTGATCCCAGACGTTTCAGACTATTCGCTCGTCGCACAATTGTTGCAACTGTGCGACAGTACAGAGCTTTTGCTAGAGAATCACGAATCATGTTTGACTAGAAAGAAAAGCAGAAAAAAACTTAAAATACTAAAATACCCGAGGCACATTTTTATGAAATACCTACAGCTATTGGGATGTTCATAAAACATGTGACGCTGTAGGTGGGAAGGGGGCGCAGGCTTGTGGTACTGGTACGATATAGTAGGAGATGGAGGTGTCATAACATTTGACTTCCAGCATTAAGCACATTTTGAATGGCCCCTTACCCTTACATTCTTATAACATCTTGCTACACTTAGTGGTCTCCCTTCCAAGGGGGGTATTACACGTATTTGTTAAGAGCTCTCCATTATGAAGGCAACACCTTTCCTTTGATAGCTTGCTGTATGATTAGTTAGCTGTCAAAAATAATAAGTTATTTAACTCTTATTCTTCGTTGAGACCAAACTTAAGCATCACAGCTGCTTAATATATCGGAACTTTCAATAAAAATCTGATTATGTTGTGATTCATAGAATATCATGAAAATAAACGCACCAGCTATTTGCTCACAATAGAAACTTTCAAAAAATTTGAAAAATCTGAATTATAAAAATTAAAGAAGACCATGCACAAAAAACCAAAGAATGCGGTGCTGACTAAATTTTTTTACGATTTGATATTACCTATGTTAGTTATGACCTCTTGAACATAATGAGCTTTTAAAATTAAACATTCAGTGTACCACTTATGATAAAAGCAGGGCTGAAGAGTGATTTTAAGAATTTTTAAATGTATTAGCCAGTAGAAATGTTTCAACATTTGAATGAATTATTGAGGAGAGTTTTTCTTCCCTCAATGGCAGAGAAGACAAAACAGATGAAAAGAATCTCTAAAAATTCCTCTCAATTATAACAGTGTACAGCGTAGTGTTCCAAATCTTCTATGGAGAACTCGTTTAAGAGTGCGGGAAAAATCGCTTTTCAGCCCCACTTTGCGTGTTATTTGCACAAGTACAGTTCGATTTTGAGAGCTCATTGTACTCCAGAGGTTGTAAAGATTAGCATATCAAATAATACGTAATTTTAGCCAGCACCAAATTTTTTGGTATTCCGAGCAGGGTGTACCGTTGGACCGGTGGAGCAGGTTGTTCTGTTTACACAGGACCCACAAATAAAGGACCCACCCTGCTCCCTTCTTTTACAAACAAAGAAAGGAAAAAGTTTTATTACAGCTTGGATAGGGAGAAAAGGAAACTGTTACTCATTGTTGGGCAGCAGAGGTGGAAATTATTTTTTTTTCCAATTTCACTTATCTTTACAAACATTTTACAGGGGTTCTTGTCCATGGGGGGGAGAGACCTTTTTTAAATTCTAGATTAAGAAAAAACTCACCATGTTAGCATCACAAAGGGATTTCACCAGCTGGCCTCTGGCATTGTGAGTGCGAGTTGTAATACCTCTGAATAGTGCTGATGCTGTGACGCCCAACAAACCAGCTACTGCAGTCAGCTCTGCTTCACCATTCACTATCACTTCCCCTACCGTTCCATTAGGTCCAGGAACTTTGTCAACAAACTGCATATTACCCAAAAGTAAAACTGCAGCTAGAACTCTGACAACATCCAAGAATGGAATTCCCAGAACACCTAAAAAGCGCAAAATCAATTATTCTCTCTTAATGAATTCAAGAACACAGTTTGTTGTCCACATAAAATTAAATTTTTTTTAAAAAATTGACCTATACTATTTTTTGTTAAAAAATTTGTGTTGAAAACCTTTCCAGATAATTTGAAGAGAACAAAATCTCCACTTTTTTCTTTCAGTGTCAAAACAGGAACATATAACAAAAGTGAAATCTGAAACCATACAACTTATTGTTATTTCGAAACATTACATAGTTTCGGTAAATAATAATGTAGTTCAATGAGGGAAAATTGAACATTTTAATCTTCAATAATATTGAATACTTTTTTTTCATGGGCATAGAAGTATCCTTGAAAAAATCAGTTGTTTTTCCTTTAGACAAAAAAAAGTTTGATAGAAAATTTAGAACCATTGTATTAAAACTCAGAGTTTTCTAATTTCTCTGACATTGAACTAATTAGGAATTTGTTTCAATATCATTTTTTTCCAACAAATGTTGATGAAGTACACGAAAGGATCTAGACAACATACCTAAACAAGCTTTCCATGCCAGAAATCTTGCAGCATCTTCAGCCTCATCTTGATAGGTATCTCCATTCTGCAGGTAAAATAAATTCAGGGGAGAATAGCCCTCCAAGTTCAATTTAACTGAAAATACGGAAGAAAATACAATTATAAACAAATGCATAAATTGAGGTTCTAAGCAACTTAAGAAAAATTATTATGTCAGTCTAAATACATCTGGAATATTAAACATTTTGAATGACTTCTGTAGACTTTTGAAAAAAAGATATCTGAGAAATGGATTGTGAGGAGAAGAGTAGTTGCTTGACAATCAAGAAACCAATACGAATAGAGCCTGATTGTCTGGTAGCCCAGTTCATACATTAACGATACAAGTATCTTTAAAACTCATTGTAAGAGCTATTAAATAATAAGAAATCAATATCGATGGGAAACAAATCTCCTCTGGGTCATAATGTTAAATATTATCTATTCTGACTCAGTGGTTTCAAAGATTTCCACTGGATTCATTGAGAATCATTTTTTTATTTTCTTTTTTAGATAGCATTTAGTAACCAGCTAGAAAATTGATTGAGATTGGGAGAATTTAAATGATGAATCCAACCAAGTATTTGGAGGAATTAGTAGCTGAGGGACTTCAATGACAGTAACAGCTCTATTAAAATATTTTGTTTTTCTGGGGCTCCTACCTCTTTCTTCTGGCGTTAAACCGGCAAGCATCTGATAGAAAATGTGATAGTTTTTCTCATTTGGTAGAGGACGAATAACTCGAGTTTGGTCCAAAAAATAACAATGAATTTTTGTGCGGTACAACGCTCCATCAGTGACTTGAACTTCTATAAAATGACCCTAAAATAAAAAAATAGCAAATACAAATTGAATGAGATAAAATATAAGACCACTGCATGTTGGACTGCTTGGACATTGCTATTACACACTGCCTAAATGTATTTCAATACCTATTTGCAATTGCAGAAGCGTAAATATGTTCAAACTTGATGGTTTCAAACTTTGAGTCATAGTATCATTTCCTCTTGAATATTTTAGGGTTTCAAGTTAAAAAAGTCTGGTTTTCATAAATCTCTCAGGAATCTATGAAAATGTTATCTTAAACTGGGACTAGATATTTTCAATTAAAGTCTAGTTGCAATCAGTAATAACTGAATTGTAACCGAGAGACATTTTTTGGAAGAGTTAAAACATTTGAAAACTAATTTTTATGGAGAGGAGACTTCATTAAACACTATCTTAAATGGACAAAACAGAACATTTTCCTAGCTGTAACTGAAAATATGGACAGAATCCTTTCATGAGGGATTGAAGTATTTCATTATTATATTTTGAAACATAGCTGTGAACAATATACTTTGATAAAGTGTGCAGCACAGCAGATAATATAAGGCACAGAAGTGTTAATTCCGAAATTACATGAATCCTTACGGCAAAGAGAAAGTTTAAACTAACTTTTTGATGCTTAAAAATTGGATTCAAGGCGCAAAATTTTTCACAGAGTATGCATTGAGACTAGTTTTACTTAATATCCCAATTTTTCCAAAAACTGCACTTATGCGTCTTGTCCTACAATTAAGCCCTTCAAATTAATACTTGACAAATAGTGTAGAAAAGAGGAATGACTCTAGAAATTAAACTTCTGAAATTTAATAAAAGTTGACAAGGTGAGGAAAATTGGTCTTACAATGCGACTAGATTCCGAGTTGGAGGTGGTTTTGGCAGATCCGAGTGAGCGGAGGACAGTGAAAGCAGCAGCAAGATGCTTGAAGGCATCAGTTTCTGGGCCCCCTCCAGCGACATCAAACAATTGCCTTAATAATAGCATGGAGCAATATGTCTTTCCACTTCCACTGGTACCTACATCACATAAAAAATTGAGATAAGGTACATAAACGTTGCTGAAACGGAGAAAGAAGACTTAGTGAGTTGGTAATAAGAGCATCCGCTTTTTTTGAGATCAGATACCCTTGCAGATTGCAGAAATCGAAATATGAATTTCCCGACATTTTTAAGGTAATCAAAATAATTACTACGCATAAGACTTTTAGAAGTAGACAAAAAATGGTGAGAGAAACAAATTTAGTTTTCAGCGAATTGTCTAAGCCATTAAATTAGGGGTAGTTCCATTTTACTGAGTTTAAGAAAAATTTAGTTAAAAGATGAACCAACATTTACCTAAAAATTGACCTAAAATAAAATAAGATTATCATGTTTTTCACCTTGTAAAGATTAGTCCATGATTTATTCTAATTGCTCTGATTTGCTTGTTTACAATATCTAATGTCAATGCTTAACATGCTAACACAGGAAAAAGTGGGCTCAGATTTATATTTTCCTCACACTAAAGAGATTAACGGTCTGAATATATTGTATAATTGAGAGTTTGAGATGAACGAAATAAAACAATACAAGGAGTCTAATTACAAAAATATACGTT